ATTATGAACCATTAGTTACAAAATCAATGTAAGTGTCAATCTTAAAAAATATATTTTTATTAAAACAAGTAATTTAGTCAAGTTGAAGCCAACCTTCTCAAGTCTTTAGCACTAGGTGAGATACCCATTTGCCTATAACACAATTTTTTTGTTTTAATAAGTCAAAGGCATCTTTAAATTCAATTATCACAAAGTTTTAAAATTATAAAGTAAATTTTCTTTAGTTAGAAAAGGTAATTCGAAGTCAAATTTTCAACAATTATTGTCTCAATATAAGACTTGCCTTCCAAAAAAGCATCAATCATGACATTAGATTAATAGTAATATATAACCTATTAATAATATCCTTTATAGATGTTTAAATATCTTAAATAATGAGATTGTGTCTTGTTCAAGACATGTGTTGAGCTAAAATCATTCACCCTCAAATGACTCTATTTTCAACTCCATGCCTTGTGATAAAAAAGATGGACAATATCTAAAAATTTTATATGAATTATAGAGTTTCTAATAAGGCCACAATTTATAGTATGTTCTCTATAATGATGGTAAAAAATTATTAAATGAGTGGTACGAAATGATCACTTTTACAAAGTTAGATCTTAAGTTAAAATTATATCAAATTTAGATGAAAAAAGAATACATCGATATAACTTTCAAAAGTCATTTAGTATGATGACTATTATGAATTTATTTGTGGTAATAATATTCAATCTCGAAAATGTCTCATATTAAAAGGTTAAAAATATATTATCTTGATGAATGATATATTTCAACCTTATATTAAAAGGTTTATCACCTTTGTTGACAATATACTAATATATAACAAGGATGAATGATAACAATATCATCACTTACAATTTATCTTCTCATATTGCTTAAATTAATTCCACATCACTTAGAAGTGAATATATTTACATAAAAATATCTAGAATATTTTGGCCATTGAATATTGGCAATTGACATGTTAATAGGTCAAGAAAAATTGACATCATGTTAAAATGTCTTATCTTCACAAATTTACATGTATTTTGAGGATTTTAAATATGGTTTACACATCTACCCCTTTTGTTCTAGAGATGGATAGTATGGGTCAAGGATTAAGAGTAATTCATATGCAAGAAGAGGTTTTGATTGCTTACTTAAGTCATGTGCTTTGGAGAAGAATGAATTGAAATTTACTAATAAATGTGAGTTCATGACCATTATGCTATCGGCACTTAAATTGTAGAACTATCTTTTTGGTGGGAAATTTATATTTGTATTGACTAGAAGGGTCATACATTATTTATAGAGAAAAATTAGGTACTCCGTAATATTTAAAATGAGTTTGAAACAAATGAGTTATGATTTTGAGATCAAGTAAAAAGAAATAGTGTTAAAAAGGTTAAAAATATATTATCTTGAATACTAGTCTATTCTTGTAAATTCTTGTTGATGAATTAATCTTGAATAAAAAAATGTGTGTAATTATTCTTCACAATTTCTCATAGTTGATACCTTACTAATGACGCTCTGTAATAAGTAACATAAGGTCATGTTAAATTCATTGATACATACAAAAAGACATCACAATGGGTTCATTAGATTAGAATGAAATAAAAGATTGAGAGATATGTGAACAAATGTTTAATGCGACAAAAATATCTTATTCTTTATTGTCAGCTAGATAACCTCAACCTCTCAAAATTCTAAAAAAGGTTTGTGAAAAAGTTTTTATGAATTTCATTGAAAGTCTTCATGTTTGTAGATTATAATTTTATCTTAGTCAAGGTTATTATCTAGGTGAATATGAACATTTTGTTCTATTAAACCATCTATTTACAACAACTTTGAGAATCTAACAATTTACGTAGAAAATTATTTAATTCTATAATATTCTTAAATCCATAGTCTTATATCATACCTCATCTTTATTAACTTTATGTGGTCTAAATTCTTCAAACATCAAAACACACAACTTAAGTGCAACACAATGCATCGTCCACAAGTTGACAGACAAACCAAAGTACCATATTGGTGCATACAAAATTATCTCAAATATAACATCTTTAAAAATCTTAAATTTTGGCATATTTAAGTTTATTTGATAAAATACAACCACAATACATCATACCACAACTATATAATGATACCTTTTTTTTAGTCTTTAGAATGATCCTCCAACCATATTACATTATAGATCATTGTCAACCTTTATCACAATCATGGAAAAATAATTAAAATCTTAAGACTAAATCTTTGACCAATTCAAATATCACATCCATGTAACTTAGAATCAACTAAAAACTAAAGTCAACCAACTCATAAAGCATGCACAATTTCTCAATGGACAATTCAAAATACAAGATGAAATATTTAACAAAGAAATAAAATAAGTAGTTGACTCTAAAATACGATGCTCTTTGGAGTTATAGTTTATCTTCTCAAATTTACTGTACCATATTCACTTCACTCTATTTTCTCTGTGTTTTATTTCACATGGACCTTGGATGTGTGATTATAATTGACTTTTATTGTGGGGATATCTACAACATTTTCATATGACAATGTGCAGTAAGGAGATGCTAGATACTCATTTATTCCATGGTTTCTTGACAAGAAGTTTTAATTCAATGGGATCAACTGACTAAATCTAAACTTCTACAAGAATCAATCAACAACATTCAAAAATCATTTCCTGAGTTTTACCTTGAGGACAAAATATTCAATAGAGGGGAGCATATTGATACAACAACACTTCTTATGTACTTTACAAGGCAAAAAAGATCAGCCCAAAAGGGTCAACCTATGGTCCAAAAGGGTCAGACCATTGCTTAGCTTGAGAAAGAAAGAAGGGTAAGGTGGTAACTTGCCTGCCTTCATAAGATTATAAATACCTTGGCCATGAGGAGATGGGCATCATAGAAGAAAAGAAGTTGAGACAAAGAGACGAAGACCTCTTGAAAGTCCTAACAGTGCTAGGGTTCCTGTGGGTTCCCTACAGTTTCTATCCTATACCCCTTTCTCTTCGGCCATTCTATCACATTTTGTCTAGTCTTTGAGAGTCTCATCACTCTCTCTCTCTTTCTCTCTTCTCTCTATGTATATCTCACGTCTCTCATCTCTGCCAATGAAAATGAACAGGCCGTAGGGTTACTCCTCCTGAGGCGGGTTCCCTCGATATTTATTATTGGGCCGACTTAAAGCCCGAAAGTAGCATCCCGAGCCCAGTTGCCTCGATCAGAAATCGCCTCGACCGGCCGAAACTACTTTGTTCCGTAGCGGAACCAGGCCCATTAAATTCCAGCCCAATATAACACCCTCGACATCAACAAGTCCAGTTGGGCCTGGTGCCCGGGCCCAGTAACGCTTGCTACTCTCTTTAAACGGCTTCCGAGATAAACGAGGAAGGTAGAATCTTCCCCGCTTCCCGTTCCCTTCCCCCGGTCGCGCTATTTAAATGCATCCCCGGCTCGCAGTCGCCGGCGACCGGCACCGGCGAGACTCACCGGCGATCTCTATTTCCTCCCCTTCCCTTCTTCTTCTTCTTCTTCTTCTTCTTCTCTCCTCCTGTCCGACGTGGCGATCGGCGCCGGTGAGACCAAGAGACGCTCGACGGGGGGGGCGGTTCTTCCACAGGTACGCCGATCCTCTCTCCACTCAGAACTAGCCATCGTTGACGAGCGCACATCGAGAGAGACTGAGATGAGGAGGAGATCTTGCTCTCGTTGATTTGCTCACGGCTGATTCTCGCGCGAATCGTTCTAAGAACCTTCTTTTCTTCTTCCAGAGATCGAATGAAACGGGGGAATCAGGAACAGGTTTTACTAATTACGGGCGTCCGAAGGTATATCTGTTTTAGCTGATATACACGCGATGAAAATAATGAAAATCATTTTTTAAATCAGTTAATCTATATTTTTTAAATTAAATGAGACGTGGGAAAATTAAATAATTTATTAGGAATATAATTACTGATTATGGGCACCCGAAAATAATGATATTAACTTCTAATATTAGATCATTCGGTGAATTTTTTTATACTTTTGGTACCATTTTTCGAATTAGTTATACAAAAAAATATTAAACTGGGCTTGGACTATAAGAGTTAGCTCTGTGATTGCCACGTGGCATGCGTGGAGACAGGCACGTGGCAGTTTTGAGGGGTGCGGCGGAGAGAGATTAATGTGACGAATAAATAAGGAATTAGAGCCATTTTGGAAATAAAATTAGAGAGTAAATCAGAATCCTGAGAATCCGAGTGTCTAGGATCTGGGAGGCGGCTGGGTCAGCCGTTTCGGAGGTGAGCTGGCCGGCGGGATCGCCTTCTCCGCCGCCGATTTCAAAAATCCGGCGGTAAAAAGGAAGATGGAGCGGCACCCCCCAATGGGAACTACTCTCCTCCGGCTGAGCGCAAGCACTGGGCGGCAGAATAGGAAATAACCAAATTCAGAAACAGTAGGAGGAGAGAGAGAAAGAGAGAGAGAGAGAGAGAGAGAGAGAGAGAGAGAGGAGTTACCCGTATTCGGCGGCTCGCATCGTTAAAACGAGACAGTTCAGCATCCTTCGCAGTTGCCTCTTCTCCGCTGCGATCTACTACTACTACTACTGCTCTCTCTCCCTCTCTCTCTCTCTCTCTCTCTCTCTCTCCCCTTCGATAGCTTCGTTTATCTTTCTTGCCTTTTGAAGGGTTCCGCCAATGCGGAGCAGGGCAGAGGGAGATGCTCGCTCAGCCCTGCGACCGCCGCCGCTGCCGCCGGCGTTTGCCCGGCAGTGTCTGCAATTCACCACCCAGGTGATCCAGCCTCTCGGGGACCTCTGCCAAATTTGATCTCCTCATTATCACCAAAGCAAGCCCTGTTCTTCCCAAGGATCCCATCTCTTTATCGTCTCTCCTCTGTCATTATATTTCATGGCGGATTGATTCATAACAGAGCTTTTTTTGTCTCCTCCTTCCAGGTAGCGATGTTCTCGGCGAGCTGACGATCAGACGAGGGCATTTAAGCAGCATATCGGCGATGGCGAACGAAGGGTCTTCTTCTTTCTTTCCGGCGCCGGGGTTCAAGTTCACAGAGATCAGTAGGCAAGTGAAAAAGACCTTCAAGCCCTCCTCCAATGGGGCCACCTTCCTTCCCCGCCTCCTCCGAATCTCCGTCGTCGACGGCGACGCCACCGACTCCTCTTCCGACGAGGAAGACGAATTCTTCCCCTCCCATCGCTGCCGCCGCGTTAAGCGATACGTCCAAGAGATTACCGTGGAGGAAGTCTCCCAAGTCTCCCTGAGAGCCACCACCACCGCCTTCGCCGGCGGTAAGGCCAAGCTCTGCGAGGCCGAGAAGCCGGCAGCGCCGCCGAAGAGGTACCGAGGGGTCCGGCAGCGGCCGTGGGGGAAGTGGGCCGCCGAGATTCGCGATCCGTCGACGAAGACGCGCATCTGGTTGGGCACATTCGACACGGCGGAGGCAGCCGCCATGGCCTACGACCGCGCCGCTGTGAAGCTCCGCGGCGCCGACGCCCTCTGCAACCTCCCCAACTCCGGCGAGGAGCCCCTCGTCGATGCCTCCTCATCTCCAAAGTCAGTGCTCTGGTATGCCTCCAAGGGTGAGGAGGAGCAGAAGAAGAGGAACCTCCCAAGGGACCGAGAGTCCCCGGCGACGAAGAGAACCAAGGCGGCGGAGGAGGAGGAGGAGGTGGTGGGCAGGCCGCGCAACCCGATTTTCGAGGATCTGGAGATTGGGTTGAGCAAGGACTTGGAGGCGCTGCTGCTGCCGTTGAACGATCCGCCGCCGATGGACTTCTCGCCGGCGGCACCGCCTCCGCCGGGGTTTCCCTTCGCGGAGATGGACGACTACGAGAGCGTCGCCGTGGAGGCGGAGGAGCCCCTTCAGCTGACAGTGGATTCCACGTGGCAGGTGGAGGAGGAATTCGGAGATCTCGCGGACATTGACGAGTTCTTCAATTCCGATGGCCAGGACAGCTCCTGAGCAGAGCAGAGTGGACCTCCTCCAGCCTTTTTGGCCATTATATAATATTTTTTTTATTCTTTTAAAAAATATAGTTCCTTTTTTACGGTTGCTCGACTTGGCATCTACCGGTCTCCCTATCGCTCCGGATCCCAAATGGGCACGTGATTGGTGGATCTTGTCGGGCTTCAAGAGAGAGAGAGAGAGAGAGAGAGATGGAGAGAGAGAGAGAGAGAGAGATGGAGGGAGAGAGAGAGAGAGAGAGAGGGAGAGGGAGAGAGAGAGAGAGAGAGAGAGAGAGAGAGAGAGAGAGAGAGAGAGAGAGATGAGAGAGAGAGAGAGAGAGAGAGAGAGAGAGAGAGAGAGAGAGAGAGAGAGAGATGAGAGAGAGAGAGAGAGAGAGAGAGAGAGAGAGAGAGAGAGAGAGAGAGAGAGAGAGAGAGAGAGAGAGAGAGAGAGAGAGAGAGAGAGAGAGAGAGAGATTTATTGGATCCACAGGCACAGTGTGGGTTCTCGAGATTTTTTTGATTGACCACTTTTCCATTCCTTTACAAGAACACCGAGAACTGATGTAACAGATTAAGAAACGGAAGGACAAAAAATGGTGTGGAGCTCCCGAATCTGAAAAGAAAAATTAGAAGAAAAGCTGTGCCGGAGCAGTCTCCATGTCTCTCAACACACATCAGATGGTCAACGCGAGGCCGCTGCGATCTCCTCTTCAGATAGAGAAAAAGGATTTGGGCGTTTGGCAAGCAAGAGAATCCCGGGTATTCTATAAGACACCCGGATCAGAAAAATATCTCTTCAGCCATCATGGTTGACCAACTGCCTCCACAGAGTTGACCTACGTGGAGGGCGCCGCAGGAGACTCTGATCACATCTCCGAGGGGGGAACCGAACCGATCACAGCACAGTCGCACAGATGGCTCCTGAAATGGATATAAAAGGCTCATCAGCCTCTGTTCTTATAATCTAATCAGATGCCTTGACACATAACTAAAATGACTAAATAAATAGAAAGAGTATAAAACTACAAAAAATTGGGTAATATTTGTTTGTGATAAACATCTTCATTCAAGTAACCATTCAAAAATGTTGATTTAACATCAAATTAAAATACTTTTCATTTCATTTGTGCTGCCAAGGCAAAAATAATACGAACTCTGTATATATATATATAAAAGAAATAAGAGTACCAGTGGACCAAGATGAACAGCACAACTTCCCCTCATTGATATGCTTGACGTCAAGCCCGATCAACCATGAACCGACGCTGATATCATCATGGGCGTATGCCTTCAGGTTGGATCTGCGTAAAGAAAGGGGTAATCAGGGCTCCACTAGCTTCTCATGGGGTGGGATTCCAGTATGGTAGCATGAAGACAGACAGTCAACTAACCTGTTAATCGAGATAAACTGTGCTAAAGCTCTGGATAAGATAAAAAATTCACCAGACGCATGACGAAAATATCTGTCAGACAGGGCAACAAATTTTCTTTAACATGGAGAAGAAAATAGAGCCGCGTGAAGCAAATCAATCAGCAGGCATATATAATATGCATAAGAAATTCAGAAAATAGACGCTAATTACAGATATTTCCACATAAAAATATGCCATAAATGGTAAGACAGATATTTCCACAAGTGATGCAGAAGCCCAGAAGAAAACGGATGATTCATAGTAAGAAATGAAGAATTGACGAAGGTAAATCGGATTTCATGAAAACCATCCGTGGAAAAGAGTTACAAAGAAAGTTGGGAATATACTCACGACTTTCCGTCGCCAAATTTCCACCAATCAGGTTCGTACCATTTGTGTTTTCTGAAGAAATCAAGTGAAAACCGATGAAAGGGACGCATGAATGGAACTTGAGAGCTGAGCAGCCAGCTCACGAAAGGCAAACTGACTGATATAACATGATTCGATGAACTTACGAGTCAGAGAAAACTTCGCCTGATTTCATGCATCCAATGTAGACACGCGGCTGGTCCAAATGAGGTGAAAGCATTGTTGTCAAAGAATCTGAAACAGAAATCAAAGATGCCGCGTTGAGAAACACTCACTTATTCTGGCAGATTAAAAAACAAATCCTGGTAGTTCTAATATATAGCATGCAGGTACCAATGAAAGCAGCGATTTGTGCTCGTCAACATAGGTGAGATATAAATTAGGTAATAAAATGCTGATGATAATGATTGTACTGTAGTTCTCACTAAAGAGGACGGTCATTAAGTGAGAAACTTCCAAGATAACATATAGGTGAATAGCTTCTTCATACTCACACACAGAAAAACGAAAAAACCCAGAAAATTCATCTCAACCCCACTGTTTACATGTTGATAAATACCATTATTCTCAAGTTTTGATCAAGAAGTTTAGCAAAAAATAAAATACTTCCTTTTCCTCATTTCCATTCACCCTGTTAACCACGACTTGGGGCCCTTCCTTTTTCAACTGCTGGCAGCGACAGAGGCTCCCAGCCAGGAGGAAAGAGAGGCTGGGAGGTGAGCATCTTGTTAGGAAGACAGATGGAGATATGACCAAGGAGAGGAAGATAGAAAACTATCAAATTTTGCCTTTTGCGTGCAAAGTATACAACTCTATTTTCAGAAAGAAATCTTAACCAGCGACTGAGAAGTTGACAAATCAGATTGTCATGAATGAAACGCAAAAGACTAAATGTCACAAGTTTTGGATAATACAGGTTATTTCACATGAAGGTTCCAAAATTATAAGGAGATTCCATGGGGAAACGACCCCACATGAATCCTGGCAGATCCACCGGAGAGAAGTCAGAGCTGGCTAAACAAATGCGTGGAAGACGGTCAAGCATGGGGGACTACCACCCTTTTCCTCCAGGGCGGCCATGGGCTGTTCATGACTCGCCAATGTAATCTAGGATAAGCTCTCGACGCTGCTCATGGCTTCGTCATCAAGAACTGCACCAGGCTCTGATAAAAACGCTGCACTGGATGCAGGGCTATTGTTCTAGTGGAAGGAAGAACAGGGGCTCCTTGATGGTCCTAACCGCTGAGATCATAGCTACCACGGCGAAATCATCCTCATTTAAGCTCACATCATCAATGTTGGAATAATTGTGATGCTGGAGTGTCCATGTTCCCAATGTATAGAGGAAGCTTAGAGAGACGATAGGAAGAAAGGTTAAGGGTGGTGACCTATAGGGAGAGGAGGGAGGAAGAGAGTATCAGGTTGGGATTATGGGACGAGATGAATAAGATGGACGCATAGAAGATGTACTGGTTTTCAATTGAAATGGCCAAGGACAAATAATGTAACCAGGAGACAAATTCACCACCGAAAACCTTTTCAATTCTGGCACTTTTTGGGCCAGAGCATTTCTTCCTTACAGAAAACAAACCTCAAGGGCAAGACTATCTATGGCACGGTAGGCATTCAACATAACTCAGGATGGCATCAGGTTGGCAGCCAGTCAAATTTCATGGTATAGCCCAAATATGTTCTTAGTGCATCTCGGGATGATGCTAGGCCTAACAATAGACCATGTCAGATTGTGCAGGAGTCAACCGATCTGTTCTAGATAGTCCGATTTGTGGTCAGTCCGTCTAAAATCAGTTGACAACAGAGTGATTCAGTATCTAAATTAATCAAGCCAAGTTTCAGACAATCCAACCAGAATCAGTGGATCAGGCCCAATTGTCAGGTTTTTTTGGGGAAATCAAGATCACGCACCTCAACCTCGCCACAATTGAACATAGCTGATTTATTATTAAGTGACTTCAAAAAGTTTCAATTCGCTCCTAGTTTTTGGGTGAACAAGTCGAATTGGGGGAAAATAAATGCTAATCTATCAAGTGTCTCATCATGCTTACTTCTATTGGCAAATCTGTACAAAGAAGAAGGGGTTGGAATACAATGATAAATCAAAAAAGAAAAACTGTTACAGAACGGGAAAGAAAGGAAAAAGTAGCAAACTAGAACATTGATTACAGAAATGTTTCCAATTGATTTCAATGGAATACCTTTTGATACGTTCAGCACGAATGAAAGCTTAGAACAAATAGTTTACCTAAATTAACATGAATATCATCATTGACTTTCGCATAAAACTCTGCATCCCAGGTATCAGCCGCATGGCTAAAAAATAACTTTATCTTTTTAGCAACTTCTTCGGGTGCTTCTATTTGATTATCCTGCTCAATCAGAAATAACATAATTTAGTAGAACGAAAGAGATATACACAAAAAAAGAATCGCGCAGATTCTCCTGGAATATGGGGAAATGACAGCCTTCTGGATGATTGCAACAATACCAATAGAGTCATTTAAAGGAATAATTTTAAAGCAGAAGAATTTATAATTGTTACGATCATCAGAAAAAGAAATCCAATTACAGGAACGAATACCAACGCGAGGATGAGATGTAGATGTATTTTCATCCACGAACCTAGAAGGGTAATTTATTTATCTTTAGAAGTTTACTCCTAGATGGTAACTTACAAGAATGAGAAAGTCATTGGTCAGTTTGTTTTCATCCTCAATAGCTCTATCCAAACCGTCTCCCTGATTTGTACTGAACGTCATAAACGAAAAAGTCAGATACGCTAAATTGTAATTTTATGGAATTATTTTCATATTAAAAAGGGGAACCTTCTTCCAATCACGAATCTCAATAAGATGCCTTTCTCCTTCTCCATTTTTTTCAGCGCAGCACCTGCATCAAGTAAAATAATTTTTTACACTTTAGTTTGAACGAAAATATTTTCAAGAGAACGGTATCCATATAAAAAATTTACATCCAAAAGTATTCACCATTAACAAAAATACCCATGTCTTCAAGCATCTCTGAAGAGTTTTTTGTATTGAGCAATCATTGAAAACATACACCCAAGGGAAAATAAAATCTTCATGAATCAGATTAAAGAGTTGAAAGGGGGCGAAATACCAAATGGAGAAGAAATTCTGTTATCAAGATTACAGATTCGTGTGAACAAGGCAAAAGGAGTGGTGGCAGAGCCTCATATTTAGTGAACAGTTTAGAGAAACCGATCTGATCATAGTACAGCTTAGTTTTTCACTTCAGAATAAAAAGAACAACTAGATAATGCAACTCCAGAAGAGCACCTTCAAAAAGAATAAAAAAAAACTTCCGGCCATTGTTAAGATAAATAGTAAGAATTAGACGAGTTCCTGTCAAGATGATTGAAGGACATAACAGTACCGAAATTCTTTTTATATAATAGCATGTTACAGAAAAATGATGCTTAAGAAAAATTCCAACTAGGGATAGTTTACCTTTTTGTACCCATGACTTCCTAATAGCATCCCTGCTTTTTCTCCTACCAAATCCCGTAAATATCCCTATAACAGCTAGTAATCTTTCCCCATGATGTGTTCCATTGCTCTTGGAAGAGTGTTTTGCAACAAATCCCTTCTGTTTCGCACCAACTACTTCAATCTCGAGTTCTGACAATTTCTTATGCTGGTCCCTGGAACAACAAATAACCGAGTTCAAAATCCGAAAGACTCGTCACGATCTTTAACAAAACCTCTGTAAATGTACATAGAGAATCGTCGAGACAAAATACCTGCAGGCCAGTATCTTCAGATTATCATCAACTGTAACCGCTGACTGCCCCTAATAAAAGAAGATACAGAATCAATCGAATTATACAAAATTAAAAGGCAGGGCGTTATTACTAAGATTAGACGACGTCAGGACTACAGCGAATCCTAATGAAACTCGAAAGGCACAGCAGTCATCGGGAATATCCATACCACCAAAAAATCATAGGAGGAAGAGAACAAAGAAGAGTTACCTGACCAGTTCTCCTGTCGATCTCCGTGATAAGAAAAACCCTATTTTCGGAATCCTGCCACAGACTGCGACAGAAGACCATGTGAACCTTCCGCTGATTCAAATGCGCAGATAAACTAAACCCTAATTGTAATTTTGCAGAAGGCAGCTACCTCGGGGCATGGATCTTGGTCAAGATAAAAACACAAATGGCAATAGATCCGATCAAGTGCTGGAGCACCGAAAATAAACGGAGACTCACCGGCCAGCGACGTACACGGAAGCCATCGTCGCGAACATAGCGAGCATCACCGCCGAAATCCGAGAGCGGAAGACCACCCCGGGAAGGCGGTGACCGGCGGGGGCCCGGCTCTGCATCTCCACCCCGCTTCACGTTTCCTCCTCTCAGATGGGGATTATGGGGCGAGGTCTACAAGATCGAAGACTCCCCACGGACCATTTTCTCCGCAGATCTGCAAATCCTCAGCGGGAAACTCAGCCGGGGGGAGTCTACACGTCGGCGGTCAATTGTGCCTGATTACGCGACACATGAGCAGACCCGGGTTGAAAGAAATAACGGTCGCCAGGGGCAGCCACTGAAGCTCTTTCGCAAAATTAACCCCTATCAGATAAAATATTAATCATAAGTCCCTTTCTGCTCCAACGTGCTCAGGCAGTAATCCAAAATGTCCATGTTCATAAGACAAATACCAACTAATACGATGGCTAAATCGTACTTTTGCAACCGCACCCAACCTCGGCCGCTACTTAATTATTTGACATCGATGGATCGATAATCCCGAAGCTCGGTCCCACTCATTCGGGCTCTGGCTTCAAAATTCGGCCCGATAATCCTTAATGACCGACCGGCCCAAGCAGACATGGGACAGGCTTTATGAGAGAGAGAGAGAGAGATAGTGGGGGAACTATTCATGCGTTGACCGGAGAATTAATTAATAACCATAATAATGGCTCTCGCAGCCGAAACCGTAATAGCGGCGTCAACTAGAGCCAGATCATCACAAAGTCAAATCAAGTCAAGTCAAGTCAACATACGTGGCGACAGGATGAGAACGAATGCCCATGTACTAAATCGATCACATCACGATACATATTTAGAGAGAGAGAGATAGAGACAGAGAGAGAGTCCGCGTGTACTAAAGCCAGATTAGGTCCTCCATCAAGAAACGGATTGCTTGGCTACGTGCCGAGCTCGCTGGGAATCGAGGCGGGCCTCCAGGAGCCTGGCTTCCAAGGTGTTCGCCTTCACGCCGGGGGGTAAGGCCGGCGGCGGACCCTCGTCGTCGCCGGCGGCGAGAGATTCCCGCCGGCGGCGATCTTCCGGCGCGGATCGCAGAGTTCTCCACGTCGCGTCGGACCTTCTCCCTTCTTCGACTCGCTTCGAGCGCCGGGCGGTGCCGGGGAGGTCGAAGCTGTGGCGCCGCCGCCGCAAGTCGCCGGCGAGCTCGTCGTCGTCGTCGTCTTCGTCGTTCCAGGGAGCACTGACGGCGTCGTTGAAGGGGACGGACTCGAGGGAGCGCCGGCGATCGGCGGCGGCGGCGCCGCCCTTGATACGGTCTTCTGCCGCGGGATGTAACCGGATGGCTTGGAGAAAGCCTTCGACCTCGCCGGCGAGGTCGCCGCCACGGACTCTGGCGAGCTTCGCCTGCCGACGGGCGTCAAGCCAAGCTTCGGACACTTGGAGGACGAGGTGGCGGCGGCAGCGGCCATGGCCGGCGGCGCCACCATCGGATCTCCTCAGCTCCCTGAGCTCCTCGTATTCTCTGATGCCCTCTGCAAGCTCATCGCAGAATTCTGCCAGCCCCTCGTGGGCCTTCTTCTCCGATTCGAGGTCCCGCAGAGACCTCAGATAAACCGACTTCAGGTCGGAGAATTCTCGGGCCAACTTCCGGCGGAGGCTCTCGGAACGGCGGCGGCGCCGCCGCTCTTCGTGGAGTTGATCTCTCACTGACAGGACGGCTTCCCCTTCTGACTGGTTCTCCTGCAACAGCTCCTGGACGCAGGCCTGAGCTTGTTCTAACTCGAGACCCAGTTTTTTCACCAGCGATAGGCTGGAGGCATGGTGCTCTTCCAGGGCCCAGATCCGATCAAATGCTCTCAATAAATCCGTTGACAGCTTGAAGCCGTAGCCCGGCCTCCCCTTGAGATCCGAAGAACTTGACGGAGCAGCAGCCTGATTAGAGATTAATTACATCGAAATGTGATCGGATTAACAGTAATCAGAGTCTTATTGTATATGATCAGAAAAAGATTATGAACATTTTTTTTTATCTTTACTCGAATCTTAAATTCTGGGGAAAAAATGTTCCTCCGGAGAGATTTACAATACATATAAAATTCCACAAAAATAAACAGAATCAATCCGGAAAGTGAATGATTCACCAAATATATCCACATGTAAATGCAAATAAATAAAAAAGTAAAATCCTAGATTTTTTTCCTAAAAAGTCAAAAGTGCTCGAGCAAGTTATTCACTCCATCCAGTCAATCATATGATCTGATGATCTGCACCTAATCATAGTTCATCATTTTGAGGCTAGTTCTATGGTGGCGTATAAGATCGCATCGCACATTTTCAAGGGAGAGGCTGACCAAGGACCTTACTATTATCACCAGAAAATAAAAGAGCTTAATCGTCCTAAATTTTGGTATATGAGAGTCAATTGGAACAGATATACCACTGAAAAAAATTAACAGATAAATTTGAAAATTGGGTAAATAGGGAAATATTTCGTTAGTTGGTTCAGTGGGTAAAATATGGGCCGGAAAGGTTGACTTTGCGATCGGCTTTGGCGCTAATCTCATAGATTTATCACGATGGAAGCTTTCTACAGAACAGGGAAGTTCTAAGGTTTCAAAGCGGCTAAATATGGTGGCTGCTCCACAATCTGAGACATCGATCACGGTCAACGGCCTCCAACAACGATCGCAAGGTTTTGAAAATCGGGGCAAGGAAGTCGGAGGAGAAGCCAAAAGTTGGATGCTGCTCTTACCGGCAGGCGGGAGAGGAAGGGTTTCGCCAGCTTCTCCTCCTCGAGACTGCGAGATGTGGCTCCTTCCCGGCTCATCCCGGAATGCTGGAGGAGGATATCCTTGGCCTCCCAGAAGTTGGGGACGAGAGTCCTGGAGGAGGAAGAGCGGGGCACGCTTGGAAACCGGTGGCGGAGATGCTGCTTTGAGCATGTCGGTTTCTGGTTATCGCCGGCGGCGGTGTGGCTGCCATTGCGAGCTGGCGAAGTTCCCAAATCTTCGGCATCCTCCTCCACCTTCCAGGGCTGCACAGGCGTGCAAGGGTCCCCCTTTCTGGCAATGTTTAGCACCCGCCTCAGCTTGAACCCTAGCCGCGCCGGCTTCTTCCGCTTTCCCCTGTCGGTTCCTACCTCGCCCTCGTCGCCATGGCTTGGGACACCAAGATCTGCCTCTTCACAATCTCGCACTTGCTCCATTCGCCCTTTCTCTCTCTACCCACTGGCACTGGCACTGCCGCTGCCGCTGCCACTCCTGTTCTCAAATCTTTGTTCCCTCCCCCACCTCACATCTCCCACTTGCTCCGATGGGACCTGTGAGACGACGGCAGCAGAGCTCTTAGCTACAGAGACGGAGCACAGGAAAGGGTAGACAACATAGACTAGACAGAGAAAGAGAGAGAAAGCAGAGAGAGAGCGGGTACCTTTTGTCCGGAATCGCGGCCGACCATCAGACGCGTAGGGCACTGGAACCGGTGAATTGAAGGATAGGATTAACGGATACATGTTGTTAAAGGACAAGTCGAAGCCTCTGGCGGACTCACCTCCGCTTCTGGCGGAGGCACGTAGCCCTCGTGACCGGACATTACGGCCCGTACGGCGCAACGTTGCGTCAGGGACAGCGGTCGACAACTGTCTGGTGAGCCCACGCCGGGGGAAGTGCTGGCCCTGGCCGGCGGTCGGCAACGACCGCCGCACGTCCCCTCGAAGAAAGTCTGCGGCGGCGGCAACAGCGGACTGGTCTCCAGCTGCGCCCTTCCTCTGTCTTGGTCCAGGGACGGGAGGAAGGGAGCAAGGGAGAGCTAAAGCGTCGATCGTCATGAAAACGTTAACGTTCACAACAGGAAAATAATAGCTCAAGGAGGAAAATCGATTACTATATATCATGTCACTGTAAATATATGGAATCCATGAATGGTCAACGGCGGATGGGAGGGGAGGGAGGGCAAGGGGGTTCAAGAATCTGCAGAAATGTAAGGCAGAACATGAAAGAGATTGAAGTCTACCATTGGTTCATCGACAACCGCTAAACCACCGCCTGTAATGCCTCATAGTTGCATGATTGTTACTTCTCCAAGTCCAGACAAATCATTTCCAGCTAGTGACCAAGTCTGAAGACTATCTATCTATCTATCATTCAAGGAGAAACTTCCAGTCTGGGTTCGAAGCAGAAGCCCGTGAAGAGCTGAAGAGGGAATCTCTTGTTCATGGGGCATTTCAGCGACCACCTCCACAGCTTCAGGTTCATGTCGAATACCAGCAACGCCGGAGCACCATAGCTCTGAATGTAAACCAGATCGCCGCTGCCGCTGCTGGCAAAGACATCGTCGAACTCCCCGAATCCCTGGAAGAATCTGTGGGGCATCCGAGAAACCTCCCGCCACTCCCTCTTGTGGAGCTCCCAGATGCCTATTCCCTTGATGATGTCAGGTCGATCCTGCTTCCCGATCCCCCCCACCATCACCAGCCTGTCTCTGAGGTTCATCAGGCGGCCGCAGGTGAGAGAACAGGGCACTGGTATTGAAGATCTCACCAAGGAGCCACGAGTGTACGTAGTGGAAAGCTCATACATGACCAAGCTGTGACGGCTCACCACGTTGCTCACCACGCCAGTGCAGTACACCAGGAAGTAGAGGACTCCATTGCAGATCACGCTTTCGTCTCCCCCCCTCCAGCCAGTCAAGATCTCCTTAGTGGAGGTGACCCAGCTCTTGGACTCCGACCCATAGACATGGATAGAGAGGTCCCATTGGAGGAAATCTCCGGGTACTTGCTTGGACTTAACAACTGCAACCGTGTAACTCCGAGAAGCTCTGTCCACAGAGATGGAGAGAGCGCTGTAGTCAGAGAACTTGCCACCAGGGGGCTCATTGAGCCTCTTCGAATCCTTAGTGATAGGGTTGCAGATGAAGAGGCGAGTCCTGGTTTCGTTGTCCATGAAGCAGAGAAGGCCGCAGGAGGAAGAGACGAACCAACTGCTGGTATCAATACAGGGTAGCTCCAGGCCGCCGTACCACTTCCTGAAGACGGGGTCGTAGGCATATCCTGTTGAGGCCTCATTGCAGGTGAACATGAAGTACCATGGCTTCAGAGACTTGCAAGAGGGGGAAAAGTTGCCTAGGAATCTCTTGGACCTCACGATCTCGTTCCACCTCTTGCAAACGCACCCTGCTCTGAAGACGCTAGAGATGGGCAAATAGGCGAGGATTCTCTCTAGGAGATCGTCAGGTAGAAGAAGGTCAAGGGAGACTGATGAGCCGTTGTCTGCTTCGTCGAACTCCGAAAATGGTTCGAAGTCTTGGACTTCGCTGGTTGCCATTTTGATGTTGCGGTGACTAATCCATGATCTTTCGCCCTCCATGAAGAGAAGAAGGAAAAAGGAAACCTAACCACAGAGAATGGAATAAGAATTCAGCATCGAAACCACGTAACCATCCAGGAGGCAGAGAAAAAGTAAATCTCCATTGCACGTCAGATATGAGGGTAAACGTATCGAAGAACATCTGTCACAGGAAAAATTTCAGATATTACAATACACGATGAGAGAGCGAGATTTATGAAACCATGAAATATTAACATATGTTGAGAGAGAAAGAGAGAAGGGAAGGGAGGGGGAGAGAGAGAGAGTGAGGAACCTCTCCAAAGCAAAAACACAAAGGTCATCGCTGAAGGCCATGCTAGAACAGAAGAATAGGGTTAAAACATCGATCGGCGTCCGCTAAATCGTATTCCATACAGAGGAATCGGGCGTAAATAAAAGAAGTTAAAGCAGAGGAAAGGCAGATGATCAACGAGGAGACAGAAGCCTTCTCGGATGCTTCGCTTTCCGCAACAGGACAGAAAACGGATAAAAATGAAGAACAAGATGGCATAGAGCTGCCTCAGAATTCCTGATGACGCTTCGGGCGGCGAGAGGTTGACAAAGTCAAAAAAGAACTACGACTCCAAAAATATCGTGGAAGTAAATGTAGGCATCAGAAACAGGAAATCCACATGCAATCCCTCCGGAGAACAAACAGCTGCGTCGTGTTTTCTACAACAGGAACAGATCCGCCCAGCGCTCCACCCGTCGCCGGAGGCTCGGCAGAGAGACAAGGGGAGGGCACAAACCCACGCACAACACTACAAATGAAAAGGAAGCTTACAGTCGCATCTACCTCGGAAAAAAGAGGAGGGAAAAACCAGGAGAAGGCCTTCCAGACGACCTTCCCCCTAGTCGATCTCGAGATACATTCCTTTTCCTTCCCTTTCCCCAATCAGCCAATGGATTCGTCCGACGCCGTCTGAAAGCTACCACAGATTTATCCGATGCCCAAACTTCGGAGCGGAAGCGGGTGGAAGACGAAATCAGGGGCCCGGGCCCTCGAGTCGAGAGCGGGACCTCTGATGTTATAGAGACCTTCCCCTCCGGAGGGGATGGTGGTCGGCCTGAGAGAGAGCCTTCATCTCCCTCCGTTTATCCAGAGACGACCGGAGGAGCAGAGATTCTGTTTAGGGCTGCCCCCCGGGAGGGGTAAAAAGGTAATATCCATATGTTTCCAAAAGGAGTAAATGTCTCCGTCGTGTGCACATTTAATGCCGCTGGAATTTTTTTATTCCAATATACTACAGTTTTTAGGTACTAAACACATTTTTCGTTGATCCGACGTGGTTGGTTAATGCAGGGCCTGGGGATTTTTAATATTATATATATATATATATATATATATATCTTAGTATACGTAACTATATAACATAATAAATAAACAAATAAATTTAAATACAATATAATTATAATATTAATAAATATCAACTCCAGAGCCCGATAGGGCCGTTAAATGGGATTTTGGGCCGGACGCTGTCAAAGCCCATTTAAAACCGGTTTGATGATCCTACGAGAGCGGGCCCAGCCTTAACGGCCCTTTATCCATGTCCTTTGGAAATTAATTGAATGGCACGTGGTCAATTGGAAATTTCCAGTCATTTGAGAGGAAGAGAGATTTAAACTGTCTTTCCCGCTCGCATTGATTTCCTCATTCCGTTTTACCGACTGGAATGCGGAACCCGAGCAGTAGATTCTTCCTGAACGGTGCCGCGCGTCGGAAGTTTCCCCGCTAATCTGTTCCACTTTTTTCTCAATGGTAAGTAATGGCGGCTTGTGAGAAGAGGATTCCCCTCTTTCTCGATGTTGCTTGCGTCTGTGAGGATTGTCCATTGGGTCCTTCCATCTTTCGATGGAATCATGTTTTGTGGATTGGATGTTATTGTGCATCTTGGATCAAATGTTGCGGAGTTTTCTTCTCTTGTGCATGCAAATGGCGTTCTGTCTGTTCAAGTCATCATCGTCTTGGAAAATGACTCGACGGATTTGTACATCGAGTGGAAGTCGTGAAATAATACAACATTTGAATGAAATTTCCTGGATCTGAATCGGATTGACTTTGAGCGAAACTGCTTTTAATCTAGGTAAATGTTTTTTTTGGCGAAGTCATGTGAAATGTGAGATGCTTATCAATCAGGTTTACACCGTTCATGTGAATGATGAAACAGTTCCGAAGATGGTCGGCGTGTTTATGCTCTACAGAAAGGCTGAAAATGAACTTGCCTGGATTTTGAAGCTTTATTTTAGGGATCTCGGTTTCGTTTACGGATGTCTCCTGGCTATGTTACCGAGCTCGCTTCCACGTTCCAAATTCCAGCGGCACGGCTGTCCTTTCTCCGAGGTAGCACTCCGTCGCGATTGGCGGGAGATATTGTTCGCTTCTCCCTCCGAATGTGCTCGCCAGCGTTCGATTCTGACCTTGTCGCAAGGATTGGAATCAACCCCACCCCACCAACCCCTTTTGGGTTTTCTCCCCTGATCCCCTTTAGTGTCTGATCGCGTCTAAGCTTACCTGAGCCCCCCGCCCTCAAAACCAAGGGTGGTCGACCGAAAGCACACGAGCCGACCCGCTGACTTGCTTCGTCGTCGTAGACTCGAGAACTCCGCTGCGCTGCCCGGAGCTCTCCATGGGAAACTGCAATGGCTCGCCGTACGACGAAGACGGCAGAGGCTCTGGTGGCGGACCGGGCTCCTCCGCCAACAACGGCCTCAACATCCATCCTTCCCCAAAACCCGGCACCGATCCGCCGCCAGATCCGCCGGCGTCCGTTGACGCACATCCCCGACCATCTCATCTTTTTTCAAAAGTCGGGCGTGTCCTCGGCCACCCGATGGAAGACGTGAGATCGATCTTCAACTTTGGGCGCGAGCTCGGCCGCGGGCAGTTCGGTGTCACCCACCTCGTCACCCACAAGCAGACCAAGGAGGTCTTCGCCTGCAAATCGATCGCGACGCGGAAGCTGGTCACCAAGGACGACATCGAAGATGTCCGGCGCGAGGTGCAGATCATGCACCACCTGACGGGGCACCGGAACGTCGTGGAGCTTAAGGGAACCTACGAAGATAGGTCCTCTGTGAATCTTATTATGGAGCTCTGCGAGGGTGGGGAGCTCTTTGATCGCATTATCGCCAAGGGACACTACTCCGAGAGGGCTGCGGTGGCGCTGTTCAGGGAGATCGCTACCGTTGTTCACAACTGTCTCTCGATGGGGGTGATGCACCGAGATCTGAAGCCGGAGAATTTCCTCTTCCTGAACAAGATGGAGAATTCTCCACTCAAAGTCACTGACTTCGGGCTGTCCCTATTTTTCAAACCTGGTATCGTTCCATCACACAGCGAATTGGCAATTGTTGGGAAAATAGGGTTAATTTCTGCTTCGGTCAGGATCACTAAATTATTGCATTGGCCTAGTATCAGTAAAGGAATCTGTCACGAGACACATCCGACTTTTAACAGATTATTGTGCATGTGTGTGCTCATATTTTGTTGACCACTTTGTGAAGAATGCTTCTCCTGTACCGTTTTCTCCTGGCTTTTCAATCCCTTCATCAGTTCATCAGTTTTTCTACTTTGAAGTTTCAGATCTGTCTGTGGAACCCATGTCTACTGCTGCTTAAGAGATGGGCTGATGCTGACAACCTATCATCTTGTGATTTGGTTTTCACTATGGTTTTCTTGTATCCAGAGTATTACCTTAAGAGGACGCTCCATTACCCACCCATTAGCATATAACAGGCATTCAAAGCACTCTGGCATACTGAAGCTACAAGTAGTTGTTTGTGACCGTTTTCGAACTTTTATTTTCTATCTTGCCTACTCTAGTCTTTTGATGATATTGTTGGACGCATGTCGATTAATGGAATTTTACATGTTTCATGGATGTAGGAGAAGTGTTTAAAGACCTAGTAGGCAGCGCATATTATGTGGCACCTGAAGTCCTGCGACGCCACTACAGTGCAGAAGCTGATGTTTGGAGTGCCGGAGTGATACTCTATATTCTTCTATCTGGAGTCCCACCTTTTTGGGGAGGTTTATTTATTATCTAAAGTTGATAGATACTTGATACTTACATTAAAATTTTAAAAACTCTTTTATCAAACATCAACCTTTTTTTCTGACAGAGACTGAGCAGGGAATATTTGATGCCATTTTATTGGGCGAGCTAGACTTCTCACACAAGCCTTGGCCTTCAATTTCTAGTACTGCCAAGGATCTAGTGACGAAGATGCTAAATCCAGATCCTAAGGGACGCATTACTGCAGTCGATGTTCTGAGTAAGAATTCAGGATATCATTTTTGCAGTTTGCAGTGCCTTTCTTAAAATGTGATATTCTCTCTTGCAAGTCAAATCAGCTGTAAAACCTCAACCTGATATTTTTCTGGTCGTTTTGTTCTATTATCCAAATTGTATGGCTGGGCCATGCTCTATGTGGTCTCAGTCCCCTTCTATTTTTAATACAAAATTTAGATAGCACTATACCGTGCAGGCAGTTATCATATTGCAGATTTCTAGTCTCTAGAAATCTGTCATACGTTATCTGTCTTTGTTCGTCTGACATCTCATCTTTTTGCTGTAAGGTCACCTTCGTTATCCGTTTTATAAGTTGAACTGATATGTGTTGCGTTCTTGTGGGAGTATTACACTTTTTCTCTCCATTAAGCGCTAGATCAAACTGGGTTTCTGGATATCCTCCTAGATCTTTCTCTTCTGATATTATTCTCTAATTTTGTCTCAAAAAAACGCAGATCATCCCTGGATGAGAGATGGGGAGGCATCGGATGAACCAATCGATATTACTGTGCTGACTAGAATGAAGCAGTTCCAGGCAATGAACAAGTTTAAGAAAGTAGCTTTGAAGGTGCTTAATCTACATTCGCTATTTAGTTGTGTATATCCTTGATACCATCATAGTGGTTAGACTTACCTTCTGCTCAAAGACGGGAGTTTCAGATAACTTTTTCCGTTTTTTTTTTTTATGTAGGTAATTGCTGAGCATCTCTCTGAGGAAGAAATTATTGGATTGAAAGAGATGTTTAAATCTATGGACACTGATAACAATGGAACAATTACGTATGAAGAACTAAAAACTGGTCTCCGAAACCTGGGAACTAAGCTTTCTGAATCAGAAGTATACCAGTTGATGCAGGCGGTATGATCTCATTGTTAACCTTTTACTTTAGTTGAAGCCTAATGATGAAAAATTGCTTGTTGAGTTTCTAAAGTTGCCTCCGCTCATATCACAGTTTTTTTTTTCTCTCATTTATGATAAATGCCACATGATAAGGGAAAGGGGTCTTCCCAGTTGGGCATTCAAAGGGGATTGGAAGTCCTTCATACAATACAATAGGCTGGCTTTAGGACTAGAATAGTCAATAGTCCTTCACGTGATTGCATGGGATGACAGTTTTCTCAGGGTAGGAGCGAGGCTGTATAGATTTTTCTACCATTTTCTGTGAACACGAGCATTTGGCAAATATCATAACTCGTGATTTAACTCTTTCCTTCTAGTTATATTAAGTCTAGCTGTTCATGACATTATGAGGATAGTTTTTCATCGTAAAGTTTGTCTCTGATTTTAATTATATATGATGAGAAATTGATGCTTTGAACAAACCTTCCCCTTGGGAAACATTTTTTTTTTCATCTCACTTTTCAATCACAGGAACAAACATAAAATAAAATCTGATCTGGAATGATTTTTCGTGAAAAAAAATAATTCTTTGTGGATACTAATATAAAACTATAATTACATCCATGGAAAATAAGACTGTTTATAGACTGATAATGGTAAAATAGTGATCTTGATGTAGCAGAAGAAATAAGACCAGAGCCATGCAAATCCTTTGCTTCTGATTAGGATGAGCTGGGTGATAGCCTGCATAGGGTGGTGTCTTTTTTAACAGAAAGGTAGCAAAAAAGCACTTAACCTCCAAGGTCTAGTAGGCATATTTGTCAAGCTATCAAAGGGCAGAAACTTCTGCTTCTGCATTTAAGTATTTTTGTCTTCAGCATTTACTCAGTTTGTCATTCCATTTTTCGTCCTTAATAGCGACCTTTTTTGTGTTTAATTTCAGGCTGATGTTGATGGAAATGGGACCATCGATTACATAGAGTTTATAACGGCCACGATGCATATGAACAGAATGGACAGAGAGAACCATTTATACATGGTGTTTCAATACTTTGATCGAGACAATAGCGGGTAGCTTTCACCTCTCATGGGGACCAACAGCCTGAAACTTACGCCTTTGTCAGTTTAAAATCGGTTGCATGTGCGTGCTACACACAGGTACATTACAAAGGAGGAACTGGAGCAGGGGCTCAAAAAGCATAATATGGGTGATGGAAAGGCAGTTTCGGAGATAATCGCAGAAGTGGACACAGACCATGTAAACATCCTTCACACATTGCTATTTATGTTTGCTTAGTAATCATGGTCATCCAGTGATTGCTATTTCATTTGACTAATAAATGCTTTCTGTTTGCACTATGATAATTGCAAAAGTGGTCGTTGACAGATATATATATATATATATATATATATATATATATGTATATATAGGTGTAACCTAGAGATTAAATATTTTATAATCCAGACTGGATGATCTTGATAAGGAAATGGTGATTGCTTATCTCTACTATCAGATGGTTCTTTTACTTTTAAATTTGGTGTAGGCCGGTAACATCTGATAGAGAGAGACGAGGATCTAGATAAAGAGGAAGGTTATTTAACTTATGCAGGATTGTTTTAGAAATAACTTAAGATGAAGGGATCCCAATATGCAAAGTATTTCCAAGTTGTGTGGAGGATCTAGATTAGGCACCTAATACAATCGTTATGATACTCAGGCATCTTTTGAGAATTTTATCCAGAAAACTGTTGGGTAGGCTGCAGCTTCTCTGGGGCTTCAGAGCTCTCATGTTACCATGGTGATTTTGTGCCCAAGAAAGTTTATGAAAAACAGCAGATTGAGCTACTCCCGACTTTTCAGCTTGCTCCATAGGACCAGATAAATTCAGTGGTGGAGCAGAACTGTGCTTAGTCAGTCGAAGAGTCATTGCATTTCTAGCTTACTTCAGTAAATAGAATCATCTATCCTGGAAGCTCCTCGAAGGGGAGGATTGGAATTCCTTCCTGTTTCAATTTCAGGGGTCGCTATTGTGTAAAGCACCCTGCTTCTGTTTCATAACCACTGAATATCTAAGAACATGATGATCATATCTTCTAATGCGGTTAGATGATTCTGTAGGCCCCATCATTTCACTTAGAATGCTTTGTATTCTCCTCTGTCATTGCTCCTACGTTGTTGATACTTCTCTTCCACTGCTGAAGTTGCAGAGCTGGAGATGTTGTCGTGGCGAGCTAAGCTTTCACCAATGTTGTCCAATCCTTGGCAGACTGTGACTTCGTCTGCTGCTTTCCCCGAACTGCTTGTGTTCTTTTTTTCTGTAGTTTCGGTGGTGGTTTACTTTCCAGTTCTGAACATAGAAATATCTTAATCTGGTGATCCACCGGATTTAATGCTGTTTTTTTTTTCATGCGCAGATTATTTAAGATAGAATAATGCAAGTTCTTCTTTATTTGTTGGAATGCAAGAAAGAACAGCCGCATTTTATTTTTTCTCTCCTTTCATAAATGCACGTTACCTGAATGATTCTCACTGCAAGGGGGGATACAAATTTTTATTTTTATTTTTATTTATTTATTTTTCTTGGAATGGAAGAAGATTATAGTCGAAGTAGAGAATTGGGCAGCCTGATTTATCTTTGGTTGCTGTTAAACTGTTTACCCCCCCTGGATGATCTCTAATACCAGAGAGTGCGTATTCTTTCACGCACTTTATCATCGTTTTATTTTTTTTATTTTTAATTTTTACTATTTTATTTTTACAAGGTAACATTATGAACAATAATCAGAATTATGCGATGATCTTGGAAACAAATCGATTCTTAAAACCATGCGATGAACAAACACGCTGCTGTTGTCTTCGTTTCTCGTTTCCTTCTCACGCATTCCATCGTCGATCTGAAAATCTGCAGGATGGACGGATCAACTACGACGAATTTGTGGCCATGATGAGGAAGGGTGACCCTGAGCCGGACCCGGCGCGGAAGAAGAGATAAGAGATGTCGAGGTATGACCTACGACCGAGATTTCCTCTGTTTACCTCATCAGGAGACTTGCTATGCTGACGTGGTCGTCATGATCGCTCTCTCTCTCTCTCTCTCTCTTTCTCTTTCTCTCTCTTGCTTGAGTGTATATAAATCGACGAGGATTGGGCCCGGGCGTTGATTCGTATACTCTTCCAATACTCTACGAAAGTTTGTATTTATTTTAGTCAGAACCACCATTCCAACACAAACAAACAAAAAAAAAGATTTCGACTTGGAAGTCAAGCCTGAGCCAGCTTGTGTTGGGCAAGGCCTGCCCCGTCCCCTCTCATCGATTGTTCTCTCTCCCTTGACCTTCACGCAATGGGCGTTGACCACAGATTCCTTCAATCATCAGACGTTTACCCTTCGTCGATCTCCCTTTCTTTAGCAGGCGTTGAATGGACACGAGAGCAACATGGTCAACTCCCTTCTCTAGGAGCAATCAAGATTGGGGCTGGAAAAAAAAAAAAAAAAAAAGGGAAGAAAAAAGAAGAGAGAAGAATACGATGCCCTGCCAGAAAGGGGAACCGAAGGAGGACCGAGGAGAAATCTCGTATCTTGAGATCATGTTCAGAAATAGGAACCGAAAACCCGGGAAGCACTGGAGGAGAAGCGGTGGCGTGATTACAATACAAGGGCTTTCTTCTGCTTTGGGTACTTGTTCTTGACAAAGAACGCCGAGAGCATGCTCTTACTGCGGAGAGGAGGCCGGATGATCTCTCGTCTGCCTGCGTTGTTGTCAAGGTACTGGAAGCTTGACAAGTTCATGGGAACCTCAGCAGCATCCTGATGATGATAATGAAAAATATATATATTATTTAAATAAATAAATAACGGAATAAGAAGAGAAGACGTTGATGTTCTTCTCAATCACAGATAGATCCTTGAAGATGGCAAGAACAAGATCAGCCACGTGAACAGAGAGAGTTGGGGAAAGTCAGCTCGCTCGCACGTGGTGCAGCGTGATCTTTTTGACTTTAAATAAAAAAATTCAACCCAATTCTGGTGGTGATTCTTTTTTAGTGCCTTGTCTAGGTTCCGAGGGAAAAGTCAGCACGATCTTCTTGACTTAAAATAAAAAAATGTCAACCCTCTTCTGGTGGTGATTTTTTTTCTGTAATGCCTTGTCTAGGTTCGTGGAAAGAAATTACCTTGGCAAGGAGCGCCTGCACGATTGGATCAGGAGTGGGGGTTCCGGAGGAGGATTGCAGATGTGCCGCTCCAGAGGCTGCTTCGTATGGTTAATTATGTCAATAAATGATGAGCAAAAATGAGACGGCAATCTTAGGTAGCATAATTATCGAACTTACTAGTTGGATGGAGGAGATCAGCGACCTTAGAATCCTTGGTATCTTCATTGCTGCATCATTAGCAACAGATGAACAAAAAGGGAAGCATGTGGGCGCAACATCGAATCAATGGGGGGATACAAGATCGCGGAATCTAAAGGCTCAGAAACTTACCCTGATGGCGTCTTCGAGGCTCCTTCGGACGATGTGGCATTGGGTTCGGAAGCCAGATGCCACAGAAGAGTTTTGGTACCCTGCGTACCTGAGATTGATGACGATGATGATGATGATGAGAGAGAGAGAAGGGAACATCCAAAGAACTGGGAGAATGTGAGGGTAAGAACTGTGGATGTGTACCCAGAGGATGAGGACGAGGCATTGTCTGGACGGGGCTCTGCTTCTTCTCAGTCAATAATGGTGGATTACTATGTGCCGCCCCTTTGCTGACAGAGTCTGACTCGTGCATTCAAATCAAAAGAGTCAACTAACATTCCCCCCTGATGGAGATTTCAAACTTTAGAGAGAGAAAGGCTAATTTGGGATTGTGGATCGTACTTGGGAGTATGTAATGCTTGTGATGCCTCGGACAGATGGGAAACAGTTGCCGCTGTCGGAGGTTGTCCTTGTCTATGAAGCACTGGGAAGTGAGAACTCGCTGGCAATGAGAGCAAGAAGTGATCAGCTTCTCTTTTTGGGGAGAAGTTTTCTCAGGATCTTACCCGATTTGTTCCAACCATACTTATCTCCCAGGGTCCCACCTGATTTAGGGAGGAAATCTTGAGCTCCACTGTCGACATGTCTGAAGTTTGCTGTTCGAACAGGTCGGTCAGCTTGTAAGCGACGGTGCCAAGGTGGTCAACGGCGTTGACGAGGGCTCGAACGGCATAATCCTTCAGGTTGTCCAACACTCTGGCACAGGAGTGGAAGTCTAGAGCTCAGAAAAGTTGAAGAAACAATAAAAGCGCAAGACAGATAAAATGGTCAATCGACCCATTTTCCAACAAGAAAAGAACAACAGCACCTTCCATATATCCCAAATATAAGTTTATGAGAAATATAGATGGAGACTTAGGTAGGAGGGAATATTATTCAATGGTGGTTGAGTATCAAGCATATCAACAGGAGAAAATGGATCGGATCGGTTTCGTTTCTTAATTCCGGGAGAAAAATAAATTATCCCACAGAAAAGTCCACAGAGCAAATGTAGATGTAGCTCTTCTTCTATTAATCCTCAAAAGTAAAATAAAAATAAAAATTAATGAGTGAAAGACTGGAAGATGGGCCTTGAAACTTATTAAGGCCAGGCCCTTGGCCCCTGTTCCAGGTTACCAAGCGAAAGCTTTGTTCTAGTTTACACATGGGTCCATTCTTCTTCCAGCGTTTCCCTCACAGACGTCAAGGTTTCAAGAATTCCAGAGCATTTGTAGAGAACGTAGAGCCTCTTCTAGCATTATGGGCAACACAGAATGTGCATGAGCGAAGCGGCAGGGGTGGATTAAGAGAATTTTCTTAAGCCAGAAGACTTACATCTGTTTCTGTTCATTGTGGAGGTAGGATCTCTCACAGTACTCAGCGGCTGAGTAGAGCTGAGGCCTGAGATTCTTCAGTTCCTGCAGATGACCAGACATGTGATGATCTATAGAATATGAATCTTCAAAAAAGGGGAATCGCCGTCGAAGACAGACTGCACAGAAGAGCAGTCTTCAGAGAGAGAAAATGACAGAGAAAGATCAAAAAAGAAGAAGAACGAAACATGTCGAGTTTATTGCACAAGCTTGGAAAGGCATTGGAGAATGGGCTACAGCATTCCAACAAGAATGAAAGCAAACAACTCCTGCAATAATCTTCAGCATTGCTGACGAAGACGTTTGTCTCTGGGTTTGAAGAACCCAGTGACCCTGGAATTCCCCGAATCGCACGGACAACTCTCAAACCAGAACTTGTTTTACCGGTAAGTCAAATCCATCTGTTCTTGGTGATCATGGCCGTACATGTCGGACGGTAACCATCAACGAAGTTTCCTTCCAAGGCAGAAGTCTACAGACGGTCTCAGATGATCGTCGCGAAGGTAGGACAACGGAGAGCAATTTTTACAGGGGAGAGGAAGAGCATTCTATGTCAAAAAGTGTAGGAAAAACCAGGAATAGAATAAAATTGACGAGGACTAGAGCTACCGGAAGAAATTCAAAATATCACGACACTGGATGCAGCGACGGAGAAAATCTAGGCAGATTCGAATGTATCACGGTGGATCGGACTGAGGAAGCCTCGGAAAGGTGGCTCAGGAAACTCAGATCTAAGAAGGCGGAGAGGAAGGCACTCACCTGCAGGGCCTTGACAAACCCCTTGCTCCTTTCCATGGAAACCATGTCGAAGGTCGCGGCAGGAGCATCCGTCCTCCACTGCTGCATCCCCGCACTCCCGCAAGCAGCTGCCCCTCCGAATCCTTGAGACACCAGCGCAGCCGGGATCGGATCCCCAGGAGGCACTAACGCGAGCAAGTCCCCGGGGAGGAGAAAGCAGCAACAGATGTAGGCAACGGGAAGAGGGAGAAGTGGAAACTCCGACCCGAGGTCGATCCCTACAGCCTTTATTGCTCTGATTTCAGCACCTTTTTCTTTAATTCGCCCCCCCTGCTGTTGTACCACTACGGTGGGGTTGGCAGCGCCGGTAGCTGGTGCAGCAACAGTAGAGAGAGAGATATAGAGAGATAGAGACAGAGAGGAGTAACCCCGGGGGAGAGAGAAAGGTAATCGATGGGGACGAGGGTAAAGACGACGACGAACGATCGGGAGGGAGAAATGTTATTGGGAGGGGCGGCGTAGAACGCGGGGGGCGGTGGTCGCCGGTCCCATCATCGAGTTGTTGTTCCCCCACCCGGAGATGACGACAGGGAACCTTCCGCAGCACAGGATGCCCTTTCCCTTTCGCTTCAGAAGAATGCAACAGTGGTGGAGCCGAGAGCGAGATGACGAGAGAAGGAACGGCGCTTGGTGGTGGCCTTCCCGAGGCCCTTCTTCTTCTTCTTCTTCTCCCCTGGACAGGTTGGAGGATGGCAGAGGGAGAGTGCGCTCTGGGATGGGGACCACTTACAGCTGTGGAAGATCCTTCTGACCGACGACATAGCGTTGTGGTGTCTCCCGCCAGCATCCTATTTATCGTGTTCCCTTTTCCATCACCTCTTTGGTGTCTCCCGCCTACCATTCCTCTATTTTTAGATATAAAATAATCCGGATTCCCTTGTTTTTTTTAAAAAGAACAATATCCACGTCACATTTTAGATGAATCCATATCTAATGGGCCGGCAAATCGAAGGCCCACTTCAGGCCATCCCAACCCAGCCCATTCCAGTTCCTCTGGGCTTGGGCTATACATTTTGTCCGGCCCATAACCCATCTCTCTCTCTCTCTCCCCATCCTCATCTAGAAACAGAGAGAAGAAAGAGATGGAGAGACACCAGTCACGTGGTTGATATATATAGAAATATTTGCACAGAGAGGGGAGACACCGGTCACGTGGTTGATCTATGTACATAGAGAGAGATGTATCTGTAGACTGCAGAGGCTCAAAATCTGGCGAGTTTCAGGGGGGAGGGAGGGGCCCAAAACCCTGTACTCTTTCTTTCATCAGCTTCCCATGCCGGGGCGCCGCCAGGGGAGGAGCAGCAGCCGAGAAGAAGCCACCAGACAGCGGCGGAGCAGGGCGCCGGCAGCGGCCGGAAGGGGAGGTGGTGGCGCCGCCAGCTCGAAGAAAGTCGGGCCGGGGGCGGAGGGGCAGCCGAGGGACTGGATGAGCTCCTCCACTGCGAGGACCCTGAATTTGGGGGGCGAATTGACGGCGACGTTGTCCACGCGGTGCTCGAAGATCTTCCCGTCGCCGTCGAGCTTGAACTCGGAGGTGCCGTCGAAGCGGCCATGGCTGTCCCACGGCACGCGGGGGATCCCGTGCACGATCCACCGGATCATGACGACGTTCTCCGCTGGCTGCCAGATCGAGACGATGTCCAACCAGAGCGCCTTGAAGAACATCCGCCCGCTGATCCGCAGCGCCCAGAAGATCCGCCGGTAGTTATCGATGCCGACGAAGGTGTTGATCCGGTCCTTGAAGACGACGTCCTCCCTGCCCTCGATTTTTAGAACAAGAACGAAATCGAGATCAAAATGCTGCAAACAGAATGAATCACCATAGCTCTGAGAAGCAGGAGGATCCCGGTTCGAGGAAAGAATCTCCAACATAAATGCAGATTGATGATCGGAAATTACGCCCCGAGATCGGACGATCGCGCCATACCAGAGCGCGAGAAATGCGTTCAAATGATGTAATTATGAGCGTGCGGCCGCTCAATCGAGCAAATACAGATTCATCGACGCCGATTTAGGGTTCCAGCTCGCGAAACCCTAGCGCAGAATTTTTCAGGCAGGAGAAACAGGTTCCTAAATGGATGCGACAACTGAGAAAGGATCCGAGAAAGAAAGGATTCAACGTATTCAGCGGCAGCGAATTGCAAACAACTGAGAGATTAATGAAGTGAATGATTCCGCCGCTCAGAAAAAAAAAAAACCCAAAAAGTCTCGGAGAGTTCAACAGTAGATCTCATCGGAGAGAAAGAAGAAGAAGACATGATTCCCATTGCAGATACGAACCTGTAGATGTCGAAGCTGGGCTCCCGGTAGAATATGACCGGGAATTCCTCCCTCAGCGTGCGGATCGCGTAGCCCATGTTGACGTAATACTTCTGCTTATCGCCATCGCCTTCCCTCTGCGGCTGCTGCTTCAAGGACGGCAGCGGTGATGGGGCCGAGAATGGCGACGCCGGTAGCAGCGGGCCAGCGAGAAGCGGAGAGATCACTCGCCGCCCATCCCGCAGAGCATCGGAGACACTGAGAACCCTCTCCTCTCCAGTCTTCGTCGTCCTTCTAGAAACCCTAGCTCGGGGAGGACCACCGCTGCTACCGCCGCCCGCAGAGAAGAAGGCGGCGTCCGTGAGAGAGAACACCGCAGACATCGGAGAAATCCGCCGCCTTCGCCGCGCAGGAGGAAGAAGAATCTCAGAGCTGGGTCGCTGAAGGGGCGAACGCCGCCAGCAGGTCCTCCTCCATGTCCAGAACCAGGAGATCGACCGATTGAAGAAAAGCCAGGGAAGTTTGTAGAGAGAGAGGTAGAGCTCTCTCTATCTCTATATAACCCTTCTCGTCGATCCACAGTCTCCGTTGTCTGCAGGCGGCGGAGAACCCTCGACGTGGAAAGACGGCGACGGCGGCTGCCTGCTTGAGCGAGGGATCGATCTTCTGTGGTCTGAACGCCAGCAGCGGGCGGGTTTGTCGGATGTGGATATGGGGATCCGCGGGAGAGATATTTCCACTTCGTGGACGAATCAAAAATCGGAGATTAGGATCGTCGTTAGAGGTGGCTGCTTGGTTGCCTCTCGATGATCCTGCGGAACACCATCTCCGAGAAGGAATCGAATCGGTGACGCTGAGGATCGGAAGGTGGATCCAGATAGATAAATTGTCGCTGACCGAGTTCACTCGGCGGGGCCCGGGTGGGGCCAACGGGCTGGAATCGGTCTCATCTGAACTGGGGCCCGTAGAAATCCCACAGGATAAGTCATCTCGGTCCACCGACCCACGCGGTGGCAGATGTTGCTGAGATGACGTGGCACCGCAAGCAACTGCCAGCTGGATGACTATTTGGGTTAGCCAACGTGGGTCTAAGGCCAGCCCAATTATGGACGTTCCTGCCTAGGCCCAAGAAGGCCAGCTCAATTATGGGTGTCTACTGTATGGGCCCAATAAGCCCATAAAGCCTGGAGGGAGAGAGAGAGAGAAGGGAAGAGATTTATATATTAGAGAGAGAGAGGGAAGCAGTCCAATTCCGGCTCTATATGGGCCGGAGAAAAGCCCAGAAATCCTGGAGAGAGAAAGAGAGAGAGAGGAGGGAAGCAGTCCAATTCTGCTCTATATGGGCCAGCAAAAGCCCGGAAAACCTGGAGAGAGAGAGAGAAAGAGAGAGAGATGGAGGGAGAGCAAAAGAAAACCCGCGGCCCATTTCAGCGCTCGCCGCCGGCAGTTCACCGTTCGTCGATCTGTATGGCGACGGCAGCCTCCCTCTCCACCGGAGGAGGACGAGGAGGGAGAGGAGCTGCGGGGGAGAAGACGACACTGCTGGTCTTCATCTTCATATTCATCTTCATCTTCTTCTTCTTCTTCTTCTTCCCGTCGAGGGGCCTGCTCTCGGCGATGGCAATGGAGACGTCGTTGGGGAAGAGGTCCCCCAGGACGACGGCGTGGACCACGGTGGAGATCAGCAGCACCGCCATCGTCAGCGTTGACATGGCTGAGAGCGCCAGAGACAGAGTCTCCGTCAACGGGTTCGTCACTTCCCCCGCGTACCTGATCGTCGCTATCGCCGCCCCCGTCATCGGGAACGTGTACGCCCACCATGCCAGCGAGAACCTGCAACAAATCCTTTCAATCCTCCTTCCGTCCCCCTAGAGAGAGAGTAGAGAGAGAATATATATATATATATATATATATAGAGAGAGAGAGAGAGAGAGAGGAATAGAGGTCTCTCACCTAAAGCCGCGGAAGAAATTGATACGAACGACCTGCAAAAGACGAGTTTTTTTTTCAGAATTGAGTTTCAGAGAAGATGGAGAGGGTCGGTTTTTCTTGGTTGCTTACGAGGGAGGCGTAGAGGAAGAGGCCGATGAAGTAGGCGATCCTGGAGGCGGAGTCAAAGTGGCCGCTCAGTTCAGCCCAGGCGACGCAGGCAACGGTGGGGGCGGCGACGAAGAGGAAGAAGACAGGGTGGAGCTCCCTGGGGAGGGTCTCGTTACTGGGGAGCCGCTGGTAGAGGGTCACGAAGAGAACGGCGTAGTGGGCCAGCCCCACGGCGAAGAAGAAGATGGGGCCCTCCCGGAGGTCAACGGTGGCGCCGACGAGGGCGCCGACGAAGTTGCCCACGATGGATAGATGGTTGGAGGGGTTGGCCACCCTGGACAGGCGGCGCCGCCCCCCGGACATCCACTCGCCATAGATCTTCAGCTCCAGGCAGAGGATCGGCGACATCAGGGCGCACCAAGTGGCGGCGGCGCCGCCGCCGCGGAGGTCAACGTGGATGGACGGCGGCAGGCCCTGAAAGAGGAAGAGGCAGGCGATCCACGGCGCGAAGAAGAAGTTGACCCGGACGGGGTGGCGGAACTCGCGGCGCACGGCCTCGAAGTAGAAGATTACTTTCATGGCGTAGGTAACGGAGACGGCGGCGGTGAGCAGTAGGGTGGTGAACCAGAGGAGGACGTTGACAGCGGGGCTTATTTTTAGGAGCCTCGTGGTCAACAGCTGCGCCGCCGCCAGGGTCTTCCAAAGGATCGACTGACTCCCCACGCCGAGGCAGATGCCGAACGCGGAGATGGGGAAGCGGAGGAGGAAGGGCCACGGCTCGTCCTCAGGCAGGACCGCCTTCTCCGATTGCTGGAAAAACGGATGGCCAAAAAATCTCCGGTCAGCCACTGAAATCCTCCTCTGAAACTCGGAAAATCTTCTCTGATCGATTTAACTTTATTCTTCTCAACCTTGAGGACGTCCAGCTCGGGGCCCTCCAGCGCGTCCAAGTATCGGTCAACGGGCGGCGCTCCGTGATCCGACGTCTGCCTCTCCACACTTGCAGACCAGGTCTTGAAGGAATCGAAGCTCCTCTTCCTTCCCTCGTCGCCCGCCGCCGCCGCCCCCGCCGGCAGGAGCTGAGAATGAGAGCGGAGTCTCGACCGGTGAGCATTCCCCGAGCGGCGAGCTCCGCCATGGGAGGAGATGAAGGACCTGCCGGTGGGCTCCGGCTGAAGCCCCGATTGAGAAGAGGGCCAGCTGATGCAGATCGAATGACGACGATGGATCTGCAGAATGATTTAAACAAGCGGTTACCTAAAACTGATATGTCGGCGGTCGCCGACAGATATCAAAAATAGAAGGATTTGGGCGTTGACTCGAGACCACTGAGAGAGAGAGTAAGAACAAGAATGAAGGTGGGGGAGGGGGTTTGGGGGGGAGATATGGATGTAGACCAACCTAACCGGCAGGTCAGAGGGACAGCTTCACCCGCTTTCATCATCATGAATGAGGGGTTGACTCTGAATCCACAGAACTACATGAATCCAAGAATATCTCTCGAGCAGAGGAAAAAAGTTTCCCGAATCCGGGGGGAGTACTAGAACAGAATGCATACATAACTGATCGTAGCATTAGGACAAAAAAATGGGGCTGTTTATAACAGTCAATTTAAAAAAAAAAACCAGGAAAATTAGAGAGGATTTGAACTCCCGTTTAATCGGAGTCGGAAAAATGAAGATCGAAGAGACAGGCGTTGACCTAGATGATGATTTTGTGGTCCTGATGGAACGTACGTGTTGCTACAGCCTGCTTTAATAAGCCATTTAAAGAGCATTTTTGACTCCATCAATCAATAAATAAAGAAAAACTATCCTATGATTACTCAACAATCAACGGATTTATAGCCTGGCATAAAGCCCTATTTTATACCAAATTGGGATTAGATGAGTGCAATGAATCCCAAAACACACCCGTTTCGGATTTTTTTATGAACATCATGCGAGAGCTCCAAAAGTCAAAGGAGAATAATCTTATTTAAAGCATAGTTTCTCTCACTCCTTTTTTTTTTTTTACTAAATTAGGATCAATTATCTTTAATGGAGCCAAATCTATGATAGTTTTTAAAACTACATCAACCATATTTTTTAAATCAAGCATAGTATTTTTACTAAATTAGTATCAACTATATTTCAACTAGATCTAATCTGAGAGTTTTTCTTAAGCACAATGGGAACCTCGGATTTTCATATCTCAGAAAACAAGCGAGAAGCAACTATATTAGACCCTAGTTTCTTTTTCTCTTTTCTTTACTAAATTAGGATCAACTATGTTAATGGATCGCACAATATTCATACTCCAGTTCTATATCAAAATATTTTAATGAAAGTATATTTCGCATGGTAAGAGGTTAAAATGATGGTTATGATACCAATAATAATGATATAATGTAAGCATATCTATAATATTTTTATATATCCAGCAAAGAACCTGATAAAATAAATGTGACTTACACCGGCAGATTGAACCGCAGGGGATGGCGGCCTCAGTTCGAGCAATCCGACTCCATCTTCAGCTTGTTCACGACCAGGAGCTATCTTGGGTGCCAGGTGCTCGAAGATACGGGAGAACTCTTCTTCCGCGTCGATCTGGTTGCTCGATCCAAGTGTATCCCGGCCTCCCATGAACCCTACATGAATGAACCAAAGTCAAGAACAGGGTTTCCAGCTTGTGGTCAACTTTAGGTTGACTTTTTCCTCTATTTTTGACCGATTATGGAAAATTTATATAGATCACAGTTCGTCAGTTTCATGTTGACGGCGATGAGATTTCTTTCGTTTTTCTATGAAAAAAAACAAAATTTAGCGTACTGAAAGCCATAAATAGAAATAAAGTGATTTAATATAGGAGAGATATTAATTCAGATAATCACATTTTCTCTAGTTAAAAATAATAAAATCAGCATACGAAACCCCCCAAAAGAACTCTCGAGATCGGCCAGAGTTATGGAATATACGAAACATTTATTGACATAAAAAAGAGATTTTTAAGATCGTACACACCTCAAATTGGCTACGAAAATAAATATTGATTGCTTAAACCGCGGATAGGTGGATAAAAACTCGGAAATTTTCATTGAAAGGAAGATGTTGGCTATCGCCTGGTTAGAGAGTGGAACCAAGGTGATGATGCAGACTCCCAATGCACGAGCGGCTCTCGTAGCTAGATGAGCAGCTTTTCCTCGGCAAGGTGTGGAAATCTTGCAGGTAGAGAAGCCACGCCCAAAGTCTGCGGGAAGAGGAGCCCCGAGGTCAACGTTCAGGTGGAAAAAGAGCAAGAGAAGACTCAGCTTTGGAATCACTATCTCAACCGCTATTAACAAGCAGAAAGCTATAATCAGGGGGGGTGAGGGAGAGTTAGAGGGAGAAAGAGGGAGAAGAGGAGGCCCGCACCAGGAGTTCTACGGTTCCCCTTGATCTTGAAGTCGGAATAACGGGGAATGTAGGTCGACTACAGTGAACTCCCAAGAGAGAGATAGAGGCGGCGATGAATGAGGAGAAGCTGGTGCATATATAGAGACTGGGGAGAGAGAGAGAGAGAGAGAGAGAGAGAGAGAGAGAGAGAGAGATACATGGGTTGGCCGAGTGCAACGACAGCTGTTGTGGGGTATGACGAATCATAAAATTCTAACAGGAGTTGTGAGATGTTTCGAGGCCGGCGAACGGTGGGCTACGCCGGTACGTCGGTGGACTTCCTTGGCTCTCTGGGGGAAGCCGAGATTATTAAAAATGGCGTCACCTTAGTATAGAGCGAGGAGCAGAGAGTGGCCACCTATCACTCCCTTGGACGGAGGGCAGGGGTAACCGAGAGAAGAAGAGTCGCCGTGGAGAGTCGTCTGCTGCCCTAGCGGCCCTCAGAGCTCTGACTTCTCAACCACGCCGCCACCGACAGGGACCCGAAACGCCGCCGTTCGGCAGCCATTACGTGGACGGCGGAGGCCGCCAATGCCTGTCGCTCTAAGAAGCAGCTGGTGCCGACCTCCGGAGACGGCGACAGGTCCCCGGTGTTCCATCCACCGGCGCCGGCGCCGGCGTTATGTACGGAGATCGCCATGGCGGTGTGGAGAAGATGTGGCGACGCCTGAGCCACAGATGAACTGGAGCTTGACTTCGCCTGAGAAGACGACGGGAGTGGGAAACTGTAGTCTTCCCTAGGCATAGAGGACAGCGGTTACGCGATCCACATGACGGATCATCAAATCCGGAGAGATTTGACAGTGGGCACTCCCCCGCCAAGATCAAGAAGAGGATGACGACGACGGCCCATTGCAGCCTCAAAGAGATAAGCCAGGTTTGACTGTTGGAAAACGTGAGGGTCGTCTCGCCGAGCTCGGACTCGGATCTCGTACATAAATTGTGACGGAAAGTGACTCTGATGCGTTGCAATTTATGATGAACGCTTGAGATAGAGATAGATAGAGAAGGAAAGGGAAAGGGAGAGGAGAAGAACAGCACGCAAGGTCCATGTTTCCTGCAAGGTGCGGCCGCTCGTTGCGCTGTAGGTGGGGAACCAGGGTTTTCCTGCGGGGATTTTCGCGTCCGGGAGCCGTCATCGAAGGGGAGGAGAGAGGTCTGTAATATACAGTTGAGCGAGAGAGAGAGAGAGAGAGAGAGAGAGAGAGAGAGAGAGTGGATAGATTGACAGAGATAGGTGGGTTGATAGATAGAGAGACAGATAGATAGGTGGATAGATAAATATACAGACAAACAGACAGACAGACAGATAGATAGATAAACAGATGGATAGATAGATGGATGGATAAATAGATAGATAGATAGATAGATAGATAGATAGATAGATAGATAGATAGATAGATAGATATATATATATATATAGAGAGAGAGAGAGAAGGATATATATATAGATAGATAGATAGATAGATAGATAGATAGATAGATAGATAGATAGATAGATGGATAGATAGATGGATGGATGGATGGATAGATAGATAGATAGATAGATAGATAGATAGATAGATAGATAGATAGATAGATAGATACATAGATAGATAGATACATAGATAGATACATAGATAGATACATAGATAGATACATAGATACATAGATACATAGATAGATAGATAGATAGATACATAGATACATAGATACATAGATACATAGATAGATAGATAGATACATAGATACATAGATAGATAGATAGATAGATACATAGATACATAGATACATAGATACATAGATAGATAGATAGATACATAGATACATAGATAGATAGATAGATAGAGAGAGAGAGAGAGAGAGAGAGAGAGAGAGAGAGAGAGAGAGAGAGAGAGAAGGATATATATATATATAGAAAGAGAGCGATAGAGAAAGAAATATATATATATATATATAGAAAGAAAACGATAGAGAAATATATATATATATATATATATATATATATATATATATAGAGAGAGAGAGAGAGAGAGGAAGATCGCCTCTGACGATGGAATGACATCGCAGTATCTACGATCTTGTTTATAGTGCATATTTTTTGCAGATTTTAAATTCGCGCCCATGTTTTTCCCAAATTATCGTGCTGCTGGCATATTCTAGGATTTCTACCTTCGATAATTAATTAAAAAATCGTATGATGAGAATCTTTTTGTAGGTCTCATCACCGTAAATTTGTTACCGATAAACCCGCGTCTTCTTTATTCCCCTCTTCCAGTCCCTCTCATTTTTAACCATCCGATCTTCCTAAAAAAACTCTAGACTACAAAGTTGCTCAAAAGACAAAAATACCCTCTAATCATCTCTCTCTCTCTCTCTCTCTCTCTCTCTATATATATATATATATATATATCTATATATATATATATATAGATATATTGCAATTCCCCATCTCTCCTCTAATCCACCTCAACTAATCGCTCTCTCTCTCCCCTCCACATTTCTATCACCAATTAACCGTAAATATTCCAAGCATTAATCATAAGGCAATTTGCGGGGGCATATAGGTGGTACCAATAAATACGGAGACCATTCGATAATTCAACAATTTTATCGGGACTGAAGTGGGATTTTTAATAATACTGTATTCAATTAAAGGAAATTTTACTATATAAAAATCCAGGTGTTTTTAAGCCGCTTGATATATACATATCTGCGTACTCGAAAGAAAAACAAAAAAAAAGAAGCAAATCCGGTTTCGTCCGATACTGTGCCGACTCGGAATGGGCCTTACCGGCCCATTAGCATTGGGTCCGGAGAGAGGAAGCCACTCCACTCGGATGTTATACTCGTCGGGGATTTTACAGTGGGGGAATTTTCCCCGCCGAGGGGGGAGGGGCGGGGGGAGGGAGTCGATCGTCCCGTCAATGATCGGTTGGAGAAGGAGATGGGAGATGGGGCCGTGGAGAGGTACGAGAAATTACGGCTCGCGGAGGCGCTCGGCCGTGCGTGCGACTACGCGGCTGCCTGCACCGAGCTCAGCTTTATTTTGAGGGGGGCGTACTCCAAGCTTCCGAAGAATCTGCAGTTCACTGTCTTCCAGGACACTCTTGCCGCCTTCCGTCTCCTCCCAGAGTGAGTGCCTTGGCCATTGAATTTACCCGTTGATTCAGTTTTGTCTCGTTGATACGGAGAGGAGCAAGCGGGACCCAATTCCATTTGGTTTCATGATATTTGGGTTCTCGATCGTTTTCTTATGCGGATTATTTTGGCGCCTTTTTGATCGTTTCCATTGGCAACCGTCGACGATGTGCCGAACCCCATGGTCGATGAGTATGGTTCATCTCAGGTCGGGGGGAAGGTTATTTCTTCTTTCACAATTCGGGAAGATTTGTGCGTAAGAATTGTAGGGAAGAGGTTGCCACGGAAAATCGTGTACGATATTTTTTGATTTTAGAGGAATCTCATAAAAAATTATTTAAGGATACTATCTTTCTAACGAGGACTAACTGAAGGGCAACTAATCCATTGATGGTCCATCTGTTGCTTTGGAAGCTTTATTTTGCCAAACTGTTGTCCCATAGAGGCCAAATTATTTGATCGGTGATATCTCTTCTATGCTTAATGACTTTAGAACTGGAGCTTGTTTATGGAGTGTAAAAAGCCGAATTGAGACAAGACAGGTGCAATTCAACTGAAACTTTGATCTTATGAATATTTTACTATTTTTAAAATTTATTTTATGACCATCTCTTCATTTATATTATTTCAAATAGGGATGGGGTGGTTCTTATTAAGATCATACCATCGACCAAGTTCTGAGGTATCTGAGTTAAGTACTCATATAGGTAACTAAGTACTCAGTTTGAAGGGAACAGTGTGCTCTACCTTTCATTAAAGAATTTGAAACGATACATTTTAAAAGATCAAGCAAATTGGCTATTTGAGGTGAATATTTCTTGCATTGGATATGTCTTTTACACATTAACGATCATAATTTTTGGTCTATCCATCGCAAAATTTACTGCTGTTTAATTCATGGAACGTTGATATTCTGTAAAAGAAGATAATGGATCCTTCGTTTAAGTTTTGGTTTTCTGTAAAATAACGTGGACTATAGGCTTCAGTTTAACGTAATATTTTATTTTTTTGTGAATACTATTGCATTGATATTATATGACCTTTGTCAGTACTTGATGTTAGATATGCTCTCTTCACTAACTAATCTAGAAATAGTGTGCAGACCAGTGCTGGAACATCTGCTGCTCACATCCTCCATCAAGCATCGGAAGTTTCATTACCCAAGCAGAAAAAGGCAATGGCTATTTCAGAGTTCAAGCGTGCTGTAGTTGCTCAGAAGAGACGCTGTAAAGTTCAAGAAGAAAATGAAGGTAAAAATGCTGCTAGAAAAACTATCTAGGGGTGTATAGTATAACATGTTGACGCATAAATGACAATCATATTCATGTTATCGCCGTTAAATAGTGATGTTTCTCCATACTCATGGCACATTATCCTAAAAAATGCCCATCCATGACATTCAATCTATAGATTGAGAAAAAAGGCCCTGAAGTTTTAGTTATCAGGGAAAACAAAGAAAACTCGTAACTGATCCGAACAAAGAACTTTGGTTTATCTGCTACTTTGGTTCATAGTTTTGTTTTTTTAGGTTCAAAGGGGCTGCCTGAAGATATCCTGATTCATATTTTCAGCTACCTGGACATGAGATCTTTGGTGACTGCCGGTTTGGTATGCAGGTATTCATGAATTTATATTTCAGACAGTCTTTTCCGTTTATCCATTATCAGACTAAGACCAAAGTTAAACTTACATCAGGTTGTGGAACTCAGCAACAAGTGATACCAGTCTATGGCAATCACAGTACTCTCTGCTCTTTGGTAATCGCAGTAGCTCTCGTGAAAGCACAGAGGAGACGCGCAAATCTGACCCAGTGTGTAGTCTCGACTGGAAAAAGGCTTTCAAAATAAGATATATAAGTATGTTTCCTCCAATGTTAATCTCAATAGAACATCTATGTGTATTTATGCATGTAGATTGTATGTGTGTGCATATGTGTCAGATATACATAAACATATACGTACATATATATTTTTCTTGTGTGATGGACTTGGATCTATGGAGAGAATTATTCCCATTACAGGTTGTCTATGCTGGAAATCCACAACAGCAAGAGGATATTGTGTACATTGCCGATCTATAATCTGGGCAAGCAGTATATGCGTGAACTCAGCACACCATTGCTCAAGGCTAGTGAATCAGCAACCAAGCATAAGGCCTTTGTCACCAAACGAGGTATTCTCCATTCTTAAATTTAAATTTCGATCAAATACATGGCAGACAGAACATGCAGAAGGGATTTTTAGTTCTTGACCCTCGCAAACAGATCTTATCAGAAAAGCAAAAACTCCCCCAAAAAGTGGTTCAGGAGCTTATAAGTGACCAAAAAGTCCCCTTACGAGACAATAGCCCCCCCCCTTTCTTGGAAGCCATTGGAGACCTTGCGCTGGTCTGCTTGGTTAAGGAGCTTCGTCCTCAGCCACGGGGGCAGAAGTTGGAACATCTGGAGGAAACCCTAGCCAGCTTTACACTCAATATACTCTTTGACCGAGGGACAAACTGGTCATTTCTGTTCTGCTCTTCCAAACCATGCTTAATTCTGTTCTCATTGAATACAGGTGAGATGAGGGCTTTGGTATAGTAAGTACAAGCTTGTGATAGATTACCCAGAATCAAAAAGCACAGGGGCTTTCTTAAATTCAAGATCTTCATGGGGGTTGAGATCGAGAAAAACTCCAATACTAATAGATATGTTGCAATGACTGATGTGAATTAGATAAATCACTTGAGCAAAAAGTTTTTTCCTGTGTTTCATCATCTAACTGAAATCTGGTTTTAGTTCCTCCTAGCCCCCCATTATATCCTGCATCATCTGGTGATTAATTTCTCTGCCATCAGATTGTGAGGTACCTCCTGGGGGAGCCCATGCTGGACGTTTCTGACAGCAGTGACAGCGATTCTGATGAGTGCCTCCTCAAACTTCCCAGACTGTGGGCGTACCCAAGCCTCTCAGGCCAGTAGCAAAGAAGTTCCATGTCCCAAGCTGTAAGAAATCTTTTCTTTTTTTTTTCACAAAATAGAGAGTCTGTAGGAATTAAATTGACATTTTTCAAGATATTCTTGGTTTTTATCCCTGGAAAATCTCAACTGATAATTGAGTCCCTCTCTAATCTAGTTTTCCCCCCCTTTGAGCAGAAAATCTAAAAGGATGAATTGTGATAATTTTGAAGGTGTTAGAGATAGAAGTGTAATATTGTAAATGACTAAGGGTCTTATGGGAAAGTGCATGTAGGGTTTGTGCCTGTTTAAGGGATGTTAAGGATGAATGAATATTGAGGCAGTTTCTGCCATTCTCCCCTCTATCCTTGATGAGGTTTTTTTTCAATTTCAAACATGGTATCAGAGCCACATGTGCACTCTTTCCTCGCTTCTCCTCGAGCCGTCTGAGCTCCTTGAATCGAAGGTCTGCTGGTGTTGAGACCACAAGCAGCCTACTCCTCTGTGATTAGGGTTCGAAGGTTTGCCTCTAGTTGAGACCGCGAGCTAGGAGGCTAAGGTTCAAAGGTTCGCCTCTAGTTGAGACCGTGAACATCCTAGTCCTCTATGGCTAAGGTTCAAAGGTTCATCTCTAGTTTAGACATCAAAACCTTAGTTCGAGGGAGCACCACTGCTGCTGCCTCTGTTCAGCGTCGGCTTTGTCTGGCTAGGGTTTCATCAGCCATGCCTGGCATTTTCTGTCTGGTGGAGCACTGCCGCCACCAACTCTATTTTGCATCGGTTCTGCTCGACGTTGCTTGTCTGGGGGAGCGTCAACACCACCACCACCACTAACATCTGGCGACATATAGGTTACATGTTAGGGTTTCAAACCCTCTTTGTCCAGCAAGCCTTCCGCCTGTATTGAGTACCTTTTTGGCAAGGTGTTCAACTTCTATCGGATATCTTTTTGGCAAGGTATTCAGCCTCTATGGAGTATCTTTGTCAGACAAGGGTTTATTTCTCTACTGAGTATCTTTGTCTTGAGAGGGTTCCTTTTTCTGTCATGTGTCCTTCCGGCGAGTATCTTCTGCCCTATCTAGTCATTTTTCAAGTATTGTTTCAGACCACCTTAAACTACACCTAGTATGGGGGAGGCTGCATCCTTTATCTAGTGAGATACCTTGTCCTCAGTCTGTCTCCCTCTGTTCTACATCAGTCTAATGTCTTTCAAAGTCCAACAACTATAATTTTTCACAATCTATGTTGTGTTGTGTTGTCTGCTCACCTCTACCTTCATTAGAATGGCCTTCACCATTAAGTTCATCCACAAGTTCATTCGTCTCAATCTCACTCGATCCATAAAAGGGTTTCTAGCCCTCAACTCTTATGAGAGCTGAGGCCCAACATCACACCAATTGCCATAGCTGGCCATGTTGGCAGCATTTTAACAGCAAAGCTCAGCACTATACAACTCTTTGAGTAGATGGATACTCTCCATGAGCTATCATACCCATTGTGTGTTATTCTTAGGGCATGACAAGCATCAGATTTGCCAAAGGTGTCGACAAATCTACAACCTCAGTAGTGGTCATCTTTGACTAGCATCATAAGGAGAGTTACTATCACTACAGATCTTCATCATCACCAATAAGTTTATCATCAAAGACTTAGTCAATATGAACTTTTCTAAAATTCATCTTGAGGGGGAGTGTTATAAGATATAACTATAATATTGTAAATGACTAAAGGTTTTATGGGAAAGTGCATGTAGGGTTCATGCCTATTTAAGAGACATTAAGGGTGAATGAATATTGAGGTATCTTTCGTCGTTCTCCCCATCCTTTGTGACAAGGTTTGCAGTTTCCACTGATCTCCCCTTTATCCTTCGTGACGAGGTTTTTTCTTCATTTCAAATAGAAGGTATCCTAGGATTTTGACCCTTGTAAAGCTCTTGAATCATATATGACACCATTTAGTTTGGACCGTTAACTAATACAAATAAGTATTTAATTGAAAGAATAAATTATCTTTTGTGTTGTGGAATGCGGGGTATAATTTCAATATCAATATAGATTATGATTTATATAATTTAGGTTTATGATTTAAATGATGGAATCTTTTCCTCGACCTACTAAGGGCACAAAAATAGAGGGTAAGTTGAAACATGTCATATAGTGTCATATAGTGGGTGTCTTGATTTAATATTTTAACCTCTCTCTCTCTCTCTCTACCACCATATTTATTTTATTTTTCATAAATATTAAATCCATTGGAATTAAAGGTAATATTTTAAAAGATATTATGGGTTCTTGTTCCCTAGTATGTTCTTAAATGATGGATGAGCCTCTCTCCCCTCTCTAATCTTGTTCTTGTTTTCCTTGAATAGAAAATCTATTAGATTCAAATCTGGTAATTTGGAAAATAACTTGGGTTTTTGGTCCCTAGAATAATTGACAACTCTGTGTCCATCCATCTATATGTCTCTCCCTAGCTCAGACTCTTTGTCCACTCTATTGTAGGAAATCTTGTTCATGATTGTTCTAGTTCAAGAAAAGATCTTCCTCACAATTGCTCTTTGTTGCAGCTGAACTATGGCAACTAGGATCTTCAAGATGCAGCAAAAGGTAAGCTCATGTGTTGATTCTGCATAATGGTACAAGCATGCTTGACTATGAGACTGACTGGTCTCACAGAGACAAAAGCCAGCCATACCATCAATTAGGCTTTAAAATGCCTTCATTAAAGTTCTTTTACTTCACTAAGCTAACTCATGCAAGTCTAAACATGCGGAACTGGCTCATTTTCTTTTATGAGATCTCAACTCTTCAGAATGGTTGGAGGGCCAATTTACTCCCCTTTACAATATGAAGCTTAATAAGGGTCAAAATTTTGAACTATTCATAGTAGCTTTACCTATAGAAAAGATCATGAAAGTAGTGATATGAATGTTTTCAGACATTGCACTTCAGCTTGGGTCATGGCTGCCACTTGGCCCTAAGACAGATCAAAGAAGAGTAAAAAATATCAAGCTGATTCTTGAAATGTCATATTAGGAAGTGTTCCTCTCACATCAATGACCAGCATTGCTTCATTCTAATCTTTAAGGAAGAGATTGAGGATCCTAAGTTCTTTTTACCCATTTAGAAACTTTTTTCCCCTCCTCCATCAACCCTTGTGGCCTTCCTTAACAAACCCTCGACCCCAAAGGTTGAATTATAAGGTAGATAATTCACTAGTCAAAATTTGTCCATCATATACTTTTTAAAGTTTAGCAGAAGATGTGGCCTGTTGATAAGGATATACCTCTTTAGCAAAACTAACACCTTTGAAAACCTATTACTTAATGAGGATTTTCCCTTTAAAAAACTCAATCCTATGAATCGTGGGTGCCGTAGAGCTTCTCATAGAGATACAAAAAACATATCACCAATATGAACCTTTAGGCAGGCTTGACAACTTCAGTAACCATAGTTGCATAGAGTATGGTAGAATTCCCTAGTACATTTATTCAGGGAGTCCCTCCAAGGACAACTCTCATATAGTTCTCGTAAGAATCGGAGAAGCCTCTATGGATAAAGTATTATATCCATATAATTGTTTGCCACCTATGCTCCACCACCTATTCCAAGTATAAGAACCTAGGTTGTGGTATCTGATGCAATCTTTACGAGCCCTAATCATCATTGAAAAACTTAATAGACATTATTTTAGAAAAGGTCAATTGGTGATGAGGAACTATTAGCCAATCATATTCCAAATGTACTTAATTAAGTATGAGCTTAGGATGTTTGTTATCTAATACACCCTTATTGTGTTGTCTTGCAGCCCAAGATGTTCTATAAATAAATACAAAGGCTAAGAGTCCTACGCCACATGCATGTAATAAGAAGTGATATGTTGTCGAGGATATGACCAAAGAGAAGGTTAGTGATGAATTCAATTGCGGTTGTTCTATTCTATTTTTTGGACATAGTTGTTATTTACAATCAGAGTCCTTTTATTGAAACTTTGTATGGTGTCCATAAACGCAAAATATCTCTCTTTAGTGGCAAAAACCAAAAGGGTTGAGTCTTTTACTTCAAGTGCATTTATTGAAATATTGGTTTAGTATTGAGAAACTGACTACTATTATAATGAACCTTGAAGGAAAAAACTCTAGGCTAATTTATGTGAATGACTTAATGATAACATTTCAAGGATTGAAAGGACCAACCATATCAATCATTAAAATAGTTTATCAACAACTAGTGCTAATGGTCATGATAATCATGACGTCCTCAAACTAGCCCTCAAGAATATATTTCTTAAAGGATTGAAAAAGAATTTTCAAGTCGAAATCTATCTTTTAGAGCTCGTAAAACTCAAAGTCCCTAGACTTTTAACATTTACTCAGCCACACACAATTACATTCTCAAATGTCAAAAAGGTCTTGATTATTTTTATACCATCAAGGATAACCTAAGGATCAAAAGAGACAACCATGTGTATCACCCTACACATCAAAGTATAGGCCTCATATAAATAAAAATGTCTATCGCTCATCCCTTTAGAAGTTCAAGTCCACAATGTTGAAGGATTATGTTAGTTGTGCAATGATTAATACATCCTTACTTATCAATCCCAATATAAGCTACAAAATTTTGGCAATAAAGGAAAACTTTTTAGAAGTAGTAGAATATAATGTTGCATGTGTCATTTAGCCTAGCCAACATTGAGTTCACGGCCAACTTAATTTTGAATGAATCATCACTAAGCATATCTAAATTTTAGTGTTACATAACAAGAAGAATAATTACTATGTTTGTGGATAATGAAGAACATCACTTTATTTCAATGCAAGTTACCCATGAATTGGAGCTTCTAATCACAATCACAACATAATTTCAAATTACAGTTAAGAGTGACAAGAAGATCAAAAGTATTTGAATATGTTGTGATGTCTTATTAGAGTTGTAATCCTTCACAATGATATAAGACTTTGTACTAGTCTCTCTAACAAATAGCAACCTCATACTAGACATGAAATGGATGAACACTATGAAGAAGATTGAAATGAATATGGAGCAAAAGACTATGTCACTCTTAACAAGTGATTAAAATGTGAGCCTTCAAACTGATTTAGAATGTTACAAAGTACCATTATGTGTTAATTTTATAACAAATAAATATCATGAATTAAAATATTTGCACCTGATTTTGTATGAACATCGATGGAATCAATGTCTTTAATTTGCACACTATTTTCATCATTAATTTTAACATCATATTTATTTGATATATCAATATTCTGAAATAAATTTATTTCTTATAGTACAATCATTGTCATAAATTTGATTTACTTGTATTTAAAAATGCAAAAGTAATAAAAAATAATTTTGATTATTTTCTCCAAAAATATTTACTTGCATCCTCTTCTTATCTCAACATTTTGTTTCAACATACTCATACTTCTTACAAAAATTACACATTAGCTTAGAACTCCCTTCTCTAATATTTTCTTATTATTTTACTTCATCCCAAAAATATGATTTAATATGTCCATATTTCTTACACAATTGGCATTGTATCATTCTATAATTTAGTTTCTAATTTTTATTGTTTTCACCATCATGTTTTTATTATTTATAATTAGATCTATCGTGACTTCTCCACATCCTCGATTATGATAATTTTCTCTACCTCTATTTCTATTATTATGTCATTGATTAGAAATGTCTTCACCATTTTTCTCTTTTTTTGAAATTTTAATTTTATCTTGAAATGGTTGCTCAAAATATTTTTTCATTGATCTATTTATATTTTCTTCATGTGTCAATAAAGATCTACTTAATTTATTTTGAGTGTAAATAGACAAATCCTTAGACTCTTAAATAGCAACAACAAAATGATCAAATTTAAATAAAAGATTTCTCAAAAGTTATTTAATTTTTTTAAGAATAATTTCATCTGACTAACTATTTTAATAAAATAGTTTCGAGACCTTTACAAAGAATTTGAAATTTTACCATTGTAATAATATATATTCATGAAATTCATCCTTCAAAAAATTTCATGCTTTTGGAAAACTTGTGGCATTAATAATTCATGAAAAAATTATTTCTAAAATTGATTATTGTAACACTAACAAGGCCATAACATCTTTTTTCAAATTTAGTTACCATCTTGTATAGAACTCTCTCATTCCTTTTTACCATTTCAACTAAATCTCATTAGTCTTGAGAGATAAAAAAATGTATTTCTCTCCATTGAAAAACAAAGTAAGAGGTTAAAAGAGGTTGAGGTAGTTACCATTCACCATACTACCCCGAAGAGTTGCGATGATTCTGGGCTCCTCTAAGTGGTCTATTACATTTGCAAACCTTAACTTAAGGAATCTTTCCTGAAAGGGTCCCTTTTTCTTAATGCAAAAAAAGAAAATGTACCATAGAGCCTCTGGCCATTATTCACGAACTAGAGGAGGTCAATGGTATTATCTCTTCACAAAAACTTCACACAATGATTTCACATTCCTTTCTACAGCAAGAAATTTTCACAAATGTCCAAAAACTTCATGAACCTCATTTTTTAATTTCTTTGATATTTCTATGGCCTCTATGGGAAGAAAATGCCCAATACATAAACCCGACACTCTATTATCAATTTTTAGGAAAATAAGAATGAAAATATGGAGAGAATAGAAGAATTTAGGAGAGAGAACGGTCAGAGATGAAGCAAGGAGAAAGGAGAATTTTGCACACAAAAACCCTTGATTTAAAAATGTCACAAGCTGTTTTAAAAGAGGAGAGAGAAAGGATATGTAAATGTTACATTCATGTCCTAAGTGGGGCGTCGTCCTTTTTAACCTAATAAAGACAAAAATAAATATTAAATATTTCATCAATTTTGCATTAAATGTCAACAGATTTGACTCAGCACTACCTAACGATACATCAAATACCATTGATCTGTGCCCATAATTCTTGGGTAGATCTTTGCTCATTAAAGCTATATAGTTAGCAATTTCCATTTCATTAATTTTTTTAACGACAAGGAAACTGCATCCTCATCAGTTGAAGTAGTAGAAGGTCCCGTAGAACAAAGGGGGAAATCCTTGGTATCCAAGAGATACGATTCGGTATCTTCATCGCCTGAAGAAGAGTGAAGAGACGGCTACTCCCCCAACCCACGAGAAAGCCTCTTCCAGCATGCGCATTGAATGTTCCATAATCAAAATCAAACAAGAGGGTCAAGGGGGGACGAAACAATAGTTGGATCTTCAGCGAAGTGGAACCTTCGAAGGCATGGTGGCTTGTGTTGTGCCATGATTTTATAGTGAAATGCGGAACCAAATCTTGAATCAACTAGTAGATCCATCTCTCTTAAGACATTGTGCGTTTTTTATTGTGACATTTCTTAGGAAATTATGCGTTTTTAGTGCCGAAATAATTCTTAAAAGCTTCTCTTCTTCTATATATTAGGCCAATCAAAATCAGTGCTAGAGAGATTGCTGCCATTGTTGACCGCTGCTAGAGACCCAAAGTTGAGATTTGGGTTGTTCTTTGACGATCAAAATTAAATTATAAAAAGTCAAAATCACCCACCTCATCATACTTTCAGCAGGAAAATGGAGATTATTTATGCAGCTTTTCAAGGATTCAAGAAAAGTTCTTGGATTATTCGTGCACTTTTTCCTCTTTTATTTACTAGGCCAATAAAGTCAGCGCCAGAGAAAGTTCTGTGGATGACCGCCGCAAGAGACCCAAAGTTGAGTTTTGGGTTGTTTTCTCACGATCAAAGTCGAATTATAAAAAAATAAAAGTCACACCCATCTCATCATACTTTCCGCAGAAAAATGGAGATTATTTCTGTAGTTTAACAAGGTTTCAAGTGGCGTGACCATTTCAGGCGCGACTTTGAACTGCACCATCACAACGCGAGAGAGAGAGAGAGAAAGAGGACTCTTTCTCTCTCTACCCAATATATCTCAGTTGGTGTAGTTGTTGATGGTGGCGTGGGGCTCGCAGGCCCTGGCGGCGGGGGTGGGCTCGGCGTGGGGTGAGGGATGGAGGGGGCGGCCGAGGAGCTCTTGTGGAAGGGGGGGGATGCCCTCAAGGTAGAAGGTGTAGAAGAGCTTCACGGGGAAGATGAGCTGCTGTAGTTTCACCTGCCCGCGGGCGCCGGCGAAGACCCCGGAGCCGCCGGTGACGGCGAGGTACGAATCCTCGTAGGTCAGATACGGCCCCTGCACCGCGAGGTGTCCGTACTCCCCGAAGTAGAAGCTGTAGATCGCCTCGTACCTGTCACCGCCCCTCTCCGGCACATGCTGGATCAGCACGCAGATCCCCGCCGTTATCCCCAGCCTCTTCTCCATGCTCCCGTGGTACACCTGCTACCATACCCCTTCGTTAGAGAGAGAGAAAGAGAGAGGTAGATGGATAAATGGATAGACAGACAGACAGATAGATAGATAGATAGATGGATAGATATGCAGGTAGGTAGATAGATATAAGTGCATTTAACATACATTTCTCTATTCTAACCTTCCAAATCCTTGTACCACTTAGGGAATTTTAATAAATATATATGTATATATATATATATATATAGAGAGAGAGAGAGAGAGAGATAGAGATGACAGATAGATAGGTCGAGAGTTAGATAGCAGATAGCTAGATAAAGATAGACAGGTAGATGGGTATACAGAAGATAGATGGGTGGAGAGTGAGAGAGAGCGCGAGTGAGAGTGTGTGTGTGTGTGTGTGTGTGTGAGAGAGAGAGAGAGAGAGAGGGAGAGGGAGAGGGAGAAAGGGTTACCTTGTTGGTGAAGGGGACGAGGTCACCGAGGGCGTTCTGGGTCTGCTTGGGGCTGAAGCGGAGGTAGACGGGGCTCTCCCGGTCGCCCTCGTTGATCTCGTAGACGTACATCTCCTGGACGGCGGTCTCCTCCTCGCCTGCCGGCGGCGCTGATACTCGTCAGTGGGGGGGAGGCGGGGGGGAGGCGGCGGCGGAGGACAAGGAGAAAGTCAGCGGAGAGCCTCGGTGGAGCTCTTGCTTACCGCGTGTGGCCGGGGCCGTGGGAGCGTCCGTCTCGAAAGAGAGAGCGGCAAGGCCTCCGGCGAGCTCCCCCCGCCGACCGGCGTCGCCCCTTCGAGAAGGCCCGCCGACCGGCCGGCGAGCTCCCCCCGCTGCCGGCAGCTTGATGCTGCTTCTAGGCAGCGGCGCCGCCCGCCTGGTGGCGCCGGACGACGTCAGCGCGGGGGAGCCCAGCTTGAAGGCCGTCGCTGAAGCCATCAATGCTGCTGCTCTGTGAACTGTAGAGAGAGGGAGAGAGAGAAAGATAGAGAGAGCGAGCGAGATAGAGAGAGAGAGCGAAAGGGAGGGGAGGGGGAGGCTGTTCTGCCGGGAAAGGGAGGGACGGGAAGTGGGTTAAATAGACGTTTGAGTCGGCTCGTATGAAGCCTTCGAACTGGACGTGGGAAAAGGAGAAAGCGACTGAGAAGCAGATGCCACACGGATTGCGGCTGCGACGTGCAGCACGAGTGTTTTTTCGGCGCCGACTTTCTCTAACGCAACCCGTGTTAATGCCCACTCGCCTTGACTCATTAAACTCCCACGTGCCGGAAACGCTGGCCGGACTCTGTGGGGGTGATCCACGACCCCGGCCCACTTTTACGAGGAAAAAAAAAGTGGAAAAATTTAGGAATTCGTCTGAAAGCGGGCCGATTTTTTACGGGCTGGGACCTCAAACAGGGGCCCGCCTCTACCTGCCCCCCCTCCCTTTTCTTAATGGGCCCAGGCCACAGGCCCAAAGCCCATTTTCTTATGAAGTAGGGATTTCTATAATCACCTACATAGCATCTCTCTCTCTCTCTCTCTCTCTCTCTCTCTCTCTCTCTCTCTTCTCTCTCTCTGAAAATGTTGTACACTGTTTTGGACCGGGCCCAAATTTCACATGAGCTCTACTCAGAGCCCATTTTCTTGGGATTTACGTCATGCTTACGTTAGGCCCAGGCCTTATAATGGGCTTCGAAGCTGATACGTTGGGCTGGGTAAGAGACTGGCTCAGTCGGGGCCCGGGCCCGAAAAACTACCCGCAGATAGAATCACACGGCTCATCGCCAAATCCAACCAAGACCAGATGGAAGGTTATATTCCAAATGTGTTAAAAACAAACCCGCATAACTAGACATTACTGCCCAAAACCATCATATATTTTATTATTATATAATCCCCCGAAGATGATCCCTTACGAGGCAACTGGCCGAGGGGACACTCCGCAACCCCAGTGGAGGAGCAAGGTTTCTGCTTGCAAATGCGCAGCGGCTCAAATGACGGCGCAAAGGGCCAGGACATCAGAGATACGTAATAATAAAAGTAAAAAAATCATAAAATCAAGGTGATGAGGAAATGAGAGAGGGGAAGAGGGAGAGAGAGAGAGCCCACTGTTCTTGAGCACGGTGTGATCCATGGAACCCACTGAAGCCAGCTGGAGAGGACCAGGTAAAACCCATGAGACTGGGTGGAGGAATCCTAAAGCCTTCTCTCGAGGAGCAGTCATTTCCCTGGCATCATTCAGGGACTGATGAGAGCCTAATTATTAAGATTTACACACAAATAGTACCACATATATACCATATTCCTATGGTTTTGACAGAATATCTGTCCTTCAGGAAATGAAAAATAGGTGGAGAGCAAGATCTCTCAAGATCTTTCCTTCCCCCACCGAATTCAAGAAGAAAATGCACTGGAAATGGGAAGAATAGATCATTCTAGGAGCTCCACAGGATCTGCCAGTGATAAGATCTGATCTCCACCATTAGCCGATGAAATGAAAGAACATGGGGTGCATTCCCTCTTGCCATCAAGCTCTGTTTAAGACTCCCCAGCTTGATCGAAAGAAATATGAATAGAAATACAGAAGAGCGACGTTCTTAGTTATGGTTGACTGAGATATGGGTTTAACATCTGATGATGAAAACAGGATCATAGAGCCCAGCTGGTATGGTAATCTCTTATGGAAGAAAGGGAGTAGAATGTCAACAGGTATTAAATTATATTAGATTATATTAGAATGTTGACAAAATCAGATCCAAAAAGTCAAAATTCTGGATGGATTTTCTCTTATGGAGATCTGTGGGAACCTTCAAGCTCCCATCTGATCTCTGGTTTTCATGATATTACGGTAATGACCCAACAACTGTATGCCCGTGAGCAATTTAAGAATGCAAGCAACGCAAGTGGTACTACCTCAGGCAGCTACACTATGGTCCTTATATACTGGTCAAGTTTCGTATTGAACAGCTCACACCTACAAGAACACCACACAAATAATTAGCATGTTTATATAAACGCATGCTCGTATGAAACATAATAATCAATTCATTCTAGGACGAAACATCAATGGAACAAGCGATATAATGGCTATGAAGCAATGGAGTAATGCAACAGATAGCTTATCATATTATTATGATAACACGATTAACTTGTTCAGTTCTAAATTCTTACAAGAAGAACAACAACCCAAATAAATGCATCATCCAGGATAAACCTGAAGTGCCTCTTGTTCTTTATGTTGTGTTATTTATTGTTTTCTGAGCCCAACAGGTTAACTTTGAGGGTGGTTTCAAGACTAAAAGTTTTAAACGAATTTATGCTGATTTCATGACCGAGTCTTAATCCAATAAATGCCAATTTAACGTATGTGCTTAAAATAAAGTCAATTTGCAAACGTTTTATCGCTTAAAGTTAAGAGTCAAACTATGCAACATCTATACGTGCATATGTTCAATCTAAAAACCAAGTGTTGGTAACCACTGAACATCTGGTGATGATTGGCTCCAAAAAATAAATTGACACACAGAGAGTTGGCCCAAATATCGACCCAAAGTCTCTGGCAAATAATAGGCATTGGCACACTGTACTTTGGGCACATGTCAAGGATCCAATATATCCCTTTGTGTCAAGGTCGTGTAAGTATTGTTCAGCCTTTATCACTTCATTAATTGAATCGGGATTTTCCACCATCTTCAACAAAAAAATATAAACCTTATCTCCCAGCAATGCTTTTGAAAAAGCATTTTCTAAAAATAAAAAAAAATCAAAATTTCCGTTTTTGACCACTAAAAAGTATTCCATGATTAGATTTTCCAGAGAAAGGCATTCATTTACGCAATCAGTTTAACAAAGAATTCGATTGGACCTTTTAGTCGTCATTTTTGGAGGGCTTCTATCGGAGAAGAGGGAAACAAAAGAATGTGTCAAAGGAAGCAATCAAAGATATAAATTTCGCATCGCGTTGGCCACTCTTTCATCTGGACTGAAAGAAAAAGAAAAAAAAAAACATGTGCCAAACAGCTTTCAAACCTGGAATACTGAATACTGCATTCAAAATCACATAAAATATGGCATATCAGTTATGTAATCATGAAAAATATTAATACGGCTATTTAACTCTGCTTCACGAGAGATGATTGTATCCATAAAACTTTTATAAAAAATGTACTGTTAAATATAATGGCTATTATAACCAAATATGCCATATGTTTTCCTATTAAACATGTTTCCATGTGCCACAATATTTAGATGCTCAATAAATGCTTAGAGAAGACAGAGTTCCTACTTGATTGCAGTTCCAGGAGCATATAGAGGATTCTTCATAACATACTCCACATAAATATTGTATATGTATCTCAAGGACTCTCGAAGATCTCCGCACTTAGGATGGGTAACTAAGATAATCTGCATCAAAATATCAAAAATTTGACAAATGATGTAAATACCGAGGGTTACAAAGCATTAGCATCAAAATAAGGAAATAATATGAACAATGCTCTCTCTTCTGCTATATGTTTGCTAATTAGGGCAGGAAATGAAACGTTGGAATACAAAGACAGCGGCGTGAATACAAATAGAGCAGGAATACAAAATCCTGTGAGCGATTACATTCGCATAATCTTAAAAAATATAATTAATATAAAATAAATAAAACGAAGACAAGTGTCCACTCGACAAACCTTTACCCCAGACGGACTCTCCATGAAGCTCAACTTATAGGTGTTTGTGCGGAAGCTATGAAACGAGCAGCCTTGCCCAGGCAGAAGGGGCACCCCGAGGCTCCCCTTCTCAGCACTGAATCATGAAATGGGTAAAAATAGAGCAACAAAAAGACGGTTACGCATCTTCGGAGAGGACCGTTGACGGCAAATTCCGACGAAATGAAATAGGGGAGGGCATCCACGTCTACAAAACCTGATTGGATCCATCTTGGTGGTGAAGGATTTGAGGGAGAAGAGCACCCCGAACATCAGCTTCTGGTCCTGCTGGGAGTCGAGGGTCTTCAGCGGGCGGTGCCACTCCCGATACAGAAGGCATACCCCATTCCTATTGAAAACATACATCATGTACGTGTTGTTCCCCAGAAGACCCGTCCCCGTCCCGGCCGGCGCCAGCGGCGACGGATTCACCTCCGCCGATCCCCCGAAGAATTGCATCCTTAGATCTCCGCGCAGAATCGACGATGCGGGAGAACTCTCGGATCTGCAGGAAGAACAGTCGCTCCGGAGGCGGAGAGAACCAGTTAAACTCATTGTTTCAAATATACCCATTATTTAAAATAATATTAAATTTTATCTCATAAAGTTTTATATTTTTTATGTAGCTTCTTCGTTTGGACCTGAAAGCGAATGTTGCTACAGATGATTTCCGTTATGAGAGTAGTCGTCGCGCCACGTTATGAGATAAGATACAATAAATTTCGGAGAGCGGACATAAATGTATCCGATTCGGAAATAAGCCAGTTTTATATTGGGTCTACAATCCGAAAAAAAGATCAGTTGTCAGCGCGTAGTAATGGTTTAATGGGTCTTTGAGATCCTATTCGAACCCGATAAAAGGAGGCACTGATCGTCACTTCCTGTTTGTTGACGTAGGCGACTTTCTTCTCCGGCCAGAGGAAGAAGAAGAGGAGGGCGGGAGGTGATCCGGCCTCCCATGGCCGATTGAGAGGGAAGGAGAGGGAGAGGAAGGGAAAGGATGAAGTGCCATTCAGTGGCGTGCGTGTGGTCGGCGCTGCCGCAGCACAGGGTGACCGCCGCCGCAGTCTTGACTGATCCCCCCACCCTCTACACCGGTGGATCTGATGGCTCCATCGTCTGGTGGGATATCACCGCCAGCGAGTCAAGACAGGTCGCTCTTCCCTCTCCATACCTTCCTCTTTCTCTCCCTTGCCTATTTCTAGTGGTAAAGGAGATGAAATTGCTAAGATGTTGATTGTTTGATTCGCCGGAGCTGAATCCTCGTAGAACTATCGCTCTCCCAGGATGTGCGGCCAACGGCGATGCTCTGCGGTCACACGGCGGCAATAGCCGACCTGGCCATCTGCACTCCCCTCGCGGTCCAAGGAGACGACGAGCTTCGGAGCAGCATTGTAAGGAGCCCCGTTTCATCAGCTTGCTACGCCTCCCTGTTAAGTGCTTGTATTGATGGCGTGCTGTGCGTCTGGAGCAGAGGCAGTGGGAATTGCCGCCGGCGGAGGAAGTTGCCCCCATGGGCGGGGACTCCATGCATGGTGTCCTCGTTGCCAATGTCCCCGCGGTATGTGTGTATCTCGTGTTACAGTGCCGACCCGCCGGCGTACTCGTCAAGCTCACATCCTGTTGGGCCATTGGAAGGTTACGATCGAGGTGAGACAGGAGTTGAAAGGGAGACTCATCATAGAAAGGCTTCCAAATGCGCAGTGGTGATCGTGGATTCTTATACCTTGACCATCGTTCGCACTGTTTTCCACGGTGGACTGTCAATTGGGTCCCTTGAAAGCATGACAATTGTTCCCGATTTGACGGATGGGAGGCAAGACGTTGTGGTTATTGCCGATGCACTTGGGAAAGTTCAGCTGATGGATCTACCGACAGAACATGATCAGCAAGGGGAAGGGGAAGTCGGTGGACAGAAAAGATCATCTTCTGAAGCAGTGACATTGGCTTTAAGAGAGAGCTCACTTGACGCGGCAAATGCAGTGTCAGTGGCACCACATGGGAACTTGCTGGTGCTTATATATGCAACACACTTCATCATCAAATCATTGCTTGATGGTGATATCGTTGAAGAGACAGATTTAGGAAACAGTTCTCTATGCACTCAAGATCCTTCCGGGGCACATCTCTCAGGCTGTACGTTTTTGCAGAATGAGAAACATGCTGCCAGATTGGAGTCCAAGGATGCAGAGGAAGGAGATGCAAATATTTTTACTGTATGGAGCACCAATGGTGCTGCAATTATATTTTTGGTGAAGCATTTTGTCGCTGGTTTTAGCCTCAAACGTCTTTGTGAAATTCCAGCATCATCTTATCCATTTAATGTTAACTCGCACCTTCATTTCTGTCAATTCGGTTGTTATCTTGTTCGAATAGAATCGATTCCTTTTGATGTCAGTGGTTCATTGTTGTGGAGACCTCATGTCACCATCTGGGCAATATCCCAACAGCCACATATGCACTCTGATGGGAGTAGAGAGCTACAAAGTCAACTGGGAACAGAAGCAAGTAACGATTCTGTGTGCCCTTACTTAGGTTTACAGCTGGGTGAAGGCTTTTTGCCTGATGACAACTTTGGTTGGTGGGCTTCACATTCTAATATGGAACTAAGTCTAGGAGCTAACATAAATTCCGAGGAAGGAGGTTTCACGGGAAGTTCTATCCAACATGATGTTGGAGCTGTGAGTTATGCCATGCAGAATAAACGATTTGTATCTTCTTCCATGGTACTCCCGGAAGATTTTCGTGCTCCATTTACAGTGGTTTATGGCTTCTTCAGTGGTGAAATAGAAGTAATACGCCTTGGAAATGTATTTTCCAATCTAAATTTGGCTGATGCACCTGTGTCTCCAAATATCAGTATGTACTCATGTGAACGATCTTTTTCAGGCCACACAGGTGCAGTGCTTTGTTTGGCAGCTCATAAGATGGTTGAAGCTTCAAATAACCATAGTGCACTCCACGTTTTAATATCAGGAGGGATGGATGGGACAGTTCGTATTTGGGATCTGGATACTGGTCATACTATATTAGTGATGCATCACCATACAGCTCCGGTGAGGCAACTAATCCTTCCACCACCTTGGACTTACCATCCGTGGAGTGACTGTTTCCTTTCTGTGGGAGAGGATGATTGTGTGGCTCTTTCTTCTCTTGAGACCTTACACGTGGAAAGAATGTTTCCTGGGCATCCTTGCTACCCATCTCTGGTTGCATGGGATAGTGCTAGAGGCTACATAGCTTGTCTGTGCAGGAACCTTCCGCCACTGTCTGATGCAGTCAACTATCTATATATTTGGGATGTTAAAACAGGTGCTCGGGATAGGATTCTTCGTGGTACAGCTTCACTTTCAATGTTTGACCATTTCTGTTTGGGTATCAATCTGAGGACCAACACAGGCAACACTACGAGCGGCATTACTTCAGCACCTTCGTTGCTTCTATCTTTAAATGAAGATGCAAAGAATCCCAAAACTTTTGGAACTAGTCTCCATAAAACAACTCTCCCATCTTCTTCTGATGGTCAGAGAAGAATCAAAGATCTTACAGAATCAGATGGCCCTCTTGCCAACGTTAGCAAGGTTGTAATTAGTGATTTCATCTATGATAATACTGGAAAGAGTTCCGGACAAGTGTCAGCGCAAGGTTTTGGCCTAAATAAAAAGTATCCCATCAAATGCACTTGCCCGTTCCCAGGGATTTTAGCCTTGGAGTTTGACCTTTTACTCCTGATGTCTTTATGCCAAACAAATTGGCACTCTAGCCAAACGAATGATGACCAAGACAGTGTTAATTTTTCTGAGCAAGAAGCCAAGAAATCAAACTCTTCCCAAAAAGCCTCTAATGATGGTACTGTCATACTAACCGAAGGGCATCCAAGAGAGAAATTGCTAGAAGAATCTCTTCTTCGCTTCAGTCTATCCCTTTTGCACTTATGGGACATTGATCATGAAGTAGACAAGTTACTTGTGGATGAGATGAATCTGTGTAAGCCAGCTCCTTTTGTAGCCTCTGGTGTCCTTGGTGATAGGGGCTCCTTGACCCTGATATTCCCTGCATTGCATGGTTCACTTCAGGTACTTATGGATTAACAGTAGCCTTTTCAAGCAGGTCAATTTTTTGCCTCTTCTGTGACTTATGAGGGTCACATTTATCTTTCAGCTTTGGAAGTGTTCACCGGAGTTCTCTGCAATGCGATCGCTCACTATAGTTTCCCTTGCTCAGCGCATGATCTGCTCATCCCATTCTAGTTCAGAGGCCAGCAGGTAAAACAAAGTTGGACGAACTATTGTTTGTAGACAGATATTCTGCCAATTAAATGGTTTCATTTATGTACCTGGCTCTTTGAAGGGCTGGAAATGGTCTGTAAACTGGGTCGTTTTCAGCTGAATCTTTTGCCAATCACTGATTTTGTGTCTTTAATGCTTCACTTTGTTGGATAAGATCATTAACCTCTACGGCTCCTTCTCTAATAGTAATTTTGACTAGAGCTAGAGAAAGAAGTTTGAAAAGAAAAAACAGATAATTTATGCACTTTGCTACCGAGGGGTGTTGATGGGATAGACCTGCGAAGCTTGAACTTCACCCGTTCACCTAGAAAGGCATGATGGATTTGATCAGACTTGGGCCCAGGAAAGTTTCCCATAGCCAACTGCTAGCCACCCAAGCTAGCGTCATATTTGGTAGGATCTGTGGGTGGACACCAACGGTGGGAGTGGATGCTACTGAGAGTGATCGTGGGTGCTAGGGAGCCTCCTTCAGAGGAAGGGATTGCCACTAGGAGACTATGGTTTTGGAGGTAGGTGTGCCATCTGGGTGGCAAGAAGGATTTGCTACTGGGGAGCGCAGAGGGGAGAGGCCCTCAGCTACAATTTGGTGGGGGAAGCAGGAAGAATTTCGTCACTGTGGGAAAAGGAGATGATGACATACAATGTGGAATACGATGGCTGTTGAAGTGAATGCATTTATTATGCTAATGATAAAACCTTAATTATTGTACTAGTCATTAAGTTTTTATTACGATGTGTAAACTTTGTACATATGTTTTCTGCAAAGAAATAAAGTTTTTACATAGATGACTATAATAAGGTTTAACCCATCCTTAAATTTACAGGGTTATCTGTTTAGAAAAAACGTTATTACATATGCAGAAATGCAACATAGAAACATGCTGTCAAATGCATGTACCTAGAACATCAGTTAGACCATGTGGCAAGAGGGATTCAGTCCACGTAAAGACTTGGCTGGGCCTGGCTTCTTTTTTTCCTTCATACATAATTTTAAGGGCTAAAGCCTAGAATATCCTGAAGCCTGATACATTTATTAGAATCAACACAATATATTGTAATGTTTATGACCTTAGATGAGTAAGGTGAGAGTTACTTTGGTATTTCATATTCACACCCCTCCGTGATTTAATGTGATTTCAAAGTATGTTTTACATTATAATTTTCTTCAGAGGAATGAAACTTATTTTCTGAAGCATGATGCCTGAAATTGATCTTCTTCCCTATGCTGTCTTTATCGTGTTATTGATACTGAGATTTCTTTTGCAGCGAACTTGCTGCGTTCTATACACGGAAAATTGTAGAAAAAGTTCCAGATATAAGGCCTCCTTTACTCCAGGTAGCGTATAGTAACAATGATTCTCAAGTGTCATTTCCCTACAATGATTACGGAGTATTTTTAAACCTTAGTCTTCTTCATATAAATTCACAGGAAATTAGTTTGCACTTCATGCTTATAATGGTCAACAACGTTATATGCCCATGCCCTAGGCAAACAGGCAACACTAGGCCTATATTCTGCCACTGTAGTCGCTGGATTTCATCCAAACAGCATGAAGATTGCTAATTATTTCGTATGAGAAACTGAGAGAAGAAATCTAAACGATTTTTTTTAACGTGTGAATGCCAAAAATCCATTTACCATAATAACTTTGATTCGGAGACATAAAAGTATGTGTAACACCAGAACTCACGAAAAACTCCCTAGGGTTTCATTAAATAATTTTATTCCCCTAATCAGAATGCTCACCTCTCTCCAGTTCAGATCAGGCGCAGCGAATTTTTGAAAGAAAAATGAGGCATAATCTATATCATTTTTTCTAATAATAAAGGTATTAACTGATACTTATATGAGCTCCCGGGGGTACTAAATCATTTAACATTACAGCCAAATGGTGATTTTTTGGATCATTCACGCGATCAACATAATGGTTCTTACCCAAGTTCATCAAGTACGTATGAACGAAGAGAACAGGTAGAGGAGTTTACACATAATGGCACTGAAAAAAGAGCGGAGTTAAGCCAAATGAAGTTCACATTAAATGTAGAACGTGCATCCTTTAACTGTAAACTTTTATGATCCATTTACTCCGATGAAAAAAAGTTGTTCTTAACAAATGAGGTTAACGTTAAGGTTAACAGTACATCAGTGAAAAAAAATTAGTCTTAACAACAATAGAAAAGAATGACGGGAGTTATACTGGTTGTCCTGGAGGATTGGTGAAAAAGGGATAAGAGGAAGTTCCAAGAGTCATACCATGGTACCTTACAGCAGTCAGGAAGTCCATGAATGAGCAATTGCACTTTAAAAAAAATCTGCAGAACCTTCTGGTTTTTAAAGGATTGGATGACTTTTCCTTCACAGGTTGCACATTTTTTCTATGTTTTATCTGTGCTTGGCGTTCTCCGTCACCTCCATGGACTAGTGTAGCTTGTATCTTCTGTTATGTCTCTGTACTTTTAGCTTCTGATTTAAAAGTGGTGTCAGTCACCAACTTTTTGAAAAAATATGGCAGAGTTGGGGGCATGCAGGACTCATATACCCCCTTGAAAGTTTTCAGGGGGATTTGGTACGCTATGAGAAGAAAAATTAAAGAGCATAAAAATTAATAAGTATGAACTATCAAGTGTATGTCATGGCTGTGAGTAGCTGTCTTGTATATGACTTGTTCCCTACTTCAGAAGGAGACCACGTAATCTCAGATTCACCGATGTCACTTCATGTATATGACTTCATTAAAGGTGGTAGTGTCTTGAACCACATGTGCCAATAAGGTGCATGATGGCAACTTTGAGAAGTGTAATATGAAGAGTTCTTTCATGGTTCATTATCTCGACAGCTTCATCATCAGTTGTAGTTGAGATAGAAGAAATGGTGTTATACGATTATGAAAAATGACTGTAAGGATAAGCATATGTGCATCTGTTGTGCATGTATATTTGTATGTAGTTGAGGTGAACTCAACCACAGTACAAGAATGAAGGGTGTGGAAATAATAGACCTGTGTGTACGTGTTGCCTAGTTCAGAAATGGTTTCCATGAAACTAGTAGATGTCATGAAAGGAAATTGTAGAAATTTGATTTGAATGTTACCTTCTCTTTTGCAGTGGCTGATGTGGCTGCTTATACTTGTTTCTATTACAGTATTAATCATTTTTTTCATAATCCTTCTTTTATGCATCGTGTGCTGACCAAGTAAAATTCCATATTTTTTTTATGTCAACTTAGACCGTGAAAATTCCATCCTAGGTTGTGTAATCTAACGTTATTCAGGTTATAGCTTTTGGCAAGTTTCTGGCAAGATCCAAGTGAACCTGTCCGCATGGCGGCACGTTCTTTGTTTCACTGTGCTGCACCAAGGTCAATTCCACGTACTCTGTTTCAGCATAAAGTAATGCAACCTACAACTTCTTCAAATCCTGCAAGTGTAGCTGAAGACAATTCAAAATCAGATGAGAAGTATGCATCGACATATGGGGCTTCGGATGCTGTGAAGGATGATGATAATGAGGAAACTAGCATAATTCAATGGTTGGAATCCTTTGAAATCCAGGATTGGGTTTCTTGTGTTGGGGGAACAGCTCAAGATGCTATGGCCTCACAGATTATTGTTGCAGCAGCATTAGCTGTCTGGTATCCAAGTATTGTGAAACCCAAAGTGTCCAAGCTGGTTATTGAACGTCTACTTAAGTTGGTTATGGCCATGAATGATCGCTACAGCTCAACTGCAGCGGAGCTACTAGCAGAAGGGATGGATAGCACATGGAAAGCACATATTGGTCCTGATATTCCTCATCTACTTGGCGATGTATTTTTCCAAATAGAGTGCCTTAGTAGTGGTTCTTCTAATAGTGCAACACAAAATCCAGCTGTGACCCTGAATATCCGAGAGACATTGGTTGACATTCTTCTTCCAAGCCTAGCAATGGTCGACATATCTGGGTTTTTTAAAGTAATTGAAAGCCAGATTTGGGCTACCTCTTCTGATTCACCCGTACATCTTGTTTCTCTTAATACTCTAATCAGGGTGATCCGCGGTTCACCAAAATCATTGGTCCCATTCATTGATAAGGTAATTCCATTCCACTCAAACAAATAAAATGTATAAGTGCTCCAGTTTTCCAATAGGCACTTGGAGTTTTATATCAGTTGAACAAAACTTTATTTCAGTTTTTGATTATTTGTTTCTTTCAAATTCATCGTCAAAGTTCCTATTTCAATCCAATGCAACATTTTTTTGTTGTTGAGTGATTGCCCGGACCATACTTGTGAATGGGTTAAAAACTTACATAGCTTGTAGCACTAATCATTTTTCTTTTTGTTTCTTTTATTCTTAGACTTGGAGTGTTTTTTTCACTTGAGCTTTCTCTTCTTCCACTTTTTTTTCCCTAGCTTCATCCCATTCCTTCTTGAACATGGTCCTTGTTGAATGGTACCCCTCCCTCCCTGGTTATATGGTTGCAGACACATTCAGGCTTTGCTCCATTATGGAGTCTTGTTGATGTGTTTTTTCCCTTGTGGCATAGTTTACTTGTTTGTTGTGATCAACATTTTAATGTTATATGCCTATTTTTTCTTAAAAAATACTCTTAGACGATATATTTTATGAGACAAACAGTCACGTGAGTCTAACTTATTGAAAAGTTTACCCGATTTTAGTGGATAAACCATATTTTAGTTTGTGGAAACATGATGTGTATTGTGTGAGGCTCCCTTAGCTATCATGCACTAAGTGGGTTGTGAAATTAAAATGTCTTCTGGGAAAACATGATTAGATGGGAAAGCTAATCTCCGGTTTATTTGCAGGAAAAGCTAGATCCAGGGTCACGGGCCCATAATTGATTGTTGATTTTTTTCAGACTGAATTCAAAATCTACTTTCTTATGTAAAAATTATAAATTTAGAGAACGTATGTATAACTGACGGATTCAAGTCCATTTGTAATCAACATTGTTCAAGCTTCATCTGCTATATTGGATGCCCGCTAATTGCTGTCAATGTTTCATCTACTACTCATTTGAAGTCTTCTCCACAGCATTTCGTCCCCCTAACGGTCATGGTTTCTTTCACTTCACAGTTCCTGTAAAATTCAAACTGCAAATCTAACGAGAACAGAAAAGAGTGAGAGACAACAAAAACACTGGAGAGAGTTCACGTCAGTTGCAGATGGGAAGCCCTTTTTCCGTGAAAGGAAAAACATACCATATTACTCATATAAGTACAGTAAATTACAACATCCGAATAGTTCCGGATGTTTTAGAAGTTTTTTTCGGAAGCAGAGGGATTGGTCAGCTCAGCTTCTCTTCGTAACAGCTTTCTACTGTAAGAGATAGAAAGTACACGTAAACTGGGAGTCATGTACTTTTTTTCCACATCTGGAAACTTCTTGCTCTGACTGCCAAGTCATGTCCCGCTTATCCTGGTGTTTAGCTATTTATGCAATTTGGATTTAGGTAATTTTCAATAGAAAAATCTCTTGCAAGTATTTTTGTGTCAAATGGTGTTGGGTGCAGATTTTTGAACTGACAGTGCGTGCCAAACATTGAATATTCATGACTGCCGAGTTATGTCCCGTAAATGATGATTTTTAACTTCACCGTTCCTGGCAAGGGATGCTATTCCCTGTTTCATATGTTATCTTCTTTCCAATTTCTCTTGTTTAACCCTATGTCGTCATCATGCAGATCTAATTATACCGTCCATCTTGCTTGTTCATAGATTTTGCGTAGACAGTGTTCATATCTAGATTCCTTGTCCGTGCACCATTGCTAAAGCTTTAGACAGTCATGATGTTCACTGTTCATTGTTTTATTTGAATAATGTTATATTTCATCTGCACGAGTTGAAAGATTTCGTATCTAGCATCCAGTGCCTTATATTTGCTGTTGCTCCAATCTCAAACAAGTTTTTGGGCTGTATTTCCTTGTTCTTCACTGGCAACGATGTAAAATAACTATACTCATCATTGTAATCAACATCAACATCATTTATCCCGTATCAACATAATGTATCAACATAATATATTGCAGGTAGTGAATTACGTTCTGCATACTATGGATCATGGAAACTCTGTCTTGCGCAAGAATTGCCTTAACAGTTCCATGGCCACATTAAGAGAAGTTGCACGCGCATTTCCCATGGTTGCCTTGAATGAAAGATCTTCTCGACTAGCTGTTGGAGATGCGATTGGAGATATTAGTGGTGCCACCATTCGTGTTTATGACATAGAAAGGTATGAAATAGGTGGTGTTTGTTAATATCTGCGCAAAAAATAAGTCTTGACTGTCAAATCTCCAACTCTTGAGCCATGAAGATTACAACGTATAAAGTCCAAAAAGCATGCTTGATCATGCGAGTTTCTTGCTTGTGTTTATGAATTTGGCGTTTTTTTATTCGTGTATGAAGGTTTCTTCCTGGGGTATTTTATTTTAGGTGCCATGTGCCCCATTTTTCGCTATCTGATTAATAACAACTTGCATAAGTGTTTTAATTGTTCCTCTCTTTTTTAGTGTGACAAAGATAAAGATCTTGGATGCTAGCGGACCTCCAGGGCTTCCAAGCTTACTTGCCGGAGGGTCAAACACAGTTGTTGCTGCGGTGATTTCAGCTTTGAGTTTTTCACCAGATGGAGAAGTAAGTTATACTCAGTATTCTGTATCCCACAGTTATCCATTTTATGGGCCAGATTTTAGGGTTTAGGATGCCGACTCAGTTCTCTCTCTAAGTACACTGTTTTCTTTAGCTTTATATTTTGACAAACACATGGCTGCGTGGATTTATCATTTTGCTTTGTGATGCTGAACCGTATTTTAATAATAAATTGTGCGGAATTCAGTTGGTGGCAAGCTGCTCCCTGTATGTAGTCAATACTTTCATGCCGATTCCTTTTATTCTCGTTATTATTTCCATGTTCTTTCTCTTGCTTTATCTTATCTGCCTTGAGTTTTTGATTGCAATCAAGCGATTAAACATGACCATATCACATTCATAAAAGATACAGAATACATTGCCCCCGCTGACTCTTTACCCTTGAGTTCCGTCACAACTGAATCGCAGGTGATTCTAACTGTACAAAGCCCATCCTGATCATAGTTGAAACTTTCATAAGGTATGATGCTTGTGTTGATGAATTTGTTGTCTCCCATTAACTCTCCCTGTTTAGGCGATGAAGGATGTCTGCCCTTTGATGCTCTGCATTAATTTCATTGGCTTTCATCCTCCACCTTCGATTCTCTTGTCAGACTATGCAATGAGATCATATTTACCATATCATCATGTATCCACAAACTCGTAATAGTAAATCATGACCCTTTTCGCCTCAGCATTCTAGCAAATCGTCTGGATCTGTATGTGCATATCCCAAACCCAGCCACTTCTATATTTGGCAAATTAATTTCAGTCATTCTTGACTTGTAGTGAAAATAGCATTTTCTGATTTTATTTTTTTTAGGGTGTATTATATCCGTCTGCTTCCAAAAGTAGCTATGCCATCCCCAAACTGAAGGCAAGCAAGCAAGTCTTCAGTTTTTATGAGCCAATTATTTTTCAGTTCACTATTTTGTGGACGTTCAAACCTATGATTGATGGTACTAAACTTGAAGAACGATGTTTTGGGTGAGAACAAGATCAGTATATGAGAAGAATGGAAATATTGGGCTCTCGGTCGATGTTTATTGGACTGTGCATAAGTCCTTAGATGTAAGACTCCCAGAAGAAGAAGAAGATAAAACCGAAATTCTGTCTAACCCTTTAAAAATAAAATAAAAAAACTCTGTGGGATGCAAACCTCTTGTCAGATAAACCCTAACGGAATGGTCTCGCTTTAGGGATTTTCCAGACGATCAAAGTCATCAATTTGTCAAATATGGAGTTATCAGGTGATGTGTTCGACTGTATACTTTCTTTGAAAATTTTCTATGGAGAAAAGGAAGTCTTTGAACTGCTTCTGATCTTTCAGATCAGAGGTTTTCTATGAGAGGAGAATTGTGTTTTTAGAGGGGTTTGGTTCAACAATAAATCTGGTTCGTGGCTAATCAAGGAGATAATCTTGGTAACATCGTTATGATCAGAGGGTTAGATTTCTGGATCGAAAGAAACCGCTATGTCATCATCCAGGAATCGCAGACAATGTGGCTTCGCCATATATGTTAGACCATTCACGTTGGGCTTGTGAAACTCTTGACGCAGGCTTTGACATTTTTTCATTTCAGGGACTGGTTGCCTTCTCTGAGCATGGACTGACGATTAGATGGTGGTCATTGGGCACGGCCTGGTGGGAAAAGCTTAGCAGAAGCTCTGTTCCTGCTCAATGTACCAAGCTTATCTTTGTTCCTCCGTGGGAAGGCTTCTCACCCAGTTCTACCCGATCAAGTATCATGGCAAGCATATCTCGCCATCATGAGCAGTCAACTTTACAGGTCAAGATTTATTTTATAGCAGTGACAAGCTCGCACGATTTTTTTCTCTTGATTTCTCAGCCAGTTTTTTCTCTCTCATTTTCCCCTTTCCCGTGCTTTCTATTTTTAGCCATGCTCAACTTCAGCTATAATTTTTACGGTTTTATCCAGTTTGGGCGGTTGGATGAGAGAGAGAGAGAGAGAGAGAGAGAGAGTTCAGTGGGGAATCGCCTGGGATCATCATTAAGCATTTCAGGGCCTTCTAGAGAGAGAGAGAGAGAGAGCTGAGAGGATCCTTGGGTAACATTCCAACGCCCATTCATAGTTCAGGGGCTTCTGGAGAGAGAGAGAGAGAGCTGAGAGGATCCTTGGATACCATTCCAAGGCCCATTCATAGTTCCATTGCTGTTTAATGGGGTTTCCTTGTGCAATAATTTTCTGTTTATTCATACATTTTCTTCCACATATTTACTTAATTAGGAAATGTTAAGGTGGAGATTAGAGTTGCCGCCGATGCCCTCCCTCATATTTGCAATCCTCGCATTCCCCAGGCGAAGAAAACGGAGCCAGACGAGGCTGAAAGCGACAGTCTGAAGATCCTGCTTCAGAATCTTGACCTCTCCTACCAGCTATCGTGGACTGATGGAAGGAAAGTGTCCCTCACCCGACATGGCCAGGAGTTGGGCTCTTTCCAGCTATGAGGGAGCTTCTCTCTCATCTGTTACTCCAGAGAAAGCTCGCCCGAGCAGATGAAAACCAGGGAATCCCATTACTATTCTTCTATTTGGATCAGGAAACTCATCTCTCAGGTCCTTCTTCTCCCGCAGATTCTTTACTCTTTTTATTTATTTATTTATTTATTTATTTATTTATTTATTTGTGATCTGTCTGTTTTTCATCATTTGCTCGAAATGGAAATGTCTTAAAATCTTTTAATTGTTTCTTGAAGCACCCAGGAGATTTTTTATAAAATAAAAAAAAAGTATTTTTTTTTTCTACTTTGGGAAATATGGGTTGTAGGTAGGGGTGTTGGGCTTTCTCCCTTGTCTGTTCATCTCAGCTCATCTCATCTCTTCTCATCTCTTCTCATCTGCAGTGGAACCCAGAGAGGAGGTGGAGCTGGCGGAGGAGAGGGCGGCCTCGCAGGGATGACCTATGAACCTACTCCTTCGCCCCGCACGTGCGGACTGCGCATCTGTAGTAAGTTTTCTTTTCTTTTTTCTTTTTTATTTTCTTGTGGTGGAAGGAGCTTCATAGGAGCCAGAGACTTGAGTAGGTGATGCGTGCATAATTTATACACAGCCTTGTGAAGTGGAAACGACCCCTCTCTCTCTCTCTCTCTCTCTCTCTCTCTCTCTCTCTAACCTTGTGAAGAAGAGCCTTGTGAAGTTGCCTGGTGTTTAGATGGACGAAGGACTCGACAGATGAATCGTGCCCAGTGGAGTCAAATCCCACGTGTGGAGGGTGTCGATGGGCTTAGCCCGCCCCATATCCCTCTCTCTAACCCACCCCTAGGCGATCCGACCTCTGTATTCACATGAGAGAGACAAGAGAGAGAGAGAGAGAGTAATGATGGAGAAAAAAATGAAGAAAACTCAACCCCACACTATATAACAAAGAGTCTCTCTCAACTAGGGACATTCTGTGGATGACGTTGATCGTAGTAGAGAGAGAGAGAGAGAGTGATGGAGAAAAAATTGAAGAAAACCCTTCGCTACACTGTAACAAAGTCTCTCTCTCAACAAGGAACGTCCTGTGGATGACGTTTGGTCGTAGTAGAGATGGAGAGAGAGAGTGATGATGGAGAAAAAAATGAAGAAAACCCAACCCCACACTGTAATAAAGAGTCTCTCTCATCAAAGAACGTTTGGTTGTAGTAGAGAGAGAGAGAGAGAAGAGTGGCGATTGATCGGTCCCAAGACAAGGAATAATAGATTAAAAAAATAATCTAAAAGCGTTGGCAAGAGATCGTTAAGGACAACTTCTTGATGGCAATAGAGATAGATAGATAGAGAGAGAGAGAGAGAGAGAGAGAGAGGAAGGTGATTGGAGTGAGTGTATAAAGAGAAGAAGGGGAATGAGGGGCCGAGTGGGGGAGACCTAAAACAAAGGCCTGCCCCCCTTGAGCATCCCCAAGAGGTGGTCGAGGACCTGCCCCCCGCCGTCCCGGAGCCCGGAATGCATGAACTCGTTGGTAATCCATAGCCTGATCCCCGCGATCTGGGACGCCGTCTCCATCGACAGCTTGAAGTTCACGTACATGTCCTCGTAGTACACCGCAGCCGCCACCGGAACCTGCGCCTCCGAAGTCAACCAGTCAAAACCCCCGAGTCAAACACCCCCCCCCCCCTTCCCTATGCCTCTTTAAGAGAGAGAGAGAGAGAAAAAAAACAGTAAGAGAAAGCTACGATCGCAAGTAAGAACAAGGGGAATCGTTTTACGCTAGGAACACCAACTAGAGGCAGGTGGTGGACTTGTAGAGCGAGAAAGTCAATACCTCGTTCTTGTTCAGGGCATCAATGTCATAGAGAGAAGGCCAGTCCTCTTTCTCAGATAGCAAGTTAGCGGCCTCTTTTAAATGCGTCAGGGCACCCATCTCATCAAACACCCACGGAAACACCATCTGTTCTTTCTCAGCCCCAAAAAAAAAAAAAAAAAACGTACAGATTATTATTCCCGAGAAAAAAAAACATAAAGCAGTAGCAAAAGAAGTTTTTCAGATCAAAACCTTTCCTCGGTTTGTGTTAAGAAAATAAAATAATTGTAAAATGTGATTAATAACTTGGTTTGAGTCTCAGTTCTGAAGATATTATTAAGAGGTTGGACACCAATTATAGAGCAAGATTGATCAGGCATAACCGGGAACCTGGAGGCAGTCATGGAGGCAGGAAGCTCAACCGAGCTATTTCAGGAAACATGATCCCCCTTCGACGATCCACAGATATTTCTCTAACTCCTCGCACATATGATCGAGAGAGTAACTACGCGTCGATGGTGTGAGCGTTTGGTCAATGAATATCGGTTCTTCATAATCCAAAGCTATAAGAAATTTTTCTATCTTGAGAAAAGATCAGTGATTGGTAACAAGAACTTGGGCGAAGATTGGAAGGAAATGAGGAACAAGCAACCGTATCATGGGATTTTTGTCAACTATTCTGATGATTATCCGGCGGGTGCACATCATATTTATAGAAGATATTTAAACGAATGATATGAACTAATTAAAAAAATGGCCCAGAATAGCATTTTATTCTTTCCAAGACATGCATTTCACTTACCTCTCCAGTGAAAAATACAGGGCGAGATTCTCTTGCTGCTCTGACTGCATCAAACACGTTGTCTAGTGAATTCCTTATTTTGTGAGCAGACCACTTCGATGAAGCGCCCTAATAATAGTCAACGGTACCATTATAAGCAAGAAGCACCAAACTTAAACACACGGTTACCCGGTGCCCGCCGACTTAAACAAGACAACTTAGGTCGTGAAAACTAGGCTGCAGAGGATAACACCTGGCAATAAATGGATTCATGCAAAAGAGCATAGAGCGGGTTTGTGTCGAATGATATCCAGCTCTCGAACTGCAGAATCCACAAAATAATCTTTTTCAGATGATAACATCCACTTAGAACAAAGCAAAAAAAAATATTAGTTGGATCCACAAAATCTCATAAAATCACATTTAGACGGCACACCGGTAATATCTAGTGAGAGAATGGAATAGTAAGGATACTCCACCTTGCAAGTATGAAAGGAAAAGAATGTAGGTGAAAGGAAAATTAATCCACGTGATGCTGAACACCTAAGTTCGTCAGATCTAGATTAAGGATAATTTGAAAACCTATACAGATGCTTACAGATTTCAAGAAATAGTAACTAATACGCTTTGGTGCTCCAGGAACCAGTATGGGATCCCAGGCTCTTTCAAACCTGCAATGAATTCAACAGTTCTGAATAGACGATGGTTGACCTGAAGGTATTGGTACACCCCATGGAAAAAAAAAAAAACCAAAGTCCATTGAAACTTACATGTAATGCAAACGTTCAAAACCGGTGCTTGATCCCAAACCCACAAGCCCAAGATTCTGGAGTCCCCTAGGAGTCAATATGCCCCCAGATGGAAGAGGAACCTGACGCAAAAAGCATAAACACATATTTTTGTTGATTCAATATTTAAAATTATTACCATAATTATGCACGAGACTGATGCAACTTACCCCACCACCTTCAGCCTCACTCAAGTAAATAACAAGTTCATTGATAACAGAAACGTCTTCAGGAAACCTTTTGTAGTATTTCTCATTCTGCTGCACAACTTGGTCAAAGCACGCTCTGTAAACGTCATCAGCAGTACAGTCCTTTCCAATAGGTGGGAGCCCACCAGTCAACAGTACACATCTCAGGCCTTGTGGTGCAAAACTCAAGTAAGTGACTGCACAGAATCCACCGTAGCTCTAAACAGAAAATAATAATAAATTGAATAATTATAGGTGAATATTGGCACTGTAAGCTGAAAAATAAACAAAAACACAGCGGGCGCTATTTATAAGCTATAGTTTTGATTTTACATTTTGACCTGACCTCCGTAAGATTATAAATTTCATTAAACACTTCTCGACAACAAAATTCTACTTCTAGAAAAAAAAAATTGCTTAATGTGTTCCAAATTTTGATCAGACGGCGCGCCACATTTTTCTATGCTGTCATCTGTAATGATCCGTTTCAGTTAAAATAATACAATATCTGTACCTGCCCGAGCACTGTCCAAGGCTCAGCATCTGGTACAAGACGGACACGTATAAACTCAGCGTCATTCACTATACTATCCGCTCGAAAATGTTTCACATAATCAACCAGTTTCTTCGCCGAAGTGAATTGCATCAAAGATGAAACTGTCAAAGGAGTCGACAATCCTGTTCCACGCTGCCAAATGAAAGCCATTCCCAATAAACGGCGTGCAGAACGCACAACAAATACAGAAGCAAAGGTTTGTGTCTAGAAGAGCCTGCCTGGTCCAAGAAAACCACACGATGCTCGTCACAAGCTTTCTTCAGCCATCCACTAGCTTCAGTTGGGCGAGGACTCTCAAACCCAGGTCCACCTTGTAAGTATAGTAGATAAGGTAGATGCTGAGCTTCTTTCCCAGCTGCAGCATAAAAATTGGAGTAAAGGAAAGTAAATGACTTCAGAAAATAAATAGCAAAGGAAATGACCTTGACGGGTAATATTTTCGAGGCAATATATGACGTCCGCAGTGGAATCATCAGAAGGAGCATCGTAGCCGAACTGTATTTTAGTCGTACGAGGAGCTCATACGACGTTGAAGAAAATACCTGAAGCGACCGGATCTTAAGAGGATCATTTCCCGACGCTCCTTAGCGTTCTCTGATTTTCTTTGCTGATCTTTCAAAAAGGAAATCTAACAGTAGGCATGCTTCTTCTTTATGACCACTTTGAAATCAAAAATCACCAAGAGGAATAATTTCTACGGATCGGTGGTTATTTTCAACGCAGGATTTAACGAAGATGAAGAAGATCCGTGGTAAAAAAATGAAAAAAGAAAATTCAAGCGACCCTTCCTGATTCCGATGTTAACGGCTCCGTAAAATGTAGCTATTAGTCGCGGGAATCCTCAATGACACAAATAATTCTTAGAATGCTTAGCTGAGGCAAGACTGACGCTCTTACAATAAAGAGAAAAGAGGTTCAAGCAACCTTCATTAAAAAACAGAAGTTCCGACCCCACACAAACGTTCCTCTTCCGTCCACACATTAACCATACGCGAAGACGCCACACGAAAATAGTCTTAAAGATGATTCGAGCACGGCGTTGAGGATTTTGCGTGAGGAGATAATTCGAGCCACCGTCGTACCTAGCACGACCTCCCGAGCGAAGACGGAGATCCTGGGGCCATCCGGGGAGGAGTAATCGAGAGGGACGGCGAACCGATGATCTCGCAGGCTCAGATCCGGCACGGAGTACCAGTCCCCAATCTCATGCACCTGCGGCTCCTTCTGGCTCATCTTCGAACTCCCCACCGTCGCTGTCGCTCCCTCTCCACCCCGACACTGCGCAGAGCAGATGCCCCTTCCGCCGCCGCCTCCTTCAGCGGAACGGAGGATGAGCAGAGACCGGAGCAGCAGCCTCCGGCCAAAGGAGCCTCCCGCCGCCGCTGCCAGGAGAACCCTGCCCCTCGCCGGCAGCGCCGCCGATAGCACTATCATCTGCTGATTCGCAAGCGCACTCCACGGAGCTCATCCTCTCGTCTCACAAGCCGCCACGTAATTTTTTTGAAAAGTGTTAAAAATTTCCCATTAAACTCTAATAAATTTATTAATTACTTCTGTACCCACTGTACATGTAGGCCCAATTGGGCCCAGCCCAGTCATGGCCCATTCAAGCCGGAGAGAAGACAGAGAGAGGAGGGAGGCGTTGCCGCGTGGATGATCAATTTAAATAGACTTTTTTTTGTAATTTAAAGCGTTATTAATATATAGCGAGAATATGAGTGACTTACGAATGGACTACCGGGACGGATTCCCCAATTGGGATCAGACTGGCCCATTAAAGCCATGTGGCGGAGGATCCGAGTTGACTTTCATCTAAATCTGATCGACGTGTCCGGATCTCGAGGATAGGAGGGACCACTGTTTTGCCTCAATCGAGACACGCGATTGTGCTGGCAGTAGTGGGAAGGAAGACTTTCCTGTCTTCCAACCCGGACAGCCCACGTGGAATCCATGGAAAGAGAGAGAGCTCCTCCATTAACGAAGGAAGAGTAGGGAGGGGGGAGATGCTGATTCCAGGCTTTCCGTCTTCTATATTTCCTTTATTTTTTGCCGTGGGGGAAGTTCGGAGGTCTTCTAATGGAAGATGCCTCCTATTCACAGACTGGTGAGCCCACAGACGCCCTCTTTCTCTCTCTAGACAGTCTCTCTCTATCTCGCTATCTATCCGCCAGGTTAACTGCCGCCGGCAACGGCGGCGGCGCTGTTGGTTAACCACGGCGTGGGGAACGCGCCGAAGTGGTCGGACAAGACGTCGCTGAAGGCGGCGCCGCCGCCGCCGCCGCCGCCGCCGCCGTCCTCCGTATCCAAGAATATCATCTCGTCCTCGCTCATCATCACCACGTCTCCGATGTGCAGCGGATCCTCTTCCTCCTCGCTCTCCTCCTCCTTATGGATGGGCGGGGAGCCGGAGGAAGAGGCCTTGCTCACCGACTGCCGTGGGGCGGCGCCGCCGAGGGAGTTGGCGGCAGTGTTGACTTCTCGCCCTGGATTGGCGCCGGCGGAGGAGGAAGTAGGGGGCTTCTGGCGGTGGGTGGGAATCGGATGGTTGTGCTCCGCCGTGTAGGTGATGATGAATATGGCCGGGTCCACCGAGCTGCGCTCCACCTGCTTTCTGGCCAGGCATCCCTTGGAGCTGCTGCACTTGTAATACCCCCTATTCTCCAGGAAGAAGAAGAAGAGAGTCAAAACCCTAATCTGTATGAGCTAACGGGGAGGAAGGGGAAGGGCGCTGACCTTGGGAAGGGGGAGCCCTTGATGGGTTTCTGCCCGTACTTCCGCCAAGCCCACAGGTCAGAAGAGAGACTGTCGGCGGGGACCTGGCACACCACCTTCTTCTGCTGACTCTTCCTGCAAAAAGAACTCCATAATCAGAAACGGTTCCCCGTGGGGATCCAGGTCAACTGATCTTCATCCTAGCTTCCCTAAATGGGTGCCGGAAAAACACGGCGGCGGGACCTTCTCTTTGAAGCCGGAGTGCGGAGGAATGCCCGCGGCGGCGGCGAGCGCTTCGCCGCCGCCCGCCGCCCGTCGGATAACTGGAGAGCGGCGGCGATGGAGGAAGAGCTCCCCTTCGGAGAGGAGAGAGACTGCTTCTGATTCTGTTTCTGCTGCTGCTGAGGAGTTTTGGAGATGAAGGGCTTGCACAGTTCCTCGAGCTCATGAAGATCTGCTGGGGCGGCGCAGAGATCCGGAAAGGAGAAGAACCAGTCTTCTTCCTCCTCCCTCCCCACCTCTGTGATGATAAGAGGAGGAGGAAATGAGGAGGAGCCATCTTCCGCCGCCGCCGCCGCCGCTGCCAAGCCGCAGCACCCTTTGACCACCGCCTGCAGATCCCAGCCGCCGTCGTCCCCCATGGGACCGCCGCCGCTGACCTCTGCGAGTCCCCTCTGAGATCTCTGAGGAAGAGCGAGAAGAACCCTAGAAGGGCGCTTGGGCTATGCTGGGGAGAGGGCGGCCGCCGGCGCTGACCTGAGGGGATTTGGACAAACCGGGTGCCCAACTTGGGGAATTGGATCTGCGACAAAAGCTGTTTCGTATTGGATGAATTATTGTTCTGAGTGCGGTCCCCCTTTGAAAAGCTTTGACTTTGGAAAAAATGTCAAAGCCGTCACGTCACCCTCGCTCTTAATGTCCTCTCTAATCCAGCCGTCGCCACAGTCCATTACGTTAAGAATATTCAAACATATCCCTATTCCCGAGGTCGAGACAGATGTGATCACCCAGACGCCGGCGCCGGCGGGCCCGCGACGCACGTGGCATTAAGGCCTCGAAAGAATCTAATAATTTATATTTTTATTAACCCTTGACATGCTGGGAATGACATTTGCACGCCTCTCGGAGACGCTGTTTATCGCCGTTCATCTGATCGTTGTAGAGAGAGAAAGAGGTCCTGTCAATTGAGTGGCGCCAGATGTCCTTTTGTCGAGTAACATTTGACCCTTTTAGTTGACATTTATTTTTAATCAATCCTTGTAAAGTACATAAACTAATTATTAGCTCCTTTATTTTTCACATAGGTCCCCGAAAACTATCTGACTCTTGTTGTTTAGTCCTTCCCATCTGAGTTGACTTTAAAGCACTCTCACTACCTGTTTGTATCAACATATGAAAAAATCCAACATTTTATTTACATTTCAACTTTTTATGGGTATTATTGTGCTTTAAAAAAATCTCATTTAATCTTAATTATATGCCTGGAGAGAGAGAGAGCTGGTTCTATGAAGAAACTACCGACTTGAGGCTTCAACGGAGTGAATGCTGCTCTCTCTCCCTCCCTCTCTCTCTCTCTCTCTCTTTCTCTCTCTCTACTGCATATTCAAAATATTATCCAAAATAAGACTCGTGGTGAACTCTCCAGGTAATTATTCGAAATATTACAGCTCGACAGTTATCAAGAGACACATCGCAGCAGACAGGTGGCAGCAGCTATAACAACTCATATCCCATTATCTAATATCTTAGTGGCCCGGGCCAAGCCTCATCTATCAGCCACGTGGCGCCCAGACGACGTGATCCTGCGGCAGGAAGTGGCATATCGACACCGTCCCAGGCTTCACCTTCAGCAGCTTGAATGCCACGTGGCGTGGGTTCCAGCCAGAGGTATCCGCGTGGCAGATGGCGACGCCCCCCACCTTTGCCCCGTTCTCCCCGACGAGCGGCACCACGTAGGCCCTGCTGGAGCGGGCGACGTGGCAGTAGAAGACGGCGTAGGCGTACGGCCGCGCGTGGCAGGCCACCTTCTTCCCCGCCGCCAACCTCTCCGCGTCAGCAGCCACGGTGTACACCTGCTCCGCCGTGGCACCCGCACCGGCCTCCGTGGACGCCACCTGTACATCCCGGGTGCCCAGGCTGGCGGTGGCGAAGTCCACCATGGACTCCAGTGACGTGGCGCAGTACCTCCTCTCTCCCGCCGCCGCAGGGTCCTCGCAGGCTTTCAGCGTCTGGTTCATGGCCGAGGCTTCGACAGACCCGGGTTTCACGGAGAACCGTTCCAAGATCTCCGGAAGCTTGTCGGAAGAGAAGGGGATCGAGTCCGCTGCCTCGCGGGGAACGAAGGCCGTTGTAGGAGTGACCTTCATGAAGTGGAGCTTCATCTTTGCTCCGCGATGGAGGTTCTTCTCGAGGAAGAAGAGGGCCACGTCGCCGTTTTCCTGGAGCTGGGTGTCGGCGGCGGCGTAGCGGTAGTCAAAGGGGCAGTAGGGGTGCCAGTATGGGTGGCAGTAGCCGGGGACGTAGACGACGACTGGTTTTCCGTGGTAGCCGACGTAGGTCTTTGCGCGGCCGGTGTCAGCGGCGGCGCCACCGGGTTTCCCTCTGCCGACGCCGACGTTGACCCCGCCCCTCCCGACGCTCACTTCGGCCCCCGTCTTCTCGTCTCGAAGGTCTGTAGGAATCAGAGGCTCTCTACATTTCTGAAACTATTCTTACGAAGAGGAAAGAGAGAGAGAGAGAAAGAGAGAGGGAAACCTTGGCGGAGGAGTTCCCGGAGGGCGGCGGGCATGGAAGTGTGGGGGAGGACGGCGTTCCAGTATTCTCGAGGGGGTGCGGCGGCACGAGCGACTGCTGCCAGCAGCTGCATGGGAATGAGAGAGTCGTCAGGGGACGTTTTCTTAACATGGAAATCACACGGGCTTCTTCTTCTTCTATTACTACTAACCGCGAAGATCACGAGAGCGGAGAGGGAGCGCTCCATGGCGACGAGGAACAGCGCGAGGACGAGGAAGGGTGGGAGTTGAGCAGGCGGCTCTTATAGGAGGACGCGGTAGAGAGAAAGAGAGAGAGAAGAACACCGCCTCATAGAGAACGTCGATGGAGTTAATACGGGGAACTCCGAACCGCCACCTCTCCCTCGCCATTGATCGTCGTCGGCGTGGTTGTTTGGTGGCGCGGACTTATCCCCGTCTCCGTGGACGTTTCCCCTACTCCATGGCCCCGACACCGTGCTCATGTACCGAGTAGAGCCGAGCACCGTTCACATCAGAGACTCTCTCACTCACTCTCTCTCTCTCTCTCTCTCTCTCTCTCTCTCTCTCTATTGAGTTCATCTCGGAAAGGACTAGACGGATCCTCAGAGGTCCGTCCTGAGGACGGTATCTCATTAAAAATTAAAACCATAAATAGCTTCATAATATATATATTATATATAATAAAAGGCGAATAATGTCTCTATTCCGAGATATTTCCGAGTACAAACGTGAGGCGGGACATTTATGGCCCTGGTTCGTGCTCATCCAATACCCTGGGAGCCCCGCCGTAACCAAGATTCAAGACAGGCCAATTAAATCACTTTGAAGACCCAAACTGGGGATTAAAAAATAGAAAACCTATTAATACGCATAATTCCGTTTCCATTTTCAGGTCATTGCGGTGTACTTCCAAATCGTATGTGCCTATTTTTTATTTATTTTAATGAGACAAAATAATACAATATATCATGTATAATCTTAATTAATTCGGAAAATAGCCTCAACGATTTTTATCTCAAGAAATAAATTTTTACTTATAATAGTCTGAAATAATTACACGATCTACGTAATGTTACTTAAAATAAATCTTTTTCAAGCAATAAATAATATTTTTTTATATAAAAACTTATGTCAAGAGAGGATGACGATCCCTCTTCGAAGTGAAGGCGTATGAGAGGCTCTCATTTTTTTAATTTTTTCCTCTATTTATAGATTTCGAAATTAAATAAATGGTAAATAAATTAAAATTTAAACTTATCAACTTCTTTAAACAAATGAAAAAATATACATTAAAAATCACATGTAAATCCTCTCTCCCTGCCCCCCCCTCCGCAAGTGGTGTGTCAAAAATGCGGGGACTGCCACCTCATAAGACACGTGTCACGAGCTTTTCCCGACACGACCTCTTTTTTCCTCCCGCCCACTACCAGATCAGCCGCCGGCTGGAGGCATCACTCATTGCAGATATTAAAAGAAGTCGACGCCTAGCCAGGACAAAGGATGGTCGGCGGCGGCGCCCGCAACTGACGCCATCAAATCCTCCTCCCTACGCTTCGTTTAAGAGGCAGCTTGATATCCACCACCCCCCCGCCGCAATTCTCCTCCATTGATCCTCTCTCTCTCTAGATATTTATTTATATAGATTAAAATTGCTTTTGCCCTGTGTTGGGCGACAGGGAGCTGAAGCCGATTTAGACGAATTTTCGGATGAAATAACTAAAAAAAAATGTTTTACACCCTGTCATGCAGCTAAGATGTATACTTCATGAAGTCAAAGGCGTATCATGAAGTACCCAGCTCACATCTCCGTCGACTCATCTGGGCCTAGTTGGGCTCCCAGTCGAAGTCAAGGGCGGGAGGGGGAGCGGGAGAGGATCAACGCTTCAGCCAGTAGTTCCTGAGTTGACCCATGTGCAGCAAGATCTCGTCCCTCCCCTGGTTGGTGACGCTGCTGGTCAGGATCCACGGCGGAGCCGTCTGGAAGAACTCCCCGATCAGGTTCTGGAAATCCTCCGCGTTCTCCTCCGGCCGCTTGCCGCCGTTCTTCGCTTTCTTCCGCTTGTCGCACTTCGTGAACAGTATGGTCATCGGAACCTGCCCAAAGATGGGATTTTTATTTTCCCAAATAAAGTCAGAAAAGCCCGGAAAAGCCCGGAAAACGGCCCAAGCCCAGCGACCTCTTCCAGACTTTGCGGGCTTTTCTTGGAGATCGGCCCATCAACAGACTTCCAGAAAAAGAACCATCTTGCTGGAAATCGACACGGATATGGAGAAGAACACTGAGCAACTCATCACCTGGTTCTGCCCGAGCCAGCATGCGTACTGAAGGTCCGTCTTCTTCGGCGGGATGCTGGCGTCGATGAGGAGGAAGACCGAGACCAGGGTCTGCCGCTTCAGGAAGTAGTCCTTTGTGAACTTGTCCCAGTCGGTCCGCAGCTGCTGCGGTGCCGAGGCGTACCTGGCCCAGAGAGGAATCACACCAGACCATTAGATCCTGCGCGGGTTGACCCAAAATTAGCTAATATTGGTTGCAGTCTGTGTGCCCAGAGACCCAGCTCCATGAGGTACTAATGCACGATAGAATGAAAATGGATATGATTAAGGGCCCCATTATAGCCGTTAGTTGACCATATGACAGAAGGATGGGTGTTGGGGGTGTACCCATATCCCGGCAAATCCACGAGATACCAGCTGTCGTTTATCCGGAAATGGTTGATGCATTGTGTTTTCCCTGCAAGGGGAGCAGCATGAGCAAGTTAACGAGGAACAGTGAGCATGGATTGACGAGATGGAGAGGAAGAACAGCATATAGCAATCGGCATGGCTCATATATGGCATGAATTTCTATTGATACTTTCCTCCTGAATCTGCGTGGTCAACGGCGTGGGTTTTCCTTTTGACGGAAACTGCTAGAAAAGTCAAACCTAAAGCTTGACAACTCCTCCACGTGATGAGCTTAAACATCGGATTCGGCGTGGGAGAAGACCATTTCATGCGAGATACTGCCCAGCAGAGATTTCCGATAATGATTTTCTAGTGATGGAAAATGGTCCTCTTGAAACGCATTCAAATGGAGCCGAAAGAAATGGGGGGATTCCATTTGAGATGTTATAGAAATCAGAGACGAACTGGGCAGGATGGATTGAGATTCATCCAAAATAATTTTGGGTCCCTGAAAATCCGATTTATCAGATTATAGAAAGTGATAGAACATATGAAGGAAGTCTGCGCACATTCAAGAACATGATTGCGTTGAGGAGCTCAACTTGCACACATTTCAAGAACATCAGTGCTGATTAAGTAGTCTTTTGGATGAGATGAGACCAAACTCCGCAAGGTGAAGGCATCGATGGCTCAGAAAAATGGCAGAGCAACTAGATTAGATATGAAATCGCATCACTTGGGACTGAGAAATCATCGGATATACATGGGGATTCGGGAATTTTGAGAAGACAAGAAAGGAAAATTAGGTCAGCTCAGATAAATGAACCGAGGGATTTGGGACTGAATGAGGCCAAACAGAGGGAATACCCAACGGAGATTATCAGAGATCAGAGGTACAGTGTGAAGTAGGATGAGAAGTAGATAGTTTCTATAGAACCAGATTTCCTCTCGGACTGAAGCTTCAGATTATGCGGAAATGGTTTCAGATGACATCAAGAACCCTAAAATAACAATCGATAATGCATTTACTGATAATCTTACAGACATGGGGAAAAAAAAAGAACACGATACCAATTCCAATGCCTAGCCTGCGACTATCTAATTTTATATATATGTAATTTAATTTAATTTCACTGATCAGGGATAATTGAAGAAGAAATTAAGATGGTGAGAAAGCCAACCCAGCCGAAGAAAAACCAAAAATGGGAATAAAGCATCGTCGATGTGTTGAGAGAAGAATGAGAAGGACGGGGGGACGAACTGACCAGGTTTCTTGGAGGTAAGAGCTAGACGCTTGCGCCTGACGATCGAATTGAGCAGCGACGACTTCCCCACGTTGGACCGTCCAACGAGTGCGAACTCCGGCAGACCATCCGAGGGGCAGTCCTCCGTCTTGGTGCTGCTCTTCACGAACTCTGCCGCGGATACAAGCTCCCCCTTCGCGTACGGTCCCAGCACGATGTTGGAACCCTTGAGAACCCTCGCGCTGCCGACTCCACCAATCAGGTCCACCTCCGGAGGCACGAACAGCTTCTGAAGCGGGAGCCGTATCGGCGCCTGTTCAAATTCCGGGGTCTGTGCGGCAAATCTGAGCTCCTCGTCATCGGACACCGCATTCTGTTCGGAAAACGAGACGTCTACTTCAGGTTCCACCGCGACTGTAGATGCGCTTGTGGTGACGAGCGGGAGAACCAGCGGTCGTCCTCCACGAACGGTGAGGCGGCGGCCGCAAATCGAGGAGATCGTGTTGGAGAACCCTAAAAACGCCGAGGAAGAGGAAGAAGAGGGGAGGATTCGATGTGGGAGGCGCTGTGAGAGGATCATCTTCCTTCACCTATCTGAAGCTGCTGCTGCTGCTGCTGCTGCTGCTGAAGAAGACGAAGCCTGAGAGACCGTTCCCCACGAGTTCTCAAGCGGGCCCATTTATCCGATAGATCCACTGGGCCTATACGTCTAATCAGCCTACTGGGCCAATACGTCTAATCAGCCTACTGGGCCAATACGTCTAATCAGCATAGTGGGCCTACACGTCTAATCAGCCCACTGGGCCTTTTCCTGCCTGTGATGGCCATTTAAAATGGCCCATAAAACTTGGCCTCCCCAGATGACCTCTTATCACCGTTGGTGACCGTAGCTAACTTTCTCTCTCTCTAAACCATGCTGACTTGATAAAAAGTCAGGGGCTTTGTGACTTTGGGGTCAGCCATTCCGTAAATTCGTGGTCAATGCGAGCGATGTATAAATTCCATTTATAGTGGGTAAAAAGTCCTTGGTCAACCATGTATGAGAAAGGACATAGATTTAGAGAGAGAGAGAGAGAGAGAGAGAGAGAGAGAGAGAGAGCGGGCCCACATTGTGAGTAGATTAGACCCGTCATTCCCATTTTATTTGGCGTGATCTCAACAGCGAAAATCATGTTTCATGTGGGCCCGGCTCGTTGACTCCCATATATCACATCCATAAAAGGCCGTACACCTGTAAATAACTATTATATATATAAATATAAATATTACCGCGGGGCCCACTTAGGACAAAAAAAATTTGGGTGCGAATCTCCGACTCGACTTTTTTAGCCGCAAGTATGAGGATTAGTAAAATACCCCCAACAAATTCCATCTTTAGTAGGAATGCTCCAAAAAGTTTCATTTTTAGCGATAGATCCCAGGAAACCTGCCCGAAATTTGGAATTGGGTCCCTGGGGGTTGAGCTGGTAGAATATCTCCGGGAATACTCGGACCCGTCAGGCGTTCTTCTTTTTAAAAGACACTGGTACCCCCATTAAATGGGAAAAGGATACAGACGTAATTAACATATATTCATAAGAAAACAATCGATAAATATATATTCGTTAAATTAAATTATTAAATTCCGAAATATATGTTAATAAATCCGAAAAATCATGACAAAATTTGATCGATGAAGATGAAAATTGCCTGTCTGGGAAATATTTTTATTTATAAAAAAGTTTCAAAAAAATTATATATAATATGTAAGCATCGTGAAATTTTTCATTAAATTTCTATTTTAAATAACGTCTGCCCTCCCAATAGATTGTGTTATAATAAATATTCGTAATTTAATTAAAATATCACTTAAAACGGGGTGCTACTAATTATTTAAATAATATCGTTATTTATTGAAAATAAATTACTTAGTTTAGATGTTGAATACTCCATTATTTTTTTTTTCTGCATTATTATTGGTCCTTTTGCGACATATGACGACACTCAATTTTTCTTATTAATTGGTCAGTACATGTGTCATTCCCTTAGTTTAATGAAAGTAGAAGGTTCGTGCACCTCCCGGACCTAATTAGAAAGTCAACGCACCTCAACGAATGGACCAGGGAGATGCACACGCAGACGGATGGAGAGAGAGAGAAAGAACGTGGGAGCCTAGAAAGTCTGACGGGAATAGAGGTTTGGTCAACGCGCATCGACGAATGGAACAGGTAGACCCACATGCAGACGGACGGAGAGGTAGAGGGAGAGAGAGAACACATGGGAACCTTGAAAGTCTAACGGGAATTGAGGGTTGGTCAAGGGTAAATAAGTATTTTTAAAAAAGTTATTATTACCTATATTTAACTCGTACATATCGGGGAATGTCAACCCGAGGGACTAATTCCCGATTTGTTGGAATCTCCAGGGTCCCAAATCAACAGGCGCAAAAAATTTGGGACTTATCTCTAAAAGTTAGTCTACGGGGATGGATGACTAACTAAATCTATGTTAAAATCAAGGTCAGATGTCTTGCCGGTATTATTTTTATTAAAAAGTACTCCCCAATGTGGATCTGTCAGACCCGTTTTACCGGTTTACTCTGGAAAACCATTTTCTGGTTCATATTTATTTATTTTTACTATTTATAAAACTACTTTCTGGTTCCTATAATAATATTAGAGCGCGTTTTCTGGGTTGGATTTTGGGCCGTCATTTCGGATCCAGTGGGCCCAGTCTTTATCTGCCCTCCCCCCCCCTGATGATGATGATTCAGGAAGATCGGTAGTGGAATAGCGGAGCTGTCGCGCATGAGGTTAGGTTGGGCCCCGCCATCGAATCTGACCTGGCAATTCCTTCCCTCAATTGGCTTCGCGGTCCAGATCGGGTTGGGGGTGGACTTTCCTGGTCAATGAGGGCAAGCCCTCTGCTGCAGAAGAGAGAGAGATAGAGAGGGAGGGGAGCTGGTCCCCGGGCGGTCTTCTTCCTGGTTCTACGGAGACTACGAAGGAGGGAGGGGAGGAGGAAGCAGAGGGGGATTCATTGTTCAGGTCGGAGGAGGTTGAGGAGGAGGCATAGTTGGATCGCCGGGGATGTCATCGTCACCGCCTCCGACGTCTGTGGCAACGCCGCCTCCGACGTCTGTGGCAACGCCGCCTCCCTCGTCGACGCCGTCTCCACCCGCGGGGGGGACGCCACCGTCCGCGGCGGCGCCGCCGGTGTCCTCTCCGCCTCCTACCGTCTCTCCCCCTCCGCCGGTGCAATCTCCGCCGCCTACTGTCTCGACCCCTCCGCCGGAGTCATCTCCGCCGCCTACTGTCTCGCCCCCTCCGCCGGTGTCATCTCCGCCTCCAGCGGTAGTCTCGACCCCGCCGCCGTCTCGGCCCTCATCGTCGCCGCCCCCGTCTGTGTCCCCTCCGGCGCCGCCGGTTTCGACACCTCCACCAGAGACGCCGGTGTTGACGCCTCCTGCAACTTCTCCCCCTCCTCCGGCCTCGTCTTCGAGATCACCGCCATTGAGGCCGGTCTCTTCGCCACCCCCTGCGACTCCCTCGGTGCCGTCGCCTCCAGATTCTCCTCCTCCTTCCACACCCTCGCCTCCTGGGATTCCTTCAACACCCTCTCCTCCATCTGGCGAATCGCCGCCGTCTCCATCCGGCGGAAATTCCGGTACTCCGTCTGCTCCTCGTTCTTCTCCTCCGTCGTCTTCTGGCTCCTCCAGCTCCATTTCGGCACCCATAGTCGTGGGAATTGCTGTGGGTGCCGTGGCTCTCGTCGCCATATTGAGCATCCTATTCTGCTGCTTTAGGCGGAAGAAACGATCAGTTTCATCACCGTCGGTTCCCCATGGAGAGGTGCCGATGCCTCCTCCACGCAAGGGTAATCTTTTAACACCACCCTGTGCACGATTCCAGCTCAAGGAAACTGAGCTCGATTATGAATTGGTAGATATTAAGCTTCCGCAACATTTGTTCCTTGCTTTGATCTCCTCAGTTCTTCTCTGTAATGCATGCTTCCAATCAGCTGAATCATACTTTCTAGTGAGCCCTGGATACAACAGTGTAACTGTAGATTCGATTTGCAAAGATGGTTCTCCTGGATGGAGATTGGAAGACACTGGCTGATCCTTCATTCTGTGCAGTATATGTCCAACATGCTGTGGATTTTGGAGAGAAGATGAAGAGAGAGAGAGAGAGAGAGATGTGGAAATTGATGTTATGATTCGTAAATTTACACTTGGTGGCTGCTCATGGAAGCAGTTGTCTTCTTGAAAAAGTACATGCAGCCATTACACGTTCTGACAGAGGACGGAGTAGAGATTTACCGACCCTTTTCGATGTTTTCTTCATTGTTCATCGGATCAGTTGGTAAATATTGAGTGCCTTCTTGTCCTGTGTATTCTCCGATTCTATTGCACCGCGTTCTTGAGTAAGGCATGATGAATCCGCCACTGAATTGCATCCGGCTTACATCTAATAGTACGAAAGCATTAAACCCTCGGAGGAATTGTGTCTGTTCCTATAAATCTTCCTAACACTCAATCCCAGTTTTATCTCCATTTTTGTTATGAAACAAGAAATTTAGTGATGGCTTCAAGGATGCATTTGTGTTAATGCAAGAATGAAATTTTTTGACTCGATAGCATAATGGTTCGTGCATCCATGCCTTCCCTCCAAGAAAATCAGTAGTTTCTTTGCATGTGGCATTACAGTTGACTTTCGTTCTGATGATTTTTTCCTTCTCTCTGCTTTCTCCCAGAGGACATGTATGGTTGGCAACCACAGAATTTGCAGCACAACGTTCCACCACCGGATGACCATGTTGTCAAGGTGCCTTATTCAGCTGCATATGGCTCCCACCCGCCGAATCGGCCGGCAGCACTTGTCGTCAGTAGCGGCAGCGGTTCTGGCTCTAATTATTCTGGCTCCGAGAGCAAAATCCCTCCACCTTCAGCTGGCATTGCCCTCGGTTTCTCGAAGAGCGTCTTCACATACGAGGAGCTGTTGCTGGCGACAGATGGGTTCTCTGATGCAAATCTTCTCGGGCAAGGTGGCTTTGGGTATGTCCACCGCGGAGTTCTCCCGAATGGGGTAGAAGTTGCTGTCAAGCAGTTAAAAACTGGGAGTGGGCAGGGAGAGCGTGAATTCCAGGCCGAGGTGGAGATCATAAGCCGTGTGCACCACAAGCATCTGGTCTCGTTGGTTGGGTATTCTATTTCTGGAAGCAGGAGGCTTCTTGTCTACGAATTTGTGCCTAACAATACATTGGAGTTCCATTTGCATGGTAATTTTCCCTAACCGCTGTTCTTTTATAATCTTTTTTTTTTTTTTTTGGTAAGTGCTGCTGATTTTCTTGGGAGGAAATATGTTGGTTTCAAAAATTTAATATTTTTTTATATTAGGAATATTTCTATAGGTTTTTCCTCTGCGGTGTATATCTGGGCTGCTAAGCTCCAGTTTGAGGCACTTGGTGTTGACTTCAGCCTCTTGCAGGGAAAGGACGACCGACTATGGACTGGCCCACTAGATTGAAGATTGCTTTGGGATCAGCGAAAGGGTTAGCTTATCTACACGAGGACTGTGAGTCTTTCTTTCTTCCTACTAATTGCATGACTCACGAATTATATGTGATGTTATAATATGCATACATTTTATAAGGCAAGATATGCGATTTTCATTGTTTTGAGCAACCTGCAGGCCATCCTAAGATTATTCATCGTGATATCAAGGCAGCAAACATCCTTCTTGACTATAATTTTGAGGCCAAGGTATCGCTCATATTTTTTCTGTCGCCGGAAAAAGTGCTTCTAGTCCATTCGGAAAGCAATTGGATTTTTATTTTTTTTATTTTTTCGCCATGTTTTGATCTCTGCCACTTAATAATAGAAGTACCAACAGGTTCAGGTCCTTGGACACCATGGAAAGAGGTAAATTATAGTGGAACAGTGGAAGGAATAACATTGAATCGCTCTAGTTTTCTTCATTGAAAAAACCTCGGGAAACTGTTCAATATTTTAAGCAAAAAGCAGGGCAGATCCTTCTTCATTGCGCGTCCCTGAAGGCAAGATCTGGTCGTTTGCCGAAGAATAGCAAATGATGATATTCAGAACCCCCATAGTTTTCTTCAAACGTTTTCTTTATATCATGAAGATGGTGTTTTATATTTCTTTTTGACTGGACAATTAGAGGATTTTCTCAGTATAGAACAAGCTATGAAGCAGGAAGGTGACCAGAAAAAAAGAAAAGAGAAAGGACTGCGGATGCTAGAACATGACCTAGCACTAACTAGCATGAGGTTACTGATCTAAAGATGATACTAAACGGCTAAGGTTAATTGTCGATCACCGATGTGTGTTTGGTGTTGGCTTCACCAAATTGAATTGTTTAAAGAAACTTTTTTCCATCAATATTTCTTTTTTATTTTTTTATCCAATGCTGTCCAGGTTTGGCAATCACAACGCCTCCATATTTTTCTAGTTTTTATCTACAATGAATGATAAGATGAGAAATTTTTATATGGGTCCGTAGTTGAAGATCGACAAGTACCATTACATCCCAGTTCATGCTCACGTGATGATCGCGATAGTTTTACAATTAGCATGATAATTTTACTGTCACGTGATAACTTTTTGGCTCTGTTATATATTACCTTAATATTTCATAAACTTTGATTGATAGTTGGATAATATGCGAGACTATTTGTGCAGGTTGCTGATTTTGGGCTGGCAAAAATTGCGTCTGAGGGAAACACTCATGTTTCCACTCGTGTCATGGGAACATTTGGGTAATGAGCCTTTTATTTAGCTGACATTTATCCCATTCTTCCTGTTTCAATTATCATGACCTAGATACCTCTGCACCCTTACTCATCCCTCTTAGATTGTGCCAATCTCTCACTCCGTCATCCTCTCTCTCTCTCTCTCTCTCTAGCCATTTTCTAACATAGGATTGCTATAATTAGCAAGAATCTAGAGTTTCAAATTAGTTTCGCTCCTTTGGTCATTCCTCTTAGATTATGTTCTCTCTCTCTCTCTCTCTCTCTCTCTCTCTCCTCTCTGGTTATGCAATCACTTTCGTTCTAAGCCGACCCAGATTTATGGCTCAAAGCCTTGATGACCGAGTATTGCTATAATCAGTCCGAGCCCAGAAGTCAATGATAAGGACCCTGCTCACTGTTTCTATAGCCATGCTATTTATTAGCTGCATTCACAGCTGACGGAGATCGATGAGACTGACCCATCTACTGCTCGAGCCTTGCTAAATTAGGTAGAAAATGAAAAGTCAACAAAGACAAAAACTCAGTTACTGGTTCTATAGCCATGCTCCTTATTAGTTTCGTCGTAAGTTGATCGAGATTGATGCCACAAGACCATCTAACGACATAGACAGACCTCCTAAATTGGGTAGAAACCAGAAGTGAAGGATGATGAAAGCTTCAAATGAGTAATATTTCCATGTGGTAATTCTCTCCGAAGACTTAGCTCGGATCACTGTGCAGGTACCTCTCTCCAGAGTATGCAGCGACCGGAAAGTTGACTGATAAATCCGACGTGTTCTCCTTCGGAGTAATGCTGCTGGAGCTAATCACCGGACGCCGCCCTGTTGATCCCACCAACACTCTCATGGATGAAAGCCTCGTCGACTGGGTCGGTTTCTCTCTCCACCGCGCGCCCTCTCTTTCTCTCTCTTTCTCTATGACTCCAATGTTTCTGTGACCACAGGCGAGGCCTTTACTCACAAAGGCTCTGGAGGACGGCAACTTCGACGCCATCGTTGACCCGAAGCTGGAGAATAAGTACAACCCCGGTGAGCTGATCCACATGGCGACCTGCGCCGCCGCCGCCGTCCGCCACTCGGCGAGACGCCGGCCGCGGATGACCCAGGTGGGATCCTCCTCCTCCTCCTCCTCCTCCGCCGCCGCCGCCGTTTTGTTTCCAAAGTTGTGGGAAGAATCTGAATCAAATTCATCTGCGAAGATTGTGAGAGCCTTAGAAGGGGATGCGACGCTGGAGGAGCTGAACTACGGCGTCCGGCCGGGGCAGAGCTCCATGTACGGGTCCTACAGCAGCTCGGAATACGACGATGGGCAGTACAAGGAGGACATGAAGAGATTCAGGATGCTGGCCCTCACCAGCGAGGAGTTCGCCGCCTCCTCCTCCTCCTCCGGCGGCGGCGGCGGCGCTGGCGGCACTGGCGGCACTGGCGGCGGCGATCTTCCGCCTCCTCGCCGGAGGAACGGCGGCGGGAGGTCGAGGGCGGCGGCGCAGGAGTACATGAGCAGCGATTGCAGCGGCGCCACCAGCGAGTACGACCAGAATCCGTCGGGGTCCAGCAGCGAGGCGGTGCCGTTGCAGGAGATAGAGGCGGGGAGGACGAGGAACTCCGACGGCGGCGGCCGCCGCGAACCTGGTGGATCCTGAGGACTTGGACGATCACCGGCGCCGGCGGCGCCGCCGCTGCTTATTCAGTCTGTAAATCCAACGTATTAATTGTCCAAAATTCTCATGGCCTGAATTTTCTTAGACTTATTTATTGATTTCGATCTCTTGTACCTTTAATCTGCAGAATATTCGGTATGGGGCTATTAACCGTACTCTCAACGCCGCCACAGAAGGAGAGAGAGAGAGAGAGCTGTGGTTAATCCACATGACATGAATGACGGGCTCTGGATGCTGCCGGGCCCAAATTGAAACTGGGCCTGGCCTAAATGGGCCTTTCCCGGTCCACTAGTGGCAGCAAATAACAGACGGGAGAAGAACTGGGCTCTTTTTCTGTGGGATCCTCATTCGGCAGTCGATATTATTGGGCCTCTGGCCATTCATGTTCACGGTTCTGTGCCAGCCCAGTTTCCCTGGCCGAGGCCCATTTCTCGCTCGACGGCCCAGTAAAAAAATTAGGCCGCATTCAATGAATCGAGCGGGATCCAATTGTCCGTCGGCGGGCCCCGGTCCATGCATACGAGGCAGATCAGATCGGGCTGTGTACAGGGTCGCACGTGGCATGATTCGGTCCAATTAATTGCAACAAATTAATAACTTTTAAAATAATATATATTAATTAAAAAAATTTATTATTGGGTGTTTAATAGTTCTCTATGACAGCAACAGACACGAAGACAAGTACGTCCTCTTCGAACAAATTAATAAATGTATAAGTTTTTTTTCACATTTTAAAGAATAATACTATATTATTATTTTATCTATAATACTTCTCTAGAATAGCCATTTTCGACAGATTAATAGATTTTTTTTACAAAAAATTATAAAAATTAAAATTATATTATTGTGTGCTTAAGAATTCTCTTATCGATTAATTGGTCAATCATAAGCTTTGGTCAGAAGTGGGCCCCACGGATCGGTTGAACATCTTCATTGCGATGGGACGTATCGGACGGAGTCGAAATTGGCCGGGAAGTCCGGTCACCGCCGTCATTTACCCTCGCTTCTCCGGTCCCGTCGCCATCGACACGTCGACAACAGTTGGCAACGCCTACGAAGAGGAAGAGGGAGAGAGAGAGATGTGGACATAAACAGCTGGAAGATTTCAGAATAACCCTCCGACGGTCGTCGGGCATTTTATTAGAAAAGGTTTCGAATCTTTAATGGAGATGGTGCCAAGGAGAGTTTCGTGGTAGACGACGAATCTCTCTCTCTCTCTCTCTCTCTTCCTCTATTCTTTTTTTCTTGCTCTTCATATCTCTCTCTTTCTCTGATTTCTTCTAGATTTCCGATCTGCCTTGTCGACGGGCGCGCGGGGAGACCACGTGAGCAAAACGTGGAAGGGCATGGATTCTGCAGGGCGCCACGTGGTTGCAGACGCCCATCCCAAAAACACTCCATCAATCTACCGACAAAAATCCTGCTAGATGAATTTCCGGAAGGTTCCTCCATTCTCACGGCATTCTCACGGAAGGTGTCCAGGCACGTCGGATCATCGCGATGCTAACGCAGGGCTTCATCTTCGACGGGGGCACCATCCTGGTGCATGGGTTCTCGCGGGAGCTGCTGGAAGCTTAGAGGATGGCGGCGACGCGCAGGAAGATATTCCGGCGGCACCGCGGGGTTGGTGTTGAGAGTCCTCTCTCTCTCTCTGAGCGTGTGCAACCGAGGGGAGGCCGGACACGACTGAAGTGAGGGTGGGGAAGGAGCAGGGGGAGGTGGGAATCCCCGCAAAGCTTGTGATCGACTCGGCGGTGGCGTACGCCATCTTCGTCGGCGCCGACGGCGTGGTGGAGAGCAGCGGGATCATCTGCATGATGGGAACCTACCAGACCGCCCTCGTCGTCCACTCCATGAACAAACGCGTCCATGTCTCCGCCGAATGCTACAAGGTCCTCTGCCCTCCCTTTCTCTCTCTACTTACTCTCTACTCTCTCTATCTCTCTCGGAGTTACTGGTGGGTTTTGGGCCAGTTTGCGAGGCGATACCCGCTGAACCGGAAGGACCTCGGCGGGGGCGGCGGGGTGGAGGTGGAGACGACGGCGAGGGACTCTACACGCCGCGGCAGTGTCTGACGCTCCTCTTCACCGTCCTCGTCGTCCTCCGCCGCCGTCAGCGACGAGCTCATCAAGCTCTATCTTCAGTAGCTGGGCCATTAAACTTTTAGGAGAAAATAGGCTGGGCCCGACACGAGGTCTCAGCTGCCACGTAGATCCCGTGATACAGACACGTCATCTGACGTCGAACCACCGGCGAGTGAAGGGTGAGACCGTTGTGAAAAACCAAGAGACCCGTGCCACTCTCTCTCCCCCAGTAGAGAGAGAGAGAGAGAGAGAGAGTGAGACAGTCCCCGTCCTTTGTCGGTAGTAATTAATTGTATAATATTAGATAATCCCGTTAAGGATACGTGGCCCTTTCTCCTACGGGTCGTTCTTTGCCAAAATGACGTCCTTTGTCTGGCGTAATTAAACCTGTGACGTGCTCGGCGAGGACTCTCTCTTCTTCTCTCTTGTTTTCTCTCTGACGGCGGCCGCTCGGTCCTCAAATCGGTGGGGTCGGCGGCGCCGCCGTTTGGGCCAGGCACGTGCGCCGAGGTGGAAGCCGATGGCATCCCGCAGGCACGGCGACGACTCGGCGGCGGGGCGGCTGCTGTCCACGGTTGGAAGTGACCGATCTCAAAAGCCTTAAAGTCCCCTTAAAATCTACAAAAATAATAATACAAAACTCGCTCATATTTAAAAAAAAACCCTCTCAGGTAGGATTTTTCTAATTTCCAATTTGTCCGGCATTCTCAGGGTCTATTTATTTTTCTGAAGGGCTATTTTTTTATTTTGTTTTTTTGTGGCATTCAGGGTGGGTGAGGACAAGTCGAGGAAGGGTCGTCTTTCCCAAACTGATAGGGCGCCGCAAGTCTCTCCGCGCCACCTTCTTCTGTCCCTTTTTAACCACAGCTCGCCGGTGGAGAGTTGGCTTCAGCCGCCGTCGCAATCGGCGCAGTTCCTGAGCAGAGATAAAGAGATCCGCAGAGGGTAGCTTAGCTTAGTTTAGCTTAGCTTAACTACCCTTTCTTCGGCGGAGGAAGAGGAGAGACGGCGATGGGGGAGGGAACGGGGAAATGGGTGGCAGGTCTGAGATCGGCAGCGCCGCCGCTGGTCGCCGCGTTGTCGACGGCGTTCGTTCTGGCCTCTGCGGAGAAGAGTCTACCGGAGCAGGAGCAGCATCTCCTCACGAGGGTCGTCAACTTCCTCTGGCAGCCGAATGATTCCTCCTATCACCACGTCTGGCCGGTAAAGCAGACCTCGCTGCCGCTCTTCTCCCTCGTCTTCTCCGGCGCCGGCGACTGCAACTCCTGTCTGTTTTTATCTTCTCCAGGATATGGCGTTCGGGTGGCGGATCGTCGTGGGCAGCCTCATCGGGTTCTTCGGAGCGGCCTTCGGGAGCGTGGGTGGCGTCGGCGGCGGCGGGATCTTCGTCCCCATGCTCACCCTGATCATCGGATTCGACGCGAAGTCCTCCACCGCCATATCCAAATGTGCTGGCCTCACCGAGCTCTTCCTCTTCCTCCTCTCTCTCCTCTCGCAGAGATGGAGACCCATGCATCTGCTCACCTTCCTTTTTCTTCGCAGGTATGATCATGGGGGCGGCGGGATCGACCGTCTACTACAATCTGAAGCTGAGGCACCCAACGCTGGAGATGCCGATAATCGACTACGACCTCGCACTCCTCTTCCAGCCAATGCTCATGCTGGGGATCAGCATCGGGGTGGCCTTCAACGTGGTCTTCGCGGATTGGATGGTCACCGTTCTTCTGATCATCCTCTTCCTCGGTAAACCCTAGAATCAACCCCTCTTCCTCGGTCATTTCGGCGTCATCGTCCATGTCGACAATCTGCATACGAATACAACAAGGGAGAGGATCTTCTTATCTCCTCTGTGCAGGCACATCCACCAAGGCGTTCTTGAAGGGCGTCGAGACCTGGAAGAAGGAGACGATCGCCAAGAGGGTGAAGTGACCCTTACCTCCCATCTTCTTCCTCTTCTTCGCCACGTCCGGTTGCTATCTCCAGTGAAGTGTGCGGAGCTCTCACCTCTGTAATCCCCCTCTGTGATTTCAGGAAGCTGCCAAGCGCGCGGAATCCAAGTGTAAGCCTCCATTTCCTGCGGGTTAAAATGATGCATTTATACGGTGGAGAATTCCTATTCCCATTCCTCACGAAGGTCCTCTCCACGGTGACTCGATCAGCTGCGGCCAGCGACGAGGTGGAGTACAGGCCTCTGCCCAGCGGCCCGGAGAACGGCGCCAAGAAGCAGGCCAAGTCAGGGGATGAAGCACAGGTCAGCAGTCACTCCAACTGTTCGTTCCACCTTCTGCTTCTTCTTCGAGAAAGACCTCTGATCCCCCCCCTCCCCCCCGCACGCAGGTGCCCCTCTTGGAGAACATCTACTGGAAGGAGCTGGGTCTCCTGGTCTTCGTCTGGTTCGCCTTCCTGGGGCTGCAGATCGCCAAGGTGAGTCAAAAGCAGAGAAGATTCCTCGTCATCGAGTTCACCTACTCCCAATATAATCTCTGATCTCTCTGATCTCGCAGAATTACACGGAGAACTGCTCGGCGACCTACTGGACCTTGAACCTGCTCCAGGTGGGTCATCGTCGTCTCCGCCGAAAAGGGAGGGTTGTGGGGACCGACTGTGACTCTCTTCCTCCATTGGTGATGACCATCTTCCTCTCGCAGGTCCCTGTTTCTGTGGGAGTGACGCTGTACCAGAGCGTGGGGCTCTACACGGGGAAGAGGGTGATCTCCTCCAAGGGGGACGTGAGCACCAACTGGACGGTCCTCCAGCTGCTCGGCTACTGCTCCTGCGGCGTCATCGCCGGAATCGTCGGTGGCCTGCTGGGGCTCGGAGGAGGGTTCATTCTTGGTCCGCTCTTCCTCGAGCTGGGCATCCCTCCGCAGGTGCGTACCTCTCGTTGCTGGTGGTGCCGCCGCCGCCGGCGGTGGCGGAGATGTTTCTGACGGCGGTGTGGTGCAGGTCTCGAGCGCGACGGCTACATTCGCCATGACCTTCTCGTCCTCCATGTCGGTCGTGGAGTACTATCTCCTGCGGCGGTTCCCGGTCCCCTATGGTGAGTGGAACACCCGTTTCTAGAGAGAGAGAGAGAGAGAGAGAGAGAGAGAGAGAGCTCCTCTGCAAGCCATTTCTCTTCTCTGTGTGGGGTGCCGTTTTGACCGAAATGGAAATTCCTCGGCTTTGCAGCTCTGTACTTCGTGGCCGTAGCGACGGTGGCGGCTTTCGTCGGACAGCTTGTGGTGAGGAAGCTAATTATCTTCCTGGGCCGGGCCTCGCTCATTATCTTCATCCTCTCCTTCACCATCTTCGTCAGCGCTGTCTCTCTGGGTAAAGCCCATGCCAATCCTCTCCCTCTGTCTCTCTCTACACATCCGGTGGGCTTCTGAGGACGATGCTCCTCTCTCTACGTGGGTAAAATGATCTGCTGGAGTGGTTTTTCGACATGTTTTACAGGTGGAGTGGGCATCTCCAACATGGTGAGGAAGATCGAGAACCACGAGTACATGGGCTTCGAGAATCTCTGCAAATATCACACCTAGCAAGTAGAGGAAGAGTAGACATCCAGCCCAGCATGAACTATTTGCCAGGACATTGGTTCTATATCGTTACGATTTCAGGGTAGAATAAGATTTGCCATTAGGCATAAGTCTCCATGTCCGTGAAAATGTATTTTTGGCTCCATGTTCTTTAATTCGAATGCAATGTTTATATATTTTTCTGGAAGAAAAGGAGAGAAGCAAAGTTGGCACTGATCAAGATCGAAGCCTTGATGATCTCGGAGCATCCTTCTAACAACAACCTCGCATTAGAAGGCCGAATCATACCGATCAATGGAGAATAATTAACATCAGAATTTAGAAATTAGACACGGAGATGGAGTCCGGGAGATTGAATCCTGATGATAGCTTTGAACGATGTTCTCGGCAACTATCTTTCACCTTCTTCGTTGTTCTCTAGACGGGATCTGAATGCATCAGGACAGGTCGCTGATGATCACGTCAGAGAATCTTCGCAGATTATTTGAGCAACTTTCGGCCGCGGCAACCGAAGCAGATGCAACTGCTCACGATATATGCCACAAATCCGCGGGAAGAGGAATTAAATCGAGAGTTAGATGCTTCGGATGGGCAACCGTGAGTCGTCAGATAGGAGCGAAAGACGTTGAAATTAATCACCAACCTCGCATGGAGATTATCATGTGAACTATGCATAGTCATCATCCGACCGGAAGCCATCCGAAGCGGAACAATTAGGCGAAACCAGGTAATAAACAGTTGATCGACTCGATCGGAACTCGGAATATAGACAATACTACGATTAAGTTATACGTACGGCATGACATTTGTTCTTCATAGATGCGTCGACCGGCGAAAAATCACGGTATAACCACTTTTCTAATCCCTATTCAAAATCCTGTCGAGATAGAACAAAGAGAAACACCGGAGGCCTCATAGAGAAGATTAGATCGTCCACATAGACAGATTCAGACATATGCTTGTCATTTAATCGTTTGAATCATCGGCCTCTGAACTCGGAACGAAGAGAAAAACGCCGGTCGAAAACCTAAAACCGATGAGAATATGTAAACGACGAATCGCGGAATCCAAAAGCGCGAGATGGATCATAGATCCTCGAGGAGGTAGGGTCCCGGGATGTTGGACTCAGAATATGGGTGGTGATATAACAGGATGGTCGGCAAGGCGGTTAGCCATTACGTCGAACGAGACCTTTACCAGAATCGTCATCGCCATTCTCCCGGAACAGAAGAGTAAGATCGGAAGATTTCACCAGGGGGAGAGGAGGAAGATGATGAGGCGGAGAAGACGACGGAGGTAAACCTTGGCGAATAGGGTAGAAGGAAGGATGTAAAGAGCGTATTTATAGGAGAAAATCTGCTAGGGCAAGGGTTTCAGGGCTTCCATCTTCTTCTCGCAAGATCCCCTCCGTCGGATGGCTCAAAGCGGGGCATCCTGACCGTCCATTATCTCTACTGGCCTGTGATGAAATTTTCATTTAAAGCGTATTAGCGCGATCCAATGGCCCAGTTTGATCCTAGCTACGATATCTAAACCTTATCCCGCCATATTAGCCGTCCGATCTAATGATCCCTAGAGGTAAAAGCGAGACGGCGTCCGTCACTCCAGAGATCATAATTCTTATGTATCTCAAGGGCCATTTGTTGGGCGCCAGGAGTTCAGTGAGAGGGGCAATTTAGTCTTTTCACTACATGAACCGGGTTTACAGGATTCCCAAAAGCACAAAGCTAAGAAAGATGGCAGCTTTTTTTTTTTTTTTCCCTTCCCTGACCAGGCAACAAAAAAAGAAAAAAAATATCCATTTGCGGTGGCCATGGGCATATGGTTCGTGTTTACTATAAATAAAACTAACTATTTTGGGTAAATAAATACCAGCAGCATGTACAAGGAAGAAGATTAATCGGTCAACAATTTTTCACAAACCTGGTCAACAGAATCGTCTTCTTCCACAGTTTGCACGAGGCACAGATAGATAAGGTTGTGAGATTCTCAGGCTCTTCAGACTTGAATAGAATGGGAGCCCACAGAGGAGAGAACCTGTGGCATCGACATACCGCCCGAAACGATGATCTCTGCGCAAAAAATACTTCCATTTTTTCAGGGAGTTTTATTCATCAATTATAAGAAATCTGGGGTCATTTTTCTAATTCAGGGCATTTACAGGGGATTAGATCTACATCCCAGACAAGATGACCCCTTCTTCATCCAGAAGCACCAACGGGTCAGCAGGGAAGATGGGAAGAAGCTTGCTGCTCATTGGGTATAGATGAAATCTACCAATATTCTTGTTTTTTTCAAGGACTTGGTTCCTAAACAAATCCGGTTTCAGGGAGGTTATTTATCAATTATAAGAAATATAGGGTCATTTTTCTAATTGACTGCATTTACAGGAGCTTAAATCTAAATCTCAGACTCGCTGACCTCTTTATCTAGAAGCGCCAGCGGGTCAGCAGGGAAGATGGGAAGAAGCTTGCTGCTCATTGGGTATAAATGAAATCTACTAATATTCTTCTTTTTTTCAAGGACTTCCTTCCAAGAAAAATCCGGTTTCAGAGAGCTTATTTATCAATTATAAGAAATATGGGGCCATTTTTCTAATTGAATGCATTTACAGGAGCTGAAATCTGCATCCCAGACACGATGACCTCTTGCTGCTGAATCTTGCGGTTGAATTGGGCATAAATGAGCATGTGAGGGTGTTAATGGGCTTCAGTAGGGTCACTCTCACAGGTGTACGCGGAGGCATGAGATGCTAAAAGAACCTTCCATATTCGTATGAAGGAATTATACTTGTCGGAATGCTAGAATGCAGAGATTTGCTAAAGCTTCCAAATATCAGGTTATGATGTCTGGAGGAACTTTGTGAGTAATTCTTGCGACAAGCATCTAATTTCTCTTGGTTTGTAAATATAAGTTATTGGAGATGAATATCAAGAAATCACTTAGACACAAACTTACAAGATTTAATGATATTATGAATGGATGGATATTCTAGAAAAGAAGGGGAGGAGGATTGCAATGCCCTGATTTAGAAGAGAGTTGCATCAAGTCTAGGGATGAGGAGAATTTATAGGTTTTTTTTTTTTTTTTTTTTTCCACTTCTTTAGGAATTTTTTTCTGGGCTTTTTTCCAGTCCTAGAGAGAGAGAGAGAGAGATATTCACCAGGATCTGGGCCGGGCTAGATGAGGCCCAGGCCCGGCCCGGAGAAAAAAAAAAAAAAAAAACACCAGTAGGAACGTTGTCAGGTGATTACCAATGCCTTCACGGATGGATAGGTTTGGTCGGATGACGTCCTTGGAGCTGATCAGGAATATGTCACCGAGGTAGATGTGGTTTGTTGGGACGTATACACAGCAGAGCTCCTCTTCACCCGACTCACTCTGCCAGGAAATGAAGAATACATTCAGATGAGTTTTCATCACATCGGCATATTTGTAATCTCCATAAGATGTGCATGCATAAATATTTCAATGGCGCACTGATTCAAACCCACATCTAGAAGTTTCGCATATAAGGTTGGTAGCCTTGTCAAGAAGTCAACTTCTCATGGAATGTTCCTAATTTAAGTAAAAGGGTTGAGATTCATGGGTCTTCGATCAGACAATGAGAATATCTCCTGTTTGAAGAAGTTGACTTATTGCCGAATGTTCATAGTTAAGTAAAAGAGATGAGATGAACGGGAATTTATGAAAAATGAGCAAATATTTCCTGCTTGAAGAGGAAACAAACGGGCAAAAGAAAGGCGAAATTCAATTGTTTGCTATCAGGAGAAATAAATAAGTAAATGAATAAAATTATGAAATGGAAAGTTTTAATAAATAACAAAATTGAGGATGAACCCTGACATGTTTGTTCTATGGAGCAGTTCAAGAATTTTGGGGTATGCTCACGGATAATTGTAAATAATATTAATTACATGGGTACGATCATACCTGGAAAAGTACAGAAAGAGGACTATCACATACCTGAAGAAGGACAGTCGAAGTAATGAATCCAAGGGCATATTCACCAATCCTGGGGTGCCTTATGATGGCCACTTCCTTGAAGGCTTGCGTGTTCTGATCTGTACACAGAAAACATGAGCACTATATAAATACACCATCGAAGACTATAAACGCTTAAAACTAGAAGTAGAAAGTTTAATACCAGGTGATATGGCCGCACTAATCTGCTTGGATGCGTGATAAATATGGCGAACAAGTGGCATCCGCTTGATGAACCACTCACCAAGGTTGAGGACAGATGCCCCCAGCCATGATGACATGAAGATCCCGACCAAGAAGATGAAGGTTATGGATGTTATGAAGCCAAGTCCTGACAATTAAGGATGCAAGAAGAGGACATTGGTGATTAAAAAATATAAGCTTCATGAATCAAAAGTATTCTCCTTATGGAATAGTTGACTTTAATAGGGGTATAAACATAAAGTCATTCAAGTTTGACCCGACTTGGTGACAAATGGTGCTAGTCATAATCAATTCAGCAGAACCTGGCTTCAATTTTTCCATTTTTACAAGTCACAGAACAATTAGCAAGATCGCCAAACTTGCTCTATACTCAAGGGTTGCTAAGCAGACATGCCAGAAACGATTCACAGCTAAGGCAATAATCAGAAATATGTAACATCCAGATTCGTCGGCATATAACATTTCAAAGATACTACAGATCCTACATTTAATTCCAGATAAAAAACTAGAAACATACAAGGATAAGGACTTTTCTAAACCCTAAATAAAACCCTAAACCCCACTTATCCCTTTACTCGCGACATGGAAAGTGGGAAAAAAAATTCAACTCACCAAAGATGTTGATTCCAAGTTGAGCATATATTGGAGAGAAGAATCCATCGAAAAAGTGAATGAACCACCAGGTGATGTAGAATGTGATTGCTATTGGAAGCAAAATAACACTGCAAGATGGGAAAATAAAATTAACCAATGAACTATGTTATGTAGAAATTACTAGATATATTTATTCTAGACACGCATCCAACCAAAAATAATTAAAGATATAATGAAGAAAACAATAACAACAAGTTCAAGGTTGTACTGAATGAGAAAATACGAAGTTGTCTTTCTTCCAACAATAAATACGAAGAAAACCTTTACTCACACTCTTTTTATGCATCTTCGAATAATTTACAGCGAATTATTTTTATGCAAAATTTTCAGCTAAAAAAGTTTGTCTTTGGGGAAGGGGGGAGGAGGGTGTTGAGAGCCATGAATATAATGATGTGACAAAAGATATATAAGGATAAAATAGTCATTTCACACACTCATATAAATTCTTTCACTAGTCAAAATACTGAGATTATGTTTTACTGATCTGTTGTAAAGTTTTATGAAAAATTGAGATTGTTTGAATAGCTTTTACTTAGCACTCGAATTTTAGGAAACAAAATCATCTTTAACAGAAGGAAGTGGAAAAGAAGGAAAAAGTGAGAGTTCCAAGAAACACTACAATACTCGTGAGCTGCATAAAAAGTTAAGGTTTCCTATTTTACAGACGGGAGTCAATTCATCATGTTTGGAAAGAACACAATTAATCAAGGCTTTTTATACCCATGCGAAAATATCAACTACCCCACCAAACACCCCCCCAGCCCCACACCCCCCACGTGTGCGCCTCTCAGTTCCTGTTGTGATCTCTTCGGGACCAACAGAGGGGACAAGTGTGGGGAGTAAAAACATTAGCATCAAGGGATACTTCAGTGGTCGGAAACCTCATTTCAGATGAAGAGTCCAATATGTTTGCAGTTTATTATTCGTTACTTTTACCTATACATGAATAAAACTAACGAAATATAGCATTTTGGTGCTAATATGTGTTCATATGAATGAATTGAGAAGCTTGGTAATTCATTGATATTTTCGCCCATTGCAAGGAAGAAAACCTCACCGACTATATTCGACAAGAGCAGACATTATAGATAATCAGTTTCGTTACATGATGGATTCATTTATTGACTATACCAAAATAAAGTATGGTAATCCCATAAACCCTCATAAGCTTCTTCTAGATCTCCCCTACTTTTCCTCAACCTCATCTACCTTTCTACTTCCCCACTAATTGTATCTTCTTTCATTTCCTCAGACGCATTGTGCAAAAAAAAAGTTGTTTTTATCATATTCTTTGAGAGTCCTAGTCATTACCAATGGCTTTTCTCCCTTTCACAGTCTTCTTTGATTATCTACTTGCCAACTTGAATGCCAAAGTGTCTCATCATGTCTAAGAAGCGGAGAATATAAGTCTAACCAGGATGCCACGTATGTATATTTAGCCATAGTCATGTCATCTGCTGAATTGACAGATTGGTCATCAGCACAAATGAGCCAACTAATGATCCCCCCAAATTAGATTGTTAAGAAGAGTACAGAATTCCAGAATCCCGAATTAGAAAGTAACAAGGGATAAAACACTAACCCTGTTTATGATAAATTACAGCATTTTTCGACTTTCAAAATGAAAGAAGAAACACACTTATTGAGCATCATAAAGTAGGTTCAATGCGAATTTACCATTTGATGAGGCGGCAAGAAGATCAAAACGGATGTAGAAATGCAGGATAGATACCAACTCAAGTGCATGAATGAGATTTATCCGAAACAATGATCTTAACTGCTAGTAAATGCCAGTGCTGCTGCTCAGGATCTAGATTGCCACTGTGTAACAGTTGCTAGATAATTTTTCAAATCAACAGATCCCTACTAAATATATGTGCCTGATTAGTCACTGCAAGCTATTCCTGAGATTATTTCAATTGATCCTGAACAGGGACAATTTCTCGCAAAACCCAAATTCATTACAGCCTCCCTTGAATTATATGGTTGTTTGCATGTTAGATCACTTCTGCAAGAACACTACAGTCTTCCATCATTACGTATACCCATTTTCCACGTATGCATAGGGGAAAAATAAAAAGAAAAAACTACATTTGACTAATTTTAAAAAAAAGCTACATTTGGGGTATTTAAAAGACTTTATCCACTGTACGCTTTACTGAACATACTTTTCCAAGAGAAGATGCATTTGAAACTAATTACCATACAGATGAACTTTTAATATGTAAGAATTTTTTTTGAAGTATAGATTTCTGGAAGGAAGAAACAAAAGGAAGCAACTGATAGAAAATCACAGCAGAGCGTTGAGTACATATTTACATGCACGATGTTTTGGATTGAAAAGAAGCGAAAAAATGCATCAGGATATTTCTTTCATGATAATTGGGGAATGGCTCTCCCAGAGTACGATAGGGAAACCTGAACAAAGTTCATAGCATTTAGGTTTCTATGTCCTTCGCTCTGTGCGGGTTCATTGGGCGTGCATTTGTGAAGGTGAGTTAAGACAGACGAGGAAATAAGGATGCTGGCGAAACTCACCATCCTGTCATGAACTTCTTAGATGCCCAGCTACGAATAACTTTGTAAAATGCCTGTAACATAGTTGCCATCAATCAAATTAGATCAACCGTATGATGTACATTAAACATCACAATTATATTCTAAAAAAGGCTTACTTTTTACATTTATACCTTGAAAATAATTAAAATGGACAGAGGAGAAGCCTAATTTACAAGGGAAAATTCCAAATGATATCTAAACCTTTTTACAGGATAGGCTACATTCAGAAAAATAATCAGTTAGTACACAACACGGGAAGAGTTGATAAAATATGTGACTGTCAACTGTGTGACATTAAAGCACCGTTCGGGAATTCACAGTTCAAGAACATTTTTCGAGGACCATCGGTAAAACCTATAATTTTTTTTCACCAAATCATTCAAAAGAAGGACGATCAAAATGACTGGGTACACTACCCTCTTTAAAATGTGAGAGAGAGGATGATCAAGAACAGCATATATCCTTCTTTATAAAAGTAAAAGGGGAAGGGATAAAGCAGAAAAAAATATTCGTTCCCTCCGATCGCGAATTTAAAAATAAATAATCTGAGCCCTAAAGAAAGAATAGACTACTCGTAAATAGGAAATGGCTTAATAGAAATAAGGACTACTCCTAACTAGATAATCTAGACATAGAACAGATATTTATAATCTCGACCGGTGGAAAAACGGCGCATTTTGAGAAAAGTATGAGAGAACATAAAAGATACATGCAAGGAATTTATGAAACACCATCGCCAAAAGTCAATTGCTTATAAATGACACCGCTCGAACAACAATCGCTAATGTTGCAGTACGGCACGCCTGTTATAAACACTGTTCAGAAAAAATAAATAAATTCAAAGAACAGAGAAGCCAGATGGTCGAAACCAAAAGGCCTACACTCGGACTGAAAACCAGATAAAAACGCATTAACGGTGGAACAATCCCTGACTAAAAGAACAGCCCCTAGATACCGATTAAACAGAACCCGAGAGAGCTCCAATTCCGACGAAAAATAATAAAATCGAAAAGAACGCATCCTGATCAGCGGAAGAGAGGAAGCGCTGGGGAACCAGAATTGAGGAGACCTCACGCCCTGCGTTGTGGTGGTGTGGCGATGCGGCGTTGGAGGAGGATGCCTTGGAATCTGAGCCATCGGCGGCGTCCTCTCCGCCCGGGATGAGCAGCTCCCGATCTCTCTCCCTCTCTCTGCCAGCCATGATCGGCGACTTCTCGTCGCCCATGAGCTGCCCTCACCCTCCCCGAGGAGGAGGCCGTTCGATATATATATCACTTCTATGCATACACATAGTCTACCATTATTTATTCACCCCCCTATTATGTTCAACTATTATTGTAGTACCATTGTTACGTTAAATTTATTTTTCTAACATCCGGATCTTCTCTTCAGGAGGATGACCGTTGCGCCCGCGTCATATCACGTGGGCTCGGGGGCCTTGACTCCAAATCGGCCTATTTAATGAAGTCATCGAGTACCATTATTTATTTTACCGCCCTAATATGTTATGCTATTATTATAGTACCATTAGTACGTTAAATTTATTTTTCTAACACCAGATCTTCTCTTTATGTGGGCTGGAGAGCCTAAAAACTCCAAATTGGCCCATTTAAGGAAGTCATCGAGTACCCGGCGACTATCATTATTTATTTTACCCCCCTAATATGTTCTACTATTATTGTAGTACTATTATTACGTTAAATTTAACTTTCTACCTTCCTCTTCAGGTGGGTGGATGACAGTTGCGCCATATCATGTGGGCAGGCGGGCCTAAATTCTCCAAATCGGCCCATTTAAGGAAGTCGTTAAGTACCCGGCTCTGCAGGGTGATTAATAACGATGATTTATGCGGGTTGACTCCAGACTTCGGTAGGCCAAGAGGTTCAGTCAACGCTCCCTTCCCCCGGGGTGTATTTTTCAAATTTGGGCTTTTTTGGGGGGCAGATATGGGATTTGTAAACGGACCGGGTACTCTTCTGGGCATACTATATTTATAATAATTTAAATATTTTTTGATAAAATAATGGAATATTTAATTTTCCATTATTTTCCATCTGACATGGAAAAAGAAATGATATGGGGCAATTTTCTGATTGCGGTCCAATGCGCCGGTGAACCACGAGGAAGGACATAGAATCGGCGCCGCGAGGGCGTGGTCCGCGATTTAAGTTCAACGGGATTAATTCGTTGCGGAGGTTTTGAAGGTTGGAGGTGCCTTTAAATACCTCCCCAAAACCCTAGAAGACTCTCTTCAGCGCTCTCTCCGGTGGTCGGTGCGGGCGTCACAGGTTTCTCGAGAGATTCCTTCCTGTATCCCTCCATGGCGATCGAAGCCCTCGAAGGAGAGCAGGCGAAGAAAGTTCTCAGACAGGTGGGGTGTCCGGAAAGTTTTTAATGACGACTCAGTTTTGTGTCTGTCTCTCTCTCAAGGGTTTTTCCCCGTTTCAGGTCGAGTTCTACTTCAGCGACAGCAATCTTCCCCGAGACAATTTTCTGAAGAATGCTGTCAGCGAAAACGAAGACGGATGTGAGTCTTTGCCCATCGTATCATCAGTTCGGTCGATTCTTCTTTATTGGGACGGAAGAATTGATTTCAGTTGGCTTTTCGTGGAATGATTTTTGATGTCGAAACTGTATGCAGTGGTCAGCCTGAGTTTAATCTGTTCCTTCACTCGGATGCGAGGCCATCTCGGATTAGGCACCGTGAAGCCAGAAGAAGTTCCAGAAGAGGTTGTTTTATCAGTCGCGGAGACTCTCAGAAAATCTGCCCTCCTGAAAATTTCCGAAGACGGTACATTTTCCGTTCTCTTAGACCATACCACTGACCGTTGATGCTTAATGTTGACATCGAAAAATATATACGACCCATCCTCGCATCTTTCCAGTGAAAAGAGACGAATTCTGCCATCGGGTCTTTCACAAACTTACCAACTTCTTGTTTGGGAAAAAAATATGCATTAGTCCTATGAAATAATACCGAAATTCCCCTTAAAATCCTTGGCTCACACGAATTGGCATCTTGCCGTGCTCTCCATTTATCCATCTCTGGCCATTTAAAATCGAATGCATTGCAATGAACTAGAGTCAGAAGCGTTTCGCAGTTATCGGACAGGTCTTTATGCCCATGATCTTACAGGTAAGAGGGTTGGTAGGAGTACTGAGCTGCTGAAGCCAGAAGAGGTTATAGAGCAGGTGGATTCAAGGACTGTTGCTGCTTCACCTTTACCATACGATGCTAAACTGGAAGACGTGGAATCCTTCTTCAAACAATATGGAAAGGTACTTTGAGTTTATTTTAGTACTTGACGCCCTTACTGATGTAAAAAATGTTTAATCAAAACTTGGCATTAGGTTTTCTTATGCCAATACTACCAAAGACCAGAGATCATGTCTCTCTTATTCAATTCAATATTTTCTTCCTTTTCTTACTAGTTTTTTCGTTTTTATCCTTGTGTTTGTTCAAGTTTAGATGTACATATTCGAAAATGTTAATTTCTCATGAAAATGTGAACATTTTCCCGTTATCACCTTTTTGCCATTTGTAGGTCATGACTTCTTTCTCATTGATTTTGAGTTCTACGGTTACTAAGACCTGAATAAATTGCCAAAATGGATGTAGATGACCGTAATTATATATTTTTTATGTCTATCGCTCTATGGCGCATTAAACCTTGGTTGCGTCATTCAGCAGATATTGGAAATTCTGCCATCAATATCATCCAATTGGTCGAAAATCACATGAACATTATTTTTATCAGTCGTACCAGAAACATCAATAGATTCGCATGGATCCCTAACAAATTTTGGGTTGATTGCATATTTTTAGGGGAAGAAAAACTCCTTGGAGACCTTCCCTTTGAATGATGCGACCGAATTAGGGGTTAAATACTGAAAATTATCATTATAATTATGATTTAGTTTTGATTTTGGTATTGAATACTATACACAATTTTTAATCATATATGAAACACTATTGTTACCAATATCGCGTTGCATATCTCATCTATTTCTTTATCTGCTATGAAACCTAAGTAATGTGTAGAACCGGGGGGGTTCATGCTACCATCTGCTTACTAAAATACCTGATAACCAGCCTTTACGTCAAGAGGGAAAAAATCCAATAAAATACTCTGCACTCGGTCTGTCCATTTTTTTTTTCTGGGTTATCTGTCAGTTTCTATCTTGGTGATTCTCCCCTCTAACTTTAAGATACAGGGCTGTGGTTTTCATATTCACTGGCATGGAAAATATTTTACGATGTAGATGCACTGATATAAGTGGCAGGCAAACTTCGTTCCTTTGATGTCCCTAGCCATTGATGCATCCATATCTCGATCGCACTTATGACCCATCTTTCTGGACCATTTGTTGAACCTGAAAATGTGTTCTATCACCCTAGACTGCAGCCATGAGGTCCTTATTTACCGCTGATCAATTATCGTGACGTGCTCTTTCGCATGAATTATTTCAGGTGAATAGCGTGAGATTACCTCGCCATGCTGCAGACAAGAAGCACTTTTGTGGCTCTGCATTGGTTGAGTTTTCAGAGGATGACGACGTCCAGAAGATTTTGACTGAAAAATTGATTTATGAGGGCGCAGACCTGGAGCTGAGGCCTAAGTAAGCATTTTTATTTCTCGATTCTATTGCATTTATGTGATCATTATTCTGATTAGATTCTATTGCATTTCTTTAGTTCCATCATATATGTATATATTTTATTTTATTTTTTAAATACAGGAAGGACTTTGATGTTGAGAGGGAAAAAATCAGGGAGCACTATGAAAATATTCGTTCCAAGAAGGCTGGAGGTCAAACCAATGGAGGGTCAGTCCTTAAAACTTTATCGTCATGGTTTGTTATCCACCGTGGTGATTGATCTGCCGTTCCTTATCTGGGTCATCTTTGTCGATCCAGCTTCCCAAAGGGATTGATCATCTCCTTCAAGCTAAAGCATAAAAATGGACCTACAGAGGAAAGTGCTCCTGACGGGAAGACGGTTGACGGGGAGGTCTCCAACTCCGCTGGACCTTCAAAAGAAGAGAGTGAACAGGAGACTTTGGAGGCTGTTGATGCGAATGGAGGCAAATCTTCAGAGGATGCGGATGAGGAGATCGCAGAAAATGCGCCTGAAAAGGAGGACGCTGAAGATAACGCCGCTCAAGAGGGTGATGAGAAGAGAACCGAAGAGGCAGCAGATGGTGGTGAGAACCCGCCATCAGCTGCCGCCAGCAAGGACATAGTCACACGGGAGGACCTCAGACAGGTTTTCCAGAAATTCGGAAATGTGAAGGTACCAATGTGATCTGAGGATTTATTTTTGCATACTAAAATTTTAAATTTATGTAAAAATCTCCCTGCTCATCACTTTCTTTTAGTAGAAATATAAGTTATTGTTTTAATTCATGAGGTATTTTGCATTTTTGTACTGTCTTGATTTCACAATTCTCTGCCTTGTCCTCGAGGGGTTCTAAAGCTATTTTTTCTATATTTTCTTCCAAGAGAGCCCACATTCCCTGATCATCACCTTCTGCTCATACAGATATTATCTTTATTTGAATCTCTGCAATATTTTATATTTTGTACTGGTTTGATAATTTTCTGCTGTGTGCTTGAGTGATTCTGATATTATCTTGTTTTTCTGTTTTCTGTCATGGTAGTACATCGATTACAGAATGGGAGAAGAGTCGGGGTACATCCGCTTTGAAGAGCCCGAAGCAGCTGTGAAAGCTCGAGCAACGTCTGTGCTCGTCGACGAAGGCGGCCTGGCAGTGAAGAATTTCATAGCCACCGTAGAAGCATTGACTGGTATGCGTCCTCTCTCTCTTTCTCTCTCTCCCTCCTCCCTCCACCAGCCCAAGCCTGTTTTCCATGCAGATTGGCCTTCTAAAAGATTCCTAGTCTCGGGCTGTTCTCTCTCTCCCTCTCTCCCTCCCTCCATCAGCCCAAGTCTGTTTTCCATGCTGATTGACCTTCTAAAAGATTCCTAGTCTTGGGCTGTTCTCTCTCTCTCTCTCTCTCTCTCTCTCTCTCTCTCTCTGGGGTGAGTGCAAATTGCTGGGTTTTCCTCTGTTAGCTCTCTCTCTCTCTCTCTATCTCTATCTATCTATCTATTTCTCTCTGTTGCTCCATCTATATCTGGTGGGTGCACATTTCTGGGTTTTTCTCTGGACCCAAGCTATTCCTGTGAACTAATTAATAAATTTGGTTGGTATCGACAGTGGAAGAACAGTCATCATCATCATGATGAATCTCGTGATTGGTTATTGTGATTGATCACTTGGCATCGTATGTGTCTTCAGGTGAAGCTGAGACCAACTACTGGAGCATGCTCCGGGGCAACCAGGAGAACTACAAGGGGCACAAGGGCGGCCGGGGCCGAGGCGGCAGAGGCGGCCGCGGCGGGCGGCAGTTCGACGGCAAGAGGGGCCGCCACAGAGAATCCTCAGATGGCGGAAGGCCCTTCAAAGCTGCCAAAGTTTCAGCCTGAACCCTCCTTCCCATGGGCTGAGTTTTGTTCTTCATTCTCTTCCAGCCTCCGATGATCCCCAGGCGTTTAAAGGTTAGAGAGAGAGAGAGAGAGAGAGAGAGAGAGAGAGAGAGAGAGAGATGGGTGATCGACTGTGGCAACCAATAAATAATGTGCCCTTAATTATTGTTTGTTTGTTTTATTAGTCATGGTTCATATATATTGTTGGAAAAATGGAAACTTTCTTAGCGAGTTGATGCCACACGCTGGTTTCTCTGTCATCCCATGCCATCCCCTGTTAGATTGACTTTCCCAAATTATGCCATATGAATGCAGTTGGGTCAAGTCAACTCTTTGCGCATAAATGTGTAGACAGAGGGAGAGGGAGAGGGAGAGAGAGAGAGAGAGAGAGAGAGAGAGAGGGATGGATCCGAGGAAGGACCTCACTAAAATGATGTTAATTACAGAAAAGTTGGTAGGACGCAGAGATCAGGGATCCATGTCGTGATGAACAACACAGGAAGAGATAGAGAGAGGAAGAGAGAGAGAGAGAGAGGGAGAGAGAGAAGGAGAGAGAGAGGAGAGGTGGAGCAGATCTGGGTGGGCTCTCGTTGGTCGCCGGAGCTTTTTTAGATCTTGTCGCGGGGGCCGAGCTTGGGGGGCAGCTGAGGGCCCTTCTTGATGGGGAGCACGTCGCCGGAGACCGTGGAGCTGAAGTAGGCGAGGGTGAACCCGCCGCCGAGGATCAAGAACTTGAGCAGCAGCCCCCTCTTTGTGAATGGCGCCGCGAAGGTCTCGAAGAACTTGCTCTGCACAGATAAGATAGTCGCCGGCGGGGGCGGCGCCGCTGTCAGTGCCCGCTCCGTCGCCGGTAAACACGGAGGAGAAGAAGCAATCACGAACCTGGAGAGAATTGTAAGGGGACGGCGCATCGGAGCCGTAGAGATCCCACTGGCCGGTGGTGTTGGGGATGTCCTCGAGATCGAAGTAGACGCTCTTCTCACCGTATTTGGCCACCACCGCGCCGGATCTGGAGGAAAAAGGAGAAGCCAAAGCCAGAAGCGAGATCAATGGCGGACTCCAGCGGCGTCGGAGCGGAGCGGAGCGGCGGCGATCGTCGTCTACCTGAGATTTGTTCGGGGGAGGCTCCGGCGAGCGGGCTTGACGGCGAGCTTGGTGCCATTGAGCGAGCTCCCGCCGAGGCCCTTGACGGTCACCGGGCGGACGGCCGTTGCAGCGGCGGTGGTGAGGGAAGCCATGGCTGCTGCTCTGTAAGCTCCGGTTCTCTCTCTCTCTCTTCTATCTTCTTCTCGCAGCGGCGATGGGGAATCGGCTTTTGATATCGTCATTCCCGTTTTGCAGGCCGTGCGTTGGCCACGTGGCGGTGGTGCTATGGTTTCCCCACCGCTGGCAGGCGGACACGTACCCCAGTTCCAGATAGCCTTATCCCCTTCAGATATTCTCACCCAGGTGCTCAAGTTTATTTCTTTATACATTTATCGGAAATGAAAAATGCGAGACACTATTTAGCATAATTTATTAGTTAAACCGAAAAAACATGTAAATAAATTTATTTAATCGATCTCAAAGTGGCCTCCACCCACACCCCCCCCTCCCGGCACAAACACAGTCATGGCTTCGAGCACGGGTGGGGAGATCCTCGGTCCCATGGCGAGCACCGCCTCAGGGAGGAAGCGTGCGATCTCTCGGGCAATGTGCTCTTCTCGGGGGAGTCTCCCCTTCGATGGATCTTCGGGATGGCCACGCTGGGCGAGGTGCGGCGAAGAGTCGCGGAGGGAATGGAGCGCCGTGGGATGTTCCCACCGGACGGGCGATCACGGTGAGCGTGGATCTGCCGAATCCGATCTATGAATCCGTTGATTTTGATGGAAGTTCGGGAGGGCTTTGTGGTTGATCTGTGGCCTTCCCTTCGAATCTTTGGATTAGAGAGCACGACTGTGAGAACATTTAGGGTTTAAGGTTTTTACTTGAAGGGAATGGCTCAGATCTTCCTTCCTTCTTCTGGCGATTTTATGGCTGATAAATATCTGTTCACCGATTCAGCAGCTGAAGGTAGCGTGGCGCTGAGTGTTCCTATTTTATCTTGTTCAGAGGTATGTGTATCAATATTTCTCTCAGATGCGCTGGTAAGCTCAGGGAAACTAAATCCTGAAGCGAACCGATGGATTCGATGAAAAGATGAATGAGCAAAGAGTAACTCTTCCATGGAGACAAACAATGCGCATAGGATCCATTAAACCTGGAGTTACCTTCAAAACCTCATGAATTTCTACTGTTTTTTCTTAATCTGAAAGGTAATGGAGAGGATGAGAGCGAATCAGGCGGCTGAAAAGGACCAATATCTTGCCATGTACTCCAGCATCTCTGGCGGAATTACCACTGATCCTGCAGCAATGGTGATTCCCATGGATGACCACATGGTCCACAGAGGTCATGGTGTCTTCGACACAGCAGCCATAGCTGATGGGTAAGAGCTCGAGGCTCGACAACTTTGAGAAATCTTTCATTCATTGTTCATGCTCTTTCTCCCATTTTCGTTTAGTTTCCTATTATTTCATTCATTGTACCTTCTTTAGTTTCTGATTTTCCCAATGATGGTCAATGATATCAGGTACTTGTATGAACTGGATCAGCATCTGGATCGGATACTGAGGTCGGCATCCATGGCCAAGATTGCTCTTCCCTTTGGGCGTGCCGCCATGAAGGCCATCCTCATACAAACTGTTAGTGCCTCAAAATGCAGCCAGGGGTCTCTCCGATACTGGCTCTCAGCGGGACCTGGTGATTTCTTGCTGTCTTCTTCAGGCTGCCCAAGATCGGCGTTCTACGCCATAGTGATTAGAGGGCAATCTCCATCTCATCAGGAGGGGGTCAGAGTAGTAACTTCATCGGTCCCAATCAAATCTCCCCAATTTGCGACCATGAAGAGCGTAAATTATCTGCCCAATGTGCTCTCTAAGATGGAGGCCGAGGAGAATGGCGCATTTGCCGCGATTTGGTTGGATGATGAAGGGTATATCGCCGAAGGGCCCAACATGAACGTTGGATTTGTTACAGGGCAGAGGGAGCTGGTGGTGCCCAAGTTTGACAAGATCCTGAGCGGCTGCACGGCCCAAAGAATACTAGTTCTTGCCGAGAAGCTTGTCCGGAGTGGACTCCTAAGCGGGATTAGAGTGAGAAATATTACAGTTGAGGAAGGAAAGATGGCTCAAGAGATGGTGCTTATCGGCAGTGGGATTCTTGTCAAGCCTGTTCTGCAATGGGATGAGGATGTGATTGGCGATGGTGAGCAGCTTATAATATGATCAAATCTAGATAGATGAACTATATTCAATATTGAATATATTTAGTTGGGGGAATCAGCATTATTGACCGTATTGCTTGCATAGTTTCTATCGATGCGTTGACATTTTCAGCGCATTTTCTGCAGGTAAAGAAGGTCCTGTGTCCCAGGCTCTCCTGGAGCTGATCTTGGAGGACATGAGATCAGGCCCTCCAGAGGTACGCACCATGGTTCCCTCCTGAACCCACTGGCGTCCACCACTGGCGGTTGAGATCATAATATGGAGGACCCATGAAAAAGGCAAGACTTCCAATTCGCCAATGTTTTACGTTATTTGATTACCTGTTCATCTATTGATGACTCCTATATTTTCTGGGTTTCAATGGTTTTGCTGTTTGTTCTCCGTTCATCTCCCGGGTGTTTGCAAATATTTGCGAAGGGATCACGAAACTCAATAAAGCTTTAAATATTTCATTATATTTTAAGTGATTGTGGCTGTATTATAATCTCTTTTTTTCGATTTTATAATTTATTTTTTGTTCAGTTAAATGGATTCAGAGGCAGGCATGTGATTTCCTCGTTGATGCTTAAAGAGGCTTTAACACTTTTTATCTGATTCATGTCCCCTGGAAATTCGTAATATTATATAATTTAGTGAATGGTGACATAATTTTTCTTCCCTTCTATTTTTCCAGAAAATTCAAACCCAATCTCTGTTCCATAGGATGGATTTACTTTGGCTTTCGTTATAAAATCAACACTTTCCCGAAGATATTTCCTCAATTGATAGAACCCTACCATACATTTTCCAAAAGAAGAAGTTTGTATCATCTGTTATAGCATGGGCATCTGTCTGTTCTTCCTACTGAAGGGATTTACTCTAAAAAGGGAAGGTGGGCTATCTTAATAATTTATAAAAAAAGGGTAAATTGAATTACATGAGATTTACAAGAATGAGATTAATGAGAAACTCGAAGAAAAGCAAATGGGCTGGGAGGGGTTTCACCTTAGATCTGGAAATCAATGACACAGCCATGAAGCTTCTCCGCTGTCTCTATGTCAAAGAGAAGAGTGTGATCTCTCAGACCATCAGCTGACAGGCTCCTGAGGAGATTCCTTAGGATCTTTGGAGTATGGTCTTTGGCATTTCCATGTCTGCCGTTCCCAACATGTAGTGCTGATGCCTTTCTGTGAGAGTCTCTGTCATCGTTCTTCTTCTTGCCTTCTGTTTCAAGACGTCGATGGCGGTTAGCTCAGAACCAATATATCAAAAAATTACCCAAACTGTCGCATTCATTGCATTGAGCATTCCCTCGAAACCCGAATCGGTGGAATTTCCAACAACAGCATCATGTCTCAGGGTAGTACCTCTCCGCGTGTCATCACGCGTGATGCATAGCCACGTCGTCTGGCTATCGGATTCGTGTTCTTCAGCAATGGGTATATGCCAATGTCCGTTCACTGATTCCTGAGCATCATGGGAAATAAGTATATTCAGCTTCCTTAATTCAGAATCAGAGGACGCATATAAAGTATACTGGAAAAAGAAAGTCTGTTCAATTGGAGATTTGACACGCACCAGGGAGAAGAAATATGAACATCTCCTTTTTTTCAAAGGGTTGTATACGCATGCATGCTGAAGGTTCTATGGTTTTCTTATCATATATTAATGAATTGTTTTGACCATATATATAATACGGATAAATAAATTTTCTGACCAACTTATCTCGGATCTGTTAGTTTCATTCGTCTTTCATTTTCAGATGCTCCCAAACAGTAAACAATATATCAATAAATCATGCCTCCTCCCTGTTAAAACGTATGCCAGGGTAGTTCAATCACCAAGGGTAAATTCTTTAGTGTTAGTTTTCTTTGATCTGGTGGACTCTTATTTATCTTTTCTTTTTTTTTTTCCTCACCAGATAAAATGCATTAATAAAGATTCTGACGTGGGCATCTTGGATTATTTCATGCATGTTTCATTTCTACTTACCCAGAAAAAAATAAAGAACATCTTCAACTCCTGTCCTATGTAAACTGGTCATATCACTTTAGTATTAAATATCGTATTATTTCCATTTTTTTCCCTAACATGTATATTAAAGAGAACAGTTGACTTAACATGTATATTTATAGTCTTTTAGTTGTAAACATGTACCCCATTTGGTGAGGGATCGAAATAGTCCATTGTGAACTTAGAAAACATGCTAATTCAAGTCAATTTTTCTGCTTTGTGAGCCTTTAAACGAAAATAAAAAAAGACCATTTTGAGTCACTAATAGCAGAACATGTATGAATCAGATGAATATACCTGGATAACAATGGAACAGGGAGGAGGCATGAGAATTTCAGGATTGCCATCACGGAAACTGAAGTGAACCTACAAAGAGTTGGTGTGTTTTCCCCACATCAGAACCGGCAGAACACATAATCATTTACATGGATGATCACTGAAAACTTTTATAGTAAGGCATTAAAAAATAATATTTCATTACAATATTACACATTAACTTCCATACAAGATGAATCGAGAATTAAAAACTATGTAACAAACATAGATTCAATATAATGCAATGGTTTTGTGCATACCTGGTGCCTCTCCTTCCATTTAGGGAAAACATCATCCCCCAGCAACTGAAATATATGGTCTCTCATCTCATCATTCGTCACAATCAGGCCCTTACACTTGATAGCTGCATACAACCAGTACCTGAACCACACGTTATTACCACCCATGGCATCTTAATCTATATTTGGTAATCCGTAAGTGGTCATCGGATCAAATATTTTTCTATGAAATAATAAAATATATTTCCAAACCATGCATGCGCTTGCTTTGTTTGGGTGAAGAGGAAAAAAAGGCTCACCAGTCGTCATTTGAACCAGTGGGTGTGGCATAAATAGCATCTGCATTCCTCCACTTCTCCAGCAGTTTGCCATTTATAGGATCATCCATCGTTTTTCCACTGACGCGCCTGTTATGGACGACGACTAGAGGCCAACTCTTCGAAGGAAGCTTCTGCCGTATGCCATTTACGACACGGTTCACCTGTACATCGCCAAGAACACAGTGAATGAGAAAGTTTAGGGGGGAGAGCAGAGAGGGTTCAGTGGGAAAGAGAGTGTTTCTAAGGAACCTTGCTCAGTGAGAAGCTCCTCTGGCTGAAAAGACCCACGTTTGCAGCATCGATAACAGCTTCAAAGGGCCCGTGATAGTCCAACCATTTCTGTCAATGATTGCAGGGTTCAGCATCTCCAAGTTCTTGGGAAGCCCCAAAAAGGAAAAAAAAATGCATGCCCACGATGTATTCCCTACATGTTGGGAGAACCTCTCTAAATGCTCTAGAAGCTACAATACCCATACCATGACTGCCCATTAATAAAATGTGCTAACCAAGATTGGGTGCTTCGAAGCAAGAATCAGAGAGAAAGGATGCAGAAAAAGATGTCTAATTATAGAATTGGTATCCGTTTTTAAGAAGATGAGCACCTGAAATTGCTGAAAGCTCGAATTCCTCTCCCTCTTCCCAGCTATGGATGCTACAGACCTCGCAAAGCTCTCGGTCTCAATCGGGTCGAGGTCTATAGCCACCAGTTTCTCTCCACAGCTCTCACAGATGCCGTGAGCATCCACATGGCCATGTTTGACTGTCCATCTCCCCTGACCAAGCCAACCCTGACCATGCCAGCCTCCTCCACCATTCTCAGAGGCCTCTTCTATCAGCTTCCTGTCCCACTTTCTCTTCCCCACTCTGGAGGCTATGGGGCTCTTAAACCAGCTCTCAATCAGCTCCGCTGTAGTTGCAGAGACCCGTCTCACGCAGGTCCTCAATTTCTGCAGTGCATAGTAAACCCTGCCGGCTCTCCTGGCTTCAACGCTGATCTTCAGGAGCGCCTGAAGCTCTGGTTCTTCTGGGTGGACGCCGGACTCCGCCATATGCCTCTCCACCTCGAAGGCCTTCTCAATGTCGCCAGTGTTGCAGTAGGCGAACAGGGCGGGGCCGTAGGATCTCAGCCTCAGGGGCAAGCCCAGGTCGTTTATCTTCTTCACGACCTCAAAGGCCATGTCCCCGTTGCCCATGGCCATCGCCATTCTGGCGACGGAGGTCAGCGCTGCCTCGCTCATCGGGATCTCCTCTTGACACATCTTCTCGTATATCTCGAAGCCTCTCTTGAGTGCGTAGTTCCTCACATCCTGCGTCACTTGGATTCCTCCTCCTCCTCCTCCGGCGACAGATCCATTCAGAACAGTTAAATCGTCTGCAAAATTGTCTCCACCGTAAGGGGAGTCTGCTGGAGAGGAGGAAGCCCTGGCTATGGAGCTTCTGTCTGATTCAGACGACAGGCCTCTCGAAGCGTCGCTGCTGGTACCATGGCTGCAGCTGCGGCCACTCTTCGCGGGATGGACGACGCCGACGGCCGCAGAAGCGCACAGATAGAGAAGAATATCGTAATGATACTGGTTCAGTTTCTCGCCTTGCCGGATGGAAGAGTCGAAGAGGGAGATCGCTCCCAGGGCGTCCCCTCTCTTGGAGCACATCTCCAAGCCGATCCTCAAGTTGAGCCCCGCAGAACTTACCTTCGACCTCCTGGAAGCCTTCTCCGTCCCTCTTTCTCCCGCCGAACCAGCCGTCTCAGAGGCCATACCCTTCCTGCAAAACCCTTGATCGGCCATCAATGCGGCCAGATCTCCAGCCAGGCCGGTCCTCCCCGCCCCGCCGTCTCCTGAGCTCGTCCTTCCGGCGTAAGCCTGCGCGCTCTGAGACGTCTCCTCCACCACCTTGTTCGCATGGGACCTCCCCGCGGCGGGTGCTGCGGAGCCGCGCAGAGCTGTGCGCCGGAAACCACAACGTGTGAAGAACAGAGGAGGAGAGAGCGCCTTGCAGCCGCCAACAGCCGCATGGTTGTGGAGATCGCCGGAGAACCTCTCTGGTCGGGGAGCCTTCAAGCCGATGGTCGCAGCCATGAAGCTCTGAGACTGGTCTGAGTATTTCCATGTCAGAGAGGAAGACGAAGAGCAGGGGCGAGAGGTCAATGTGGAGGGAAAGAGGAGGACGGGGATGAGGTGGTTATGGATAAGACCATATTAAATTACTTAAATACCCTCATACATCATCTTTCTAAAGGGAGGATGAAACGCAAATAAGAGTTTATATCCTTTCGTTTTCCGTCACAAGGGGATATATTTAATGAAAAATTGGTGAGTAGGAGGAAATAAAATCAAACTTTTTTGGGTAGTTTTTTGTAATTTATGGAAACAATGAGGGGTTATCTATTAAGATGACATGGTGGAGGAGATGGACTATATTTCTGTGGCCTCGAGAACACCGGCCGTTCCAGTTTTCCGTTAGTCGCTTCTCCGCAGAGACAAGCGGTAAGGAAGCAGTCGTAATATCCGAGATTTTCTTCTTGATTTATGAAATTTCTTCTACATTTCTCGGTTATTTTTCATCCACGGATTTCAAGCTTGGGATCACTGGAGTGGAATTTGGTTCTTTTTTCCGATTTGTGGCTGTTTTGTGGTGCAGATGGCTTACGCCTCAGCAGTAGGGATGCCGTCTTTGTTCTATGGCGGTAAGAGAGCGTTATCGGGGAATGCTCGTGAACTCCGAGGTTTCACTCTGATCGGCGACCGAGCTTCACTAGGTTGGCTTTTTTGCAAGAGTATGATAGAGATTTGATTTCTGATCTCACTTGTGCGCTTCCGCGTCGTTTTCCACCATTTTCATGTCTGAAGATCCAGAATATTGGAGCCGAACGAATCTCGCGCTTCGTTGAATACATAATCTCGCGTACTAGCCATCTGGATTTCGTTTCCCCGTTTTTCCAGCCCTGTCACTAAAAATCGGCGGTACAAGCTAAGTGGCAGTGGTTGATCATAGATTCAAATACAATAATTTATTTCAAAATTAAAGAGGGGCCTCTAAAATGCATTTCAAGCCATAAATAATACCCCAGTTTGTCAGCAACGGAGACATCGTAAATCGGTCCTCGGGCATCGAGATAAGTTCTCTGTCCTAGTACAGATTCAATCATCTAGTTTCTGGAAGCCCCGTTTTATGTTGATTTATCTATTTGACTGCTTTAAGCAATCTTGAGAATGAATTTGTGCATAAAAGTTGAAGCATCATGAAATACAAGTATGCATGTAATTAGCCACGGTGCATTTCCAATCTATGATTCACAAGTAAATGCTGATCCAAATAGGATAAAACAGAATGATTATGTTTCGCTTATTCTATTGGAACAATGTCCCTATAAGGTGGTCCATAGTGTCCGGGGCTATGCTTCCATTATCGGATTTTATTAATCTTTTATTTAATAATTAGTATTTAGCTTGTACAGCCCATATGAAAAAGGAAGCAGACGTGTGAAATGTTTGCTCAATCGGAGCTGCCTTTCTTCTTTCCATTCCCATTTAACGTCAGAATTCGTCATTGGCTTACAATCCATCCTGACCGTAACAGGAAGAAAGGGATACAAGGGTATTGTGGCCAAGGCTGCTGGTGATAGCTCTGACTCATCTTCTCCGAGCATTGCGGAAATTGTCCAAAATGCAGTAAATACTTTTCTTGGTTCCATTTTGTTCATTAGCCTCCTCATTTTGTGAAGAAATAATTTTTTTTTTGCCGAAACTATCTATTATCATTGGCGTTGAATTTATACATACCTTTAATGTTTTCCAGTATTTGATTTTATGAATTATATAACTGTGTACATATATGAATAAATTATTTTCTTCCGTGAGTATTTTTTATCAGTGGGGAAACTCAGACGATCGCCTTGGCATTGTCGGCGTGGGATTTGCTTCCATTGCAGTATTTTGGGCATCTGTCAATCTCATTACGGTAATTCAAAAACAATTTTTCCTATTCCTTATGACAGAAGAATGCTCGTTTTTTTTTTTGGGTGGATAAGGAAAGAAAATCCAATTATGAGGAGAAATTATTTCATGCTTGGTATTTTTCTATGCATGATCTTACATAACTAAATGTATATTACCTAGTTTCTTCTCCTGAAGCTGAATTACTAGTTCTCATTTCAGGCCATTGACAGCCTTCCCTTTGTTCCAAGCGCCCTAGAGTTCATTGGGATTTTGTTTTCCTGGGTGAGGCTTCTGGGCAACGGGCCAAACATTTAATGAAGAAAATATGACGTTGACTAAATTTTACAATAACTGACTTGTGGAATGTTTTTCTCATAATTTTCAGTGGTTCATATATCGGTATCTCCTGTTCAAACCCGACAGGTACGATTGACCCTGTACTGTCTTATGTATCATTGAATTATTATCAACTTTTAGTCCTATATATATATATATATATATAATCTATTTTCGGTTGGTTTCTTGAGATCAATCTAGCTGATTCTAATGCCAATTGTGGCCTAAACACTCTGTTGAAGTAGCTGATTCAGGCAGGTGACTTTTCCTATGCTCTGGAATGAACTGTAATCTTCATGTTCGTCTTCCTCCCCCTCCCAGGGAAGAGCTCCTGAAGAATTTGAAGGGTTCACTCTCGGATATCCTGGGCCGGTGACAATCCAGAGCAGATGAATACATCTGAGCGAAGAAATGTGCGAGAGATTGGAGCTGGTCTTGTTCATCCCTGCAACCCCATGGTTTGACTTTTTTCTTGAAAGACCTAGATAAACAGCTGTCCAGCTCCCTGGTCTGTCTGGGAATGGTGTAAGTAAATACTTTCTATGATTACAGCTCCTGTCTATGGCTCATAATTCGGATGAAATAATTTTAAAAAAATCGGGTAATATAATATAAAATTAAATTAAATGCATTTTTTCTTGAAAGGGAATTATTTTCTAAATGGGTCATCTGTTCCGAAATGGTCAGTGGAATATCGTCCGTTGGAAACATCCGAAATTCCTCTGTTAGTGATTTATTCAGTGGACGAGTAAGGAAATGGAGAGCAGTTTCATAATTTACTTATAATAATAATAATAATATATTATTATTATTATTATTATTATTATATTTATTACCCATGTAGTTTACAAAAATATCATCTGTGGCCTTGATTTTTAGTGTCTGGATCGGGTGACACCGACAAATCCGTTTGGCCCATTACTGGAGGCCTGAGAATCTTTAACCGTCTGATTGGTGATCCTACACTGGGTTTACTTAATCTGCAGCTCCAAGGGTCGTCCCGGTACGTCACGGCGCCCGTCATGACGGTTATGTTTTTCCATCTGATCCGGAAGATCTAGACAGATGACATCTATCCGACGGCTCTGATCTCCCTAATATTTTGGCGGATGACCCCTGGCTTGTCTTCATCGGTTGTTCAAAGTCGGTGGCTTCGTCGTAGTCTCCATCTGGTCCTCTCTACTTTCCTCTCTCTCTCTCTCTCTCGCTCGCTCGCTCTGGTCCTGTCTCCGATCTCGCTTGTTCTGGAAACCTTGGGAGGGATTGGGACAAGGCGATGGCGAATTTCGGAGTCCACATGGAGGTCGGGAGCGATGGAGTCGCCGTGATCACCATTTCTAACCCCCCGGTCAACTCGTTGGCTCCCCAAAGTAATTTCCCGTTCATCCTTTATTCTCTCCTCTGCTTTTTCCGATGTCGTGGTTCGTTCCTGGCTTCGAGATATCTTTTCAACTTCACTTTGAACTGCCCCGAGCGACGGAGGCGGTTTGCTTCGGTATCTCTTTGGACATCTAATGTCTGCTGTTCTGAATTGTGTATATCATATTTTATCTCGCATTTTGATCGAGGAAAATCCGTTTGAACCGTGGGACGACGATGTTTTGTCTTGAAACAGTTGTTGATGGACTGAAGACGGCATACGCGGAAGCTATGAGGAGGGACGACGTCAAGGCTATTGTACTCACAGGTGAGGCTCCCTTTGACGAGGCTCTGTGACTGAGACCTGCGCGAAAATTTAGAATTTTATTTTTTTTCTTCCCCGTCGAGTTTCTGGTTAAACGGAATGCTTTATCCTGGAGTTGATTAAAATATGATATTATCTGCTCAAAATTAATGAGGCTTAAAGTGTTTGCGTTGTTACTGTGGCCGTCAGGGAGTTGACATCTACCTTTCACTCCGCAATTCGACGATTTCATCACAAATGGGAATTTCAATTATGCTCGTACAATTCTGCCACAAATGGATCTTCCTTGTTCACAACTTAAATCTCTTCATGACTATCAAACTACCCACAGTAACATTGCTGTCCTCTCGGGTCATCTTTAGATTTCTTAGCTGTATGTCTGTTCGTGAATGTCCAGTTCGCACTGACGATTATTTTATTTTATCCTTCGTAATTACAATTAACAACGTTTGAAGATTTTCGACAAACTCATGGTCGAGGGTGATTCATCAACACGCCTTTAAGCTCACTCTCATGTCTCACTTCCTGAATTATGGTTCTCCTTTGAAAAGGTGCTGCGGGAAATTTTTCTGCTGGTTTTGATATCAGTGTCTTTAAAGAGATCCACCGAACAGGTATGAAGATTTTAGTCAGAATATTCTGCCTTTCTTTTAGTATCAGATCACGTTGTGTTACATTTACATGTTCCCTTCTACTGGCAGGCCAAATTGCACTTCTGCCGGATGTTTCCGTTGAACTTGTGGTCAACGCAATGGAAGGTTCTATAGCTTTCTCTCTCCCTCTCTCCCCCCTCCTCTCTCTCTCTCTCTCTTTCTCTCTCTCTCTCTTCTCTTTTTTTCCCTTGTCAAGAGAAAAAGTAGTCTTCTTTACTTATTTATTTCTCCTTAGTATCTTTGTTTGGACTCGTCCAAAACTCTGAACTTGTCCATATCCACAGATGGCAAGAAGCCCTCTGTCGCGGCTATCCAAGGCTTTGCCTTTGGTGGTGGCTTGGAACTGACGATGGTTTGCACTTTACCATAATGCAACCCTTGTTTGAATTCCTGATGTATATCGTGTTAACCAATGGAAATATCGTGCCAATTTTATACAGGGTTGCCATGCCCGGATTTCCACTGCTGAAGCTCAACTTGGGCTGCCAGAGTTGACTCTCGGTGTTATTCCTGGTTTTGGAGGTGTTTTATAGATAAAGAGTTTGTCGACCTTTCTCACTAAAAAAAGCTGGCGGGAAACTAGATAATTTGTTTCTCAACCTTTCTCTCTAAAAAACTCTTATTTAATTTTTTTTTTTAGGTACACAACGTCTTCCAAGACTTGTTGGATTGTCAAAGTCTATTGAAATGATGCTAGTGAGTGTTAACTTTTCTTCTGGACCTTTTGGAATGTGTGGAGCTTCAGCTTATGTTCATGTGAATTTAGTCTGAACGTACTTTATGATAGTCCATGACGTGTGGCATTGCAGCGTTCCAAGTCAATCTCTGCGACAGATGGGAACCAGCTGGGTCTTATTGATGCCGTGGTCACCCCTAAAGAATTGTTGCCGGTTTCTCGACAGTGGGCTCTGGACATTGCCATGCATCGTAAACCGTGGATAAGTTCTCTTCGACGCACTGACAAAATCGGTCCCCTTTCTGAAGCACGTCAAATCATAAAAGCTGCCAGGCAACAGGCAAAGAAGACTGCTCCAAACATGCCGCAGCATCAAGTGTGCCTTGATGCAATTGAAGAGGGCGTTTTGTCTGGTGGATATGCTGGCGTCCTAAAAGTATGCATGAAAACTATTCCCAAGAAAGTGTGATCGCTTTGTGTATATGTTTTAAATCTTATGGAAAAGTGATAACCACAATACCACAAAAAGTTATATTTATATATAATAATGAAGTATGCAAATGCCAATCAGAATTTGACCACCTACTTTTGTAAGACTAGTTACCTTCGAGGTATTGTGGTGATTCCAAGGGTCTTCGCCTTGCTGGATGCCTGTTCCGTATATATTTTCTGCTCATTGTAACGAAGGGATGTTTAAAATTTCAGGAGGCTAAAGTGTTCAAGGAGTTGGTGTTGTCAGACACTAGTAAGGGCCTCGTTCATGTATTTTTCGCTCAGCGTGCAACCTCAAAGGTATTGTAATCTGTTTCTTTTAATTTTTCTCTTTTATGCCCCCCTAATTTTGGTTAGTTGTACACTCGCACCCAAAATATGTTTTTTGCATAAAAAACAAGTGGCAATAGTACCAAAAATTCTCCTCTTGTCTTTTCTTTATAATCATCTCCAAAAGAATATTTTATGGACTGATGAAATGTGATAATGAGGCTTACCATTCCTTGTCCCCCTTAAAATCAGCAAATCAGTTGACGATCTAATAAATCAGCGTGTTGTGGGAAGCAGGTAGAAATGAACGGTTAATATATCTTGGACGCCTGAGTGCTTCAATCAGTATTTCATCTTGAAAAACGTAAATGCTGTGTTAGATCTTTAATATCCGATTAGTATGAAGTGAAGTACAATATCAGAATAGGAGAATACTGTACCTGTAAGGATGTCCCTTTCTAGGTGGGAGTCTTATTTCTTCGTCAGGGTATACTGTCTTAACTATGTCTTTCTTATCTGTCCTAACCTCATAGTTGATTGCTATACCTTTACGGAAACATGGGCCAGAAAAGGGGCTACAGTTGGAAGCACGAAATGCTGTCCCACAAACAAATATGATGCTTAAGTGCCATTTTGAGTCCACATGTCAAAGATTATTCTCAGTCTCTTGAAAAGCATGCATCCATTAAGAAAAAGTTCCTTCTGAACGGAACTGCAAAAGAAAATTCGAATCCATCTTTAGGAATTCACACATCCAATGCATTGTGCATGTTGACCCAAGAATCGACCTGCAACAATGTAGAATGATGGTAGCACGCAACAGACTTGCACGATTGTTTGCTCATCAAATGATTTTTCCGTTACACGCTGTTACCCTGCTTTTTTTGTGTTGGTGTTAGGTACCTACTGTTACAGATATTGGACTTAAACCAAGGAAAATAAAGAAGGTGGCCATAATTGGTGGAGGTTTGATGGGTTCTGGCATAGCAACTGCACTTGTTCGACATAATATATCTGTGTTACTAAAGGAAGTCGATTCAGCTTATCTACAAAAGGGATTGACAACGGTATCAGGTGCAGACTTAATCCATAATTTTACTCGGGCTGATGTTTTTGAAATGTTTTTAATCTTCTGCACGCTGGTGCAATACTGCCTTGGTATTTCCTTCGGCATATTTCTGGAAAGGACGTTTTATTTAGAAGAATACTGACATACGGAAACATGTTATGGTTTTTTCTCTTTTATATTATTATTGAAGAGGAGGCAATCTTGTTATCATGTTTCTGATTTACGTCGATTTATAATTTTATGATGCTTAACAGTGAACCTCAAAAGACTTGTAATGAGAGGAGCAATGACAGAGGATCAGATGAAAAAGGCCTTGTCACTTCTCACTGGTGCACTGGACTATTCAGAGTTCAAGAATGTCGACATGGTCATAGAGGTCGTCCTCATTACCACCTTTTACGCAGGGTCACTTATTTCATTTTAAAAATTATAAGCCTTTTACCGTGTTCAGTTTGAGTCAGACTTCGAATCGGGTGTATTTATTTATCCATTACTAGACAGCAGAAGGTCTCTATGCCGATGATTTGTCATAGTAGATACGCTAGTGATGTATTTATGGATTCATTGGGTGATCTTCTCTTTTGGTGTACTTGACATTGTTGATTTAGGTATCCTTGCCGATTGATATTTTTTCAGTGTGAGTGACGAATTGGCGTGAAAAGTATATTATCTCCATCATTAGAGCTGGTATCTGTGGAATATAGCTGATAAAGATCCTTTAATTCCTAGATTTGCATCATCAACTAGCCTCCATCTCTCTCTCTCTCTCTCTCTCTCTCTCTCCCCCCATTCCTCTCCCACCTCGATTTGGAATTGAAAGAAACAGACCAGGAGAAAGGATTTGAGATTAATTAAGAAATGCCCTTTATAATTGCATTTGCTTTTGCATGCTGCAGTGTAGTGAATCTTTTGGTACATGAGAATAACGAACATGGAACTTCTGATCTGACTTAGTTTATGATGTCTTCGTGGTTCTAACTCGTGTTTCTATCTTAGGCGGTCATTGAAAATGTTCCTCTGAAGCAGTCAATATTTAGCGAAATTGAGAAAGCTTGCCATCCTCACTGCATATTGGCTACAAATACCTCCACAATCGATTTAAATATAGTGGGAGCAAAGACGAGGTCCCAAGATCGCATAGCGGGAGCACACTTTTTCAGGTGATTTTCTTATTCATTTCAATGTGTTTGGACTAGAGCCACCAGAAGAGTGACCTCTTGATGTGCAGAAGGTCACATTGCACCATTGGGAGGGGGTATTGTCACCATAAAGAAAAGGAAGTATTCTGATTTGGCAGAAATTCTAGAAATAAATTGTGGAGGTCACAGCATTAGACATATACGGGGATCAAGGGTTTTAAGTATACATTTGCTACACGAAGAGATTTTTACTTAGTAATGCATGCTGGTGCACTATTCTTAACGTAATTGCATGATTTGTGCCATCTTCAGTACGGGTTGTGTAGATGTTCTAGTCATATTATTTCAGCCTGCAGTTGCATTTCTGATACAACTTCATCTTTCAGCCCAGCCCATTTGATGCCCCTTTTGGAAATTATTCGGACCGAGAGAACTTCTCCTCAAGTGATTCTTGATCTGATGACTATCGGGAAGATGATCAAGAAAGTTCCTGTTGTAGTTGGCAACTGTACGGGATTTGCTGTTAACCGGACCTTTTTTCCGTATTCCCAAGCCGCACATCTCTTGGCGAATTTGGGAGTAGACATTTTCAGAATTGATAGAGTGATCAACAATTTTGGCATGCCAATCGGACCCTTCCAGTAAGCTTCCTACGTCTAACATTCGAGGATCTTTTGTCTTCGCTCTGTTTATTTGTGTGTGCTTTCAGTGATACATAATTCGTGCCCATACATCGTAGTATTGACCGTGTAATTTATTGGCGCATCTGCTGCTTACTGAGTATCATCTCCATTTATGTAATATGATCTGCGCATTTCTTAGGCCTATTCTCCTTAATAAGAATTACCCCTTTCAGGCTCCAAGATCTGGCTGGATATGGAGTGGCATTGGCTGTTAAGAAAGAGTTTCAATTAGCTTTCAAAGGGCGAACTTTTGAGTCTTATTTGATCGAACTGATGGTGGAAAGTGGGCGCAATGGTAAGTAAATGTGTTCTTGTTGCCTCTTTCTGTCTCTAACCGCCATTTATGTCCATGATCAAATGATAGATGTTTTGTGTCACAGGGAAAAACAACGGAAAAGGTTATTACATTTATGATCAGGGAAGCAGACCAAGGCCCGATCCAAGTATAAGCTCGATAGTTGCAGAGTCAATAAGACGCGCGAACATCATGCCTGGTGGAAAGGTAAGCTTGCCAAGTAACCGTGTATGCATGTGCATGTGGATGTGTGTGTGTGGGAAAGACAGAAGGGGGTTGGAGAGAGTGGGAGAGAGAGAGAGAGAGAGAGACTGTGCATGCATTTATATTTGTGCTTCTAGTCGCCATCTTATATACAATTCGTCTTGTAGCCCATAAGCGTAACTGATCAAGAAATCGTGGAGATGATATTCTTCCCAGTGGTGAATGAGGCATGTCGAGTGATGGATGAAGGAGTGATTACTCGAGCATCTGATCTTGATATTGCTTCTGTTCTTGGAATGGGTTTCCCCAAGTACCGGTGAGTGCCCTTCACACATTTTTCGCATCTAAATCTTTTCTCGGTTTAGATGTCGGACTTTCTGAGTTCAAGTTTGGATGCCATGGTATATTTAGGCCATGAGGTTTATTTTTCCTGTAACGTTTGACTATTACGTTCTCCAGCATACAACTGTAAAAAAAATTGGGTTATCTATCTGCTCGAGTCATAGATATCGGAACAGCATCCCAGACAACTGTAATATTGTGGTCGCTACAGTTCTTCGATAAATAATTTATTCTGGAATTTACTTCAGAGTATATTCATTATGCAGTAGAGTTTAGATATATACTCAAACAGACGTATGGATCCCGCTAAAGTTGAAAGTTCTAAATTCTGATTAATTGCGTGATCCCTGTGAATTCCGAAACCTTAATTCTCATGTTATTTCAGTTTGATCATCTTCTTTGGTTAATTGGAATAGTAGTTGACTGGCTAATTTATCATCCTTCGGTCACATCTGTAGGGGCGGTCTTATTTTTTGGGCGGATTCACTGGGTTCTGAATACATTCATTCCCGTCTGAGTAAGTGGGCAGAAACCTATGGAAACTTCCTCAGACCTTCAAAGTACCTGGAGGAAAGAGCGAAGAAAGGGTTGCCAGTGGTAATAATTTTTCTCCCCATTTTGTCCCTCAGCTTTAATTTAGATATGGATGATATATATATATATATATATATATATATAATGAAAGTTCAACCTTTTTGCTATAACAGCTATTCTACACTCACGATGTTGTCATTATATAGCATTAAAATTAAAACTTCTGTGACAAATTAGGTTGATGTTTGGATGTGTGGGTACTAGGGAGACTGGAATACAATCCAAGTTATTGTAGGGTGTCATTGAGCAGGTTTAGCCTAGGCCCTGATCTATGTTGAGCTTCAAATCTGGTCCAAGGGGAAAACTGCCCTAACTCAACTCCTCTCAGAGCTTCAAAGGGCCATTATACTTGCATGCGAATGCTCAATTTTTTTTTTCTTCTCTAAGCTCAAGCTAGATCCAAGCCTTGTAATAGGCATCTGAACTCAGCTTACCCTTGAGAGAGCCTGCCTGAGCCTAGATCAGTCCATTTTCATCCTCAACAGTTTTGATAGAATTTGATTTTTTTCACCCGAACATTGATCAACTGATAAGGGTGCATGTGAAAGCATCGCAGACTTTATCACATCACTTGAATAACACTGTGGATGCCCTTTTTTTCTCATGTGCCCAATGGGCATGCGGATTTCTGACCATATCAGGTTCATACTCGCAAGAACAATGTTGACTTTTCCACCTAAGAGTCTTGACATTAAAGATATCGAAATAGCTCCCGAATCGGTCTGAAGAAAACAAAATATGTGGCCTAAAATTTAGCGAAACTCAGCCCATTGCTAAGTGGTTATTGAACATGGCGCCAGAATGGACTTCATAGCAACTGAAGACGCGAATAAGAACTATCTCACGTTGATTGGCACAGTGATTTGTACAGTTTATTGCTGTCATAGTTTCTACAGATCGCAGAATACAGAAATAATATAGAAGGTGGCGATTATTTCATGCTTGAAAATTTAGTTATTTCTTTACTTATTCTTGCAGAGCCTGATTTCCCCGGGCCCCTCACAAGGTGCTTCCAAGGCCCGACTCTAGCGGACAACACCCAGGCCTCTCGCTGTGACCGGGAGGTTTCTGCTCGTTGGTGAGCAATCAAATCATCTTGAAAGGTATCCTCAAAAGTCAATGAACCACTGTAGGATTCTTCCTTAAACCGAATGGCGGACAATGCAATAAATCCATGAACAAAAACTTGTTAGGAATCGCTTATGTATTCTAGGAAGCTCTCAATGTCCTCCTGTTTCTAGGAAATCCTTGTCATAATAGGCATCGATGTGCTAGTTTTTACTCTATCCTTAGAGAAGGATCAAATTCGGATACCCAATCTCTCTCTCTCTCTCTCTCTCTCTCTCTCTCTCTCTCATGTCACAAAATGCCCATAAATTTAGGAAAACATAATTGAATTGAAAATCGTAGGTAGGAGGTCCCTTCCATTTTTTTTTATATGCAAACAAATGCCGCCCCTCCTCTCTCCAGTGCAGTGAGTCAAGTGAAGACCCTCAAGCTTGGTACTGCCAACTGAGGCATGAACCTCTTCCGTAGTCATGAGGAAGGTAGTGGGCCATAAAAGTGCTTCAAGCTCTCTGTAATATTCCCATATTGGGTATGAGAAGGTGGAGCTCTCCACGAGTTCTCACTTCAGGAACTGGTCAAACCAGTCACTAGCCGCCTTCACCATGTCCGGTGTCATCTGATGCCCGATTTCATACTCTGCAATGAGCTGTGGAGGTAAGAGGAACCGAATGAGAGTTCTTCAGGAATCGGGATAAAATATAAGAATATAAAAAAATGTAGGTATCTGATTGATTATAAGTGCTCTTTCTTCATATTACTTGATCCAACGGCTCTAAAAATCCCAGAAAAAATCATGGCTCAATGATTCATCCACCTCGGATCATCCTCAACTACTATATTTCTCCATTATTTGTTATTTTTCACGTGTCTGGAGTTTGCTAAATCTTGCATTTCGATTATTTTTGCATCATTTTTCTGAACCATATTCCGATCCATGGTATCCCCAATTGAACAAAATGTGAGCAGCGGGGGTGGAATTCTGCATGGTAGATGGCCCATTCTCTCTCTCTCTCTCTCTCTCTCTCTCTCTCTTCATGCCGGATTTATTCTTTTTTTTAATGCAAGAAGCTATTTTTTTTCTGGAACCGTCCACGGCGCAAAAACGCATCTAGTGGAGTTGTCCTCACCTTGAAATTCTCTAGCAGATCAGCTCTCTCGTATGCCTCCGTTGCTCTGGAAACCACATCACTCAGACCTGCAAGCGGGCAACGAGGATCCTCAGCACCTGCATTTAGTGAAAGCACTTAGATGCCACCTATTCATTATTACATAAAAAAAAAACCAAAAAAAAATCTCTGATCGCATCATCACCATCTTGAGTTGAATGGCCCACGAACCCTAACCCACAAAGCCCAGTAATCTGCTTGCTTTTTATAGAAAAAAATGCATGATCAAGATGATTATGACGATTTATATTGCTAATTCTAGAAATAAGTGGGTGATTATATGCATGAATGGACGAGGAACTTTCGTCATCCGGGAGAATAAAGATCAATGCTGCTTTTTCGGAATTGGTGATCTTGGAGGGGAAGATCTCACCGTTGATGATGAGCAGAGGGCGTGGGGCGATGGCCGGAATCGTATGAGCGGAGTCGAATCTGGAGGTCAGACCAGGAGCGATCCTGTCCCAGACCTGGTTCAGGCAGCAGAAATTCATTAGAGTTGACTTGTTATTTAGAACCCTAGTTGACTTCGTGGCCCCTTTTAGGCCAAGAAGAACGGATGCACTCTGGCCTGGGGCGGGCCTGACCTTCTGCACCACTTCCTTGTCGATCTCACTCTTGCCGATGTCCTTGCGCGCTTCTGTTTCTCGGAGGAGGAGGGAAAAAATAATAATAACAATAATAATAATCATTAAAATCCACAGATTTATGTTGATAAAAACTTTGGTGCATAATGTTGGTAGAACAGAAAATTTATGTGGGTACCTTCGAAGAGGGACCTGATACTATTGGCTCGAGCCTGCCATCTGTCATTATCCACCGCCCATCCAAAACCCTAAGATCATCAATGCAGAATGAGACCCATCTCTCTCTCTCTCTCTCTATATATATATATATATATATATATATATATCGCAGCAAAGAAGAGGATGAACGATGATTTTCAAGAAATAATTTTAATTAAAAAAACAAAAGATTAAAATTAAAAATTAAAAAATAGAGAAGATGAGGAATAATGCAGAACCTGAACACCAATTATGGGGACAACTACGGAATATCGGGTGTCAGCCGCAGCAGCAAGCCATGCATGCATACCTACATCAAGTGAGCGACATTTATACACATTAATGTCCTAATAAGGAAATGGCTGCGGGCACATAAAAAATATATGGTTTTTTTTTTTTTTCTGGAGAAAATCCGAGCTCGATTCACCTCCAAGTGACTCCCCAGTAATTCCGATTCGAGCAGGATCGACGTCCTCCCTCTGAGAAAGATAATCCCCCAGCTTTATCAGGTCCCACACCTGCAAGTCAAACCGAGTTCTATCACCTAGAGTTCCAAGTCAACCCGACAGAGCTTGGAATTTTCCATTTAAGGAAATTGCATCAGCATACTGCTGATGAACAGTGGCAACCCATATACCGTATCAAATAGGAAAGGCATGGTGTCACCATTTTTCCATGCAGAGATCAGAGCCTGCATCCAGAATCGAAAGTCAACGGATCAAGTGCTGGCCAAAAAAATAAGAAAAAAATAAAAAAAGAGGGAGAGAGGATATGATTGCACTCTCATTTTTTTTTTATAACGTTCCTAAAATAGCTATAGATGGTGGGTCTGTACATCGATGTATGTGGTGACACTGCTGGCACGTTGACCATGGTAGCGAGCATCAATGGCAACGGCTATATATCCCCTAGATGCGTATGCCTGGAACAAAATTCAATGGGTGAAGAAGAAATAATCAAACGTCATAATAAATAATAGTAGTAATTAAAAAAAGAGAGAGATAGTGGTGGTTCCACCTCGAGTAGAGGTCGGACCCACTCCTTGGTCTTGTAGGAACTGTGCAGAAAGACGATAGCTGGTCTCTTCTTCTCCTCGCTCTCCTTCAGGCTCAGAATCAACACTGGCAAGCGCCCCTGCTCCCCTTCCTGCAGAAGATGACGCTACAAATGAAGCAACCACAAGAACATGCCCCATCGATAAATTACCATCTTGAGCACCTTTCTCCGGGCAGAGTCAATGAAGCCCATTCCAAATCTCTCTCTCTCTTTCCCTCTCTCTCTCTCCCTCTCTCTCTCTCTCTTTCCCCCTCTCTCTCCCTCTCTCTCTTTCTCTCTCTCTCTCTCTCTCTCTCTCTCTCTCTCCCCCTCTCTCTCTCTCTCTTTCCCCCTCTCTCTCTCTCTTTCCCCCTCTCTCTCTCTCTCTCTCTCTCTCATTCACTCACTCACTCTTTCCATTCTTGAGCAGCCTTGGTGGATTTCTCCGCTGCGATCTTGTCCTGTTCATCAAGACCCACTCTGCTTTTCACAGAAAAATTGCTCATAGATCCTGTGAAATATTGCAAAGTCTAGAACCAAACTGCGAAAAACCAGAAGGGTCCAGAAGAGTAGCAGCGTGGCCCAGAAGGTGTTTGATAGCATCCCCCCATTCTCGTTTGAACTGTCACTGCTTCTTCTTCTCTGGGTCTGGTTTCTATCCCCAGTTCGTTTTCATGATCTCTCTCTTTCTCTTCCTGTGGATATTACTTTGACCTTGGAAGCGCAATGAAGACTGCTGATGAGCGAGGCCTTGGTTGGAATGATCGTTGAATCTGTGTTTGACTTGAGAAGATAAAAACTTGCAAGATCTCTTACTAGATCAGCTGAGTTGAAGATGAGTCAGTAGCTTCATTGCACTCCAAGTTCCAGAAATATATGATCGGGGCTAAAGCTATTTGACTCCAGCCCAAAACGTTGACTTTGGATTGGGCTGCGGATACCCGATTGACTTTCGCCATATCTTTACTGGAATCATTGATCGGATGACTTAAAGTCTGAAATGAACTTTTTACCATTCCTGTGCTGTCAGATCTTAATGAGCTCCAGTTCTGGCTATCCATATGGCAGCATTCACTGCGATATCAGGCAGGATACCTGGTCAAACTCAGATTTTTTCCGACTCGTGTCCAACCAAGCAAAGCCCTGGACAGGCTCTGGTCAACGCAAGGAAAATCTGACCCCATGAGCTCAGCCAGCCTATGTTTCAGACCCATGAGCTCAGGTCAAAATGGGCTCACATCTCCCCATTTAAGTGAGAACCTCCCTCGGCAAGATGGTAGCTTGCGTATGCCCAACGAGGAGAGGGGGAGAGAGAGAGAGCGAGAGAGAGAGAGAGATGCATAATCATACCTCAGTGATCAAAATGAGGTTTTCTTCTTTCAGCTTGTCCTGAAAATCCTCCATCTCCTCCTTCGGGCAAGACTCCATAGCCTGGAACCGTTTACTAACAGAGGTTGAACACACGATGGGGCAACAACACAAAAGGGAAAGATGGTGAGAGAATTGACCTCGCGGGTAGGTGGCCCCCCCTGATACATGGGCTCCGCGACCGGCTCCCCCTTCATCACCACAAGATCCCCTAGAAATGATCCACACGCAAATTAATCACACATGGAGGCACCTTGATGAGCAGCTCAAGCTCGAAGGATCCCACGACCTTGCAGAAAAATGCCAAAAATGGCAACATTTTATAGCGAAGAAAATCAAGAACAGGTCGGACTTCCGGAAGTTAGACCAGGTGGAAGCAGTGGGAACGAGATCAGCCCTTGAATTGTTAGAAGAAATCGTGAGATGGGTCTCACACCCCTGGTTTTATATCCTTGTGATCGTGTTGGAGGTTCTTGTTCATGATCTGAGAGCGATGAGGCGCTCTCGTCGCTAACACATCAGCTGTCTTTTTATTGTTTATGATCGTGTGTTATATATCCTTGAACTGTTTATGATCATGTATGGAAGCTAACACATCAGCTGTCTTTTGATTGGCTCTGCGGTTTAATTCTTCTGGTCATCTTCTAACAGGGGATTCTTTCCATTTCGAGGAGTAATGGGAAGAACAGCTCGTTTGATCAGCAACCTACAGTTCCCTTGTTGACAAGATTACCGGCGATCGATGAGGCTCAGATCACTCCTCCCACGGATCTCGTTGCCAGGGAGATCCTCGTAGATATCTGCAAGGAGGGGAATCTTGACGTTTTCAGGGGAAGAGGGGGACCTTCCGCCGTCTTTCGACGGCTGCGCAGCACCCGGAGGAACTCAGCGCGAAGCTCACTGGCGTCATCGCCGGCAAAGGGAAGGGCGGACGTGGGAGCGGCGGCGGCGGCGGTGGCGACGACCTCCATCCTCCAGCGGCAGCGTCCGAGTACTACGCCGCCGCCGGCGACGGGGGAAGATTTATAGCTCAAGCTCCTAGGAGAGCAGCCGCCGCGGTGGAGCTGCGCCGGCGGCTTTGGCACGTGGGACTCATGCTGCCGGCAGCTGGCCGGCGGGGCCCACGCGAGGCTCGAGAGCACCATCGTCCGGACTCTCCACCGCCGCCGTCCTCCGCTTCTCCCGCAGCTTCCTCCAGAGAGGGCGGAAGGACAGAAGCACGGGATGAGGATATAAATGCTCGTATCATCTGGTTACATTCAATTCAGCTGACCAACATGTGAATGATCATCTCCTTCGGAAGTCAACGTCGCCGCTAACGTCTTGTATGATTCTAATTTTCAGAAGCTTCTGCTTCTATCAATGCGACTCTGTTAGGAAAATTCGAGCGATTATACCGTCGAGTTCTACATGATTTAAAAGCCCGCTTTTTCTCTTGCATAATTTTCCCCGTTGACATATCTGAAAATTAGACAGGTAAACGGAGAGAGAGATCGGTTTTGACATCTCTCTCTCTCTCTCTCTCTCTCTCTCTCTCTCTCTCTCTCTCTCTCTCTCTCTCTCTCTCTCTCTCCCATCCCTTGGCGGCAATAGTTCTATAGTTTTTCCAGATTCGGTATAAAAGTAAAAAGGAGGGTTTTTAGACCTGCCCGACTGGGTCAGGAATGGGCCCATACAGAGCCCAAAAAAGCCCAATCCCCGCTCTCTCTCCTTCGCACAAGATATGGGCCGAGCCCATTGGGAATATTAAGAATCAGTCCAAAAAACTTCCCTGTTTGTTTAACGATATTTAATTTTAAGACCCCTATGAACAAACAGCCTTACACTTTTGCCGGTAGGTCTCAAAACCTTCAGTCAAAGCCTTTCTCGCCGCAGCAATTGAAATGACATTTATACCCTTCATAACAATCAAAGCCCTGAACTCCGACGATTTGTTTATATCTCATCCATTCCCTCCTTCCTGGCTCGACCCCTTCTTTATTGTTTGGTGAGGGCTATGCCAAATTTTTTTCTGACATTTTATTATTAAATATAACAAAAGACAATATTGTTTTAAAATTTGATATTTTTTATAGGGGGGTTAGACTAAATAACCTCTCCCTCTTGGGTGTATTAACTAAGGTGAAATTGATATGATCCCACTAGTAAAACTCTCTTTTTCAGAATAAATAATAGAGAAAAATATGAAACAATAGAGAAATAGACTCCAAGGAATAAATATATCCCAAGGGGATCTAGCATACATTTGTGGAGATGGTTGTGCCATGTGGCACCAGCTTCATCAAAGTGTCGTGTGGCATCTGCTCTATTAAAGTGCCATGTGGCAACAACTCCTGAATAGTAGTACTAGGATGGATGACCTCCTGAGAAGATTATGTAACAAACCAAGCTTTTAAATAATAAAAAATGAGGTCTATTGCCTCTCCTCTTATGACTTACTAGAAAAAGTCAATCCTTATTGATTCAAGAAAACCCTAATATTCTTATTTGTTCTCAAACTTAGGACCACTTTACCCTCATGAAACCCTACTAATTAAGGGCTTTTCAGGGTTTTGTTCATCCTTTGGTGGTAGATAAGTGGCGATAAAGTCTGATCTCTTGGTTTATTTAATGACTTGGGGGTAATATTTTATTAAAAGAAGTAAAGTCCCTCACGTGGGGTAAATATTTTTCATAATATTATCATTTTTTAAGATCCATAATTATAAAGACCTTGGACATTGATGACAACAGCTGACCAATTAATTTATAGTACTTCCGTTTTGACTAAAGACTGGGTTTTTTCCCAATTCGGCATTTTTTTACATGGGTTTAGAAAAAATAGCCAATGCATTAATGGACACAAAATCCTGACTAAGTATACTCCATGAAGTTGGGGCGAGGATCACTGCCAATGAAATTCGATCCTCTTATTTTTTGAATGCTTCGAGGTTTATATTTTTATCAACAAAAGTGAGGCCGGGATTCTGGGTTTTTTTTTTTTAGTATTCTCGTGTGTTTCAGAAAATACCCATAATTGGAAAGATTCTGGAGATCAGCGACGACCTTGGCATTGAAGAGGAATAGGATTAAGCTGGCAGTGACAGCCCTTGCATGACCAGCAGGCAGGAGGGAGATAATGGGGACGACGGTGGACGGGGGCCGAGCCTCGTGAGCCTGCATGGGATTCAGGTTGGTTAAAGACCTCGTCTTTCTCACCACTGGCGGCTCCTTTGTCTCACCCTTAAGCGGGTAGAAGTGGGTTCATCCTAATTCTACTTGGGGGAGAAGGGGGAGGAGACCCAGAGCGAAAGGCTCGGTCTTCTCCACCAAAGTTCGATCACAGGGACAGCGGCTGGGGAGGAGGAGACTGGGAGAGGAGTTGGTGTCGTAGGCGTGGCCGGGATTTATGGTGGAACCTATCGGGAGCTGATGCGGCGCCGCCATGAGCGCATTTACGGTCCCCAACTACCTCACCAGGCTAATTCATTTCGATCCACGGGGGAGGCCCCTTCTTTGTTCGTGCCTCTGTTGCCCTCCCCTCCCCTCCGCCTTCTCCCGCTCCTCCGTTCGCCTCCCGGGGATCCGTCGCTTCTCTCGTCTTCCATTTCCCAAGGCCCTCTCAGGTGAGTCTGCTTCTTCTTTGCTTACTTCGGCGATGAGGACAGAGTTCCGTGGCTGGACTCTTGTAGAGACGCAGGACACTGCGTCGCCATGACCACTAGACGTCCTTTCCTCGGGTGGGGCTCTGCGTCGATCACCCACCCCACCTACCCTCGTGGGGCTTTTGTGTCCCATCTGCCACAGTTCCCACTTTTGAATAATTGCTAGCTGGAAAGGTACCCAACTATCTTCCGAATGCATCGGGGACTAGTCAATAAGGGACAACATCTCCTGCTAGCCGCCCAGGAGACAAAGGTGGCTTTTGGAGATCTCCCCGGAGAGGATTTTGCTATTTTCTCAACCATATATCTAGAAATTTTGTAATCTTCTGTGGCCCAGGTCTTTCGATTCGTATAGAAGTAGTCTATAAATCTTCCTTTATACTCTGTGATCGATTGGTACCCACGGTGGGTGTGCGTAGCTCTCTCGGCTGACTGTGAAGACTGAGTGTCCTTCTACGTATTTCTTGTCCTTTGTAGCGGGTGGTGCCATGCCCCCAGCTGATTCGTCCATGGAGGTTGTCAAGGCTGTGCTCAAACGATGTTCTGTCCAGCCAGAAAGTGTTGTGATAAGAGACCAGCACAAGAGCTACAGCTATGCTCAACTCATCTCTTCTTTTTGGAAGATATCCGATATCCTATGCAATGAAGACTTGAGCCGGGTAATATGGGTTCTTACTTACTGCAATTTATTTGATTCTGATGTACATTCATAAAGAACGACTTTGGCGAAATGATGGGCATTCGGCCTGCAGAGGGGATTTTCATTATTGTCAAGAGGACTGTTACATTGAGAAAATGTGAAAATGCAGATGACATAGATTAGAAGATAGAAAAAAGTTTTTTTTTAATTATAAAACTATTTTTTCGACGAGTATTTCATCCTGTTTTCGCTTTTTAAGAAGCCCTCTAGCTCTCCTCTGACATACTTTGATGTGGGTGCAGCCCTGCACTAGGGCCACAAATGGAATCTCCACGAACGGGATCAAAGGAGGGAGAGGTCTGCGGGGGGCTCGGATAGGAATTGTTGCCAAACCATCGGCTGAATTTGTTGCTGGAATATTTGGCACATGGCTCAGCGGGGGAGTTGCTGTGCCACTTGCTGTCAGCTATCCTGAGGCTGAGCTCCTACACGTGATGAATGATTCAGTGAGTTAATTCCTCTTTCCTATATTTTATTTTCTATTGACTTATCATCATCATCAGAGGAATTCCTGATGCAGCATAAATCTCCACATTCTGTGCAGTAATATTCCGTTTTCTCCTCATCTTAATCCTAGAGCATGTGGTAATTTTTATTTTTTTTCAAAATTGGCATTAGTGCCTCTAAATAACTAGTGGGGACCTTCAATCATACATGTTTCAATTTTATTTGTCTAAAGTCCACTTTCATATTCTTTCTTAGGAAGAAGACAGTTTGAATTTATTTAATTTAATGTAGCACTAATAGATTGTCTCCATGCGGAAAGAGATCTTGCCTATGTAACTAACCCCTACTGATGGTTTTGAGAACGTTATTAGTTGAAGTGTATAGCGTACAAATATTTATTTATTTATTTAGTCCGTTTTAAGCCAGATAATGTTTTATATGATACTCTAACACTATTTCATTGTTAGGATGTCTCTGTCGTTTTGTCCACTGAAGAGCATCAAGAACTCCTCAAGAGTGTTGCTGTGAAATGTGGTGCTCGGTTTTCTATTATCTCCGATGTTCTGAACAGTACGACATCCGATCTGGGGTCACTGAGGAAAGAAATGGATGATTCAAGTTGTATAGTTGAAGGTGATCACTGGGGGGCCTCACTCTTTATCATTCAGTAGACTGAGGCACACTCAATCAATTATTTGGTCATGCAGGAGATGGCAATGCACTGATTGTCTACACGAGTGGTACAACTGGCAAACCCAAAGGGGTGGTCCACACTCACGCAGGCATAACTGCTCAGGTGAAGATTTTTTTCAAATCATTTACACTCTAAACATAAAACGGGCCGTTCTACGGCACATTATTTATCTAATTATATCTTATGCTATTTTATTTTTTTCTTCAAGAACGGATGAGCATGACACACCTTAGGGCAGTATTTTTTTTTCTCTTTAAACTTTGTTGCTTCTTGAAAAGTATATTGCAAATTATCTATGTTTTCCGCTTGACAATTTTGATCACGAATAACCTGTGGATGTAGTTTCATCTTTTTTGGGTAGCGATCTTTACGGGATGTTTTGGTGTATAATAAATACTCTTCTGGCCCGATTGCAGGTCGAAATTCTGACAGAAGCATGGGAATATTCATCTGCTGATCAGTTCCTGCACTGCCTTCCTTTGCATCATATCCAAGAAATGAAACGATTTTTTGTGATCTTTATTTCTGAATATGAAATGACAGATTATTTCTGTTTCATTTTTTCTGAAGGCTGAGGTTTATTGTGCACAGTCCTTAACCCCCACCTCACATGTGCATGGTCTTTTCAATGCCCTACTTGCACCTCTTTATGCTGGCTCTGTGGTAATAATCTTGTCAGAAGCTATCCATTCAAAACAAGCTTTCTGTTATTTGTTGTTGAGAAGGTTTTTTACTCCTTGAGTTTCTAGGTTGAGTTTATGAACAAATTTAGCGTTCGTGGAATCTGGGAAAGATGGCGTGAATCTTACCCCAAAGATGGTTCTAAAGTTGATAACGCTGTCACTGTTTTCACTGGGGTAAGCGATCCCATCACAGACCAATGTGTTCTCCTCACAATGTTGAATTTCCCTTTTGAGATGATGTGACCCGTACGATTTTAGAATTATCTTCAAGATTCATACTTTACTGTCATAAATTGGTTATCTGCCATGTTACTTATAGGAAAGGTGTATAAAAATGGAAATATATTGGGTCGGGTGTATAATGCTTTTCAGAAAAACACAAAGCAGCGTCCAATGAGATAAGGTTTCCTGAAGTGTGGCCACCAGATGAGGTCTGATGATCCACTTGATTTCATGGGGAACATGCTGATATCACTGTTTCCTTTTTTGGAAGGCTCCAAAAATAATAATAATAAAAATAATATATATATATACCTCATGGGTAAGGTTTCCTTCGTTGTCCTTCTTACTTGCAGTTGAGGCAAGGCATTTCAGAAAGTCTTGTCTCAATTTAATGAAACCAGTGGATCTACAGAGTTCTTATTTCCTGTGAGGCTGAGGTTACTTGTGTTGGTCTCCTTTCCTTCTACGAGTAGTTCTATGATTTTTGCATACCGTAGAGATGGCCCTTCAAGCTTCCATATTCCATCCTTCGCTACTTAATGGTTAAGTTTATTGTATACTATTGTTGCTGATGGAGGGGGACTTACTATTTTAGGTCCCAACAATGTATACAAGGCTTGTACAAGGCTATGAAGCCATGGAACCAGAACTGCAATCAGCTTCTGCATATGCTGCGAGGCAGCTGCGTCTCATGGTAAATGGCATGTATCATTTTTCTCCTATGTGAAAACTAGCTTTTCTTAACTCTATATCATTATGATGAGAGCATTAAACGTCAAGTTAATCTTTTGGACCTTTCCATTTGGCAAAACTGAGGTAAACCTCTTCTTCGATTCAGCAAAAATGGATAATTTTCTGCTGTTGGTTTGGTTCGTTATTTTATTTACTCTACTATTGATTCAGGTGATGGAAGACCGAGGTATCTTTCTATTTGTCGTTTTACAACGTTGGATTCAGTCGTCGTCTCTAAAACCATGTCAAACCATCTTGAATGAAGAAAATTATGTGCATCCTCTGACCATAATATCGTCTTCTCAGTCTACCGTTGGTTACTGAACTTCACTTTATTTTTGCTTATTTCAAAGCCTCCGTTAAACTGGGCTGCAACTACCTTTTCCAGCTGAAGTGAAATTTCATGACACCATTCAAAATAGAAGAGATGACTATTGAGCTTCTTGTCTCAGACCGGTCAAAATTTTATAAAATTCATCATGCTCTCCATTAATATGGATAGAAAAACCTAGTTGGAAATATACTATCCTTTACAAATTCATCCATTTTTTTTGAAAAATCATCGAATGAAGGTCCTATGCTCTCTGTGGTTATGATTTCAAATAAACTTTTCTTGCGAACTCCTGTCCATTAGTTTCCTGGGTGATTTCGTTGAAGCCAAAGTCAATATTTTTCGACAATTGCGTAGCTGAAGAGGTTTTATTCTGCGAGGAGAAGGGTTATGCTAGGCAATATATTGAATAAACTTTCTTTTTTTTTATTTTCTTGATGGGCTATTGTTTGCTTTAAGCTGGTTGGTTTTTTTTTTTTTGGATACGTTTCTTATCATCGAGGAATATGAATAAACTATAGAAAAAGGTTATATCTCAAATTAACAGTAAACGAAACTTTAGACCACGTTCAGTGGAATTGCCATGCAGGATTGAGTTTGTTTATTTATTAATTTTCTTGGAAATAATTGAGGCATATGGCCATTTCCTCAGATGTGTGGCTCATCTGCACTTCCCTATCCTCTCATGAAACAATGGGAAAGTATAACAGGCCACTGCCTCTTGGAACGCTATGGCATGACTGAGGTGGGTTACGCCCTTTCTAGCTTAAGCTCTCATTTTTTTTGAAGCAGCAACTTCTATTCATACATCTTCATTAATGGTAGATTTTGCACTGCTAACCAGCGAATTTCTCTTGACAGTTTGTCATGGCATTAGCTAATCCTTTGCATGGTGTAAGAAAGGGAGGCACTGTCGGAAAACCCCTCCCTCGTGTTCAGGTATGTCATTTTTAATAAATTAACCTCAGTTTATTCACTGCTTATTTGGTTGGGCATGTACAATGCAGGTGTGCCATTCATTCCATAATGCAAATTATGTAATGTTTTATCTTTTATGCATTAGTATATTCACATTGATGGCCACGGATTAGTGATCCATCACACCTTACCAATAGGGAAAATCAGTGTCTCTACTGTTATGAACGTGATGAATTGACAGCTATGCCCATGCCTATGCTCTTTTGATTCTCTGGGACTTTCGATCTTTAATTGTGACTTTGGTCTATTATTTGGAGTTTGATGTTTCGCTCAATATTATATCTTTATATAAATACATGTGCCTTGCTATCGTTATAATGTTAGCTGGAGAAGGTACTGGAGAAAGAACATGGATTGACATGGTCAACGCCTTTGACATTCTATTGATGTTTCTTTTACTAAATGTATGATCTTTGGCGTTTATGTTGCTTAGTGATGGATAGTTACAACTTATAGTCAGTACATTATTCATTATCTGTTGTTGGGAGCATATATATATATATTTATTATATAATAAATAACTGCTTCATCTGAATTGATTATTGCAAGAATGTGGCAGAGATAATCTTTTCTCGTTAACTGATGGGCAGGTCAAAATTATTTCTGAAGATGGTAATGAAGTCAACTCGCCTGACGTGGGCGAACTTTGCGTTAAAAGTCCTTCATTGTTCAAGGAATACTGGAAACAGCCTGAGGTATTTTTTATTACCCCACGCATGTCCCTTAAGATGCTCATTTCCTTAAACCTTTTTTACGCTCATAATTATTTGCAATTCAACCCTCACAAGTACTCTAGATCGGTTTTTTTTAAATAAAGTGGATTTTTTTGAAATATTATAGCATCTTTTATACCTCCTCGTAATTGTTATTCATGTTGACCTTATAAGGTTACGAAGGAATCCTTTGATGACAATGGCTTTTTCAAGACTGGAGACACTGTCAGAGTGGACGAGGATGGGTACTACGTCATCTTGGGACGTAAGGGAGCTCTCTCTCTCTCTCTCTTTCTCTCTCTCTCTCTCTCTCTCTCTCTCTTTCTCTCTCTACTGTTTATGTGTTATCTAATTATATTAGGTAAACTTTTTGGCGCAGAGGCTGTTAATTTTCACTGCTAATTCCATCACAAGTAGGAATATGATGACATCAAATGCAGTATAATATGTGCATAATCCATTATTATTATTATTATTATTTATGCAGAAAATGGAAGCTGACTCCATTAATGATGTCAAACTTCTCTGCTGTAGTTTCTGTTTTCCCATCAATCTGGAAGTCTGAAGTCACTTGCTTCTGCAGGCAGCAGCGCTGATATAATGAAAGTCGGCGGTTATAAGTTGTCAGCTCTGGAAATCGAGTCAATAATCTTGGAGGTCATAATGTTATAAGCTTCCATGTTTTATGCTTTAAATAGCATAAAACATGCTATTTAATTTGGGTTGACCACCAAGCGGTCTCCCCAGCCACCCCGCCGTCCCCTATGCTTTCAACTCTTAAAAGGATTTAATTTGTCTTGGACAGCATCCAGCTGTGTCAGAGTGCTCTGTCATGGGTCTGCCTGACGAGGACTACGGAGAAGCAGTTAGCGCTGTCATTGTTCCTGTGGCAAGTGCTAGGGACGCGGCCGAGTCCAAGCCAGCTCTGACCCTGGAAGAGCTACGGATTTGGTCCAAGGATAAGCTTGCTCCATACAAGGTCTCTCTCTCTCTCTCTCTCTCATATTTCCAGCTCAGGTGGGCTCCCATTCTGTGTTTGGTACATCAAAGTTAGCTTCTTTTCTTTTTGTACTAGGAATCTCCTCAGTTGACCTTTCTCTTTCCTCACTACTGCTACATTTTTTGTCTGCTTTCTGACACATCTTTGCCTTGAGCCGTATGATACTAAAAAATGTCAACGGGCAGGGTTGTCGGGCCGGAGTCTGTTTCCTTCTGGGCTTCATTTTGAGGCCCAAGACAGGGAAATGAGCCAAGATGGGCTCTTCGCCAGCCCGGCTTGACCCATGTGATGCAATCTAATGGATTCCTCTTCTTTTTCAGATTCCCACGAGACTCTTTCTGTGGAATTCTCTTCCCCGAAACGCAATGGGAAAGGTGGCCTCTGTGTTTCCCTCTATTTTTTTAAAAAATCGGATCTTTTTCAGATGGGAATGCATTCCGTGTATCATTCTGATTCCTAGCTTCGCTCCAGGTGAACAAGAAGGAATTGAAGAGGTTGCTGGAGTAAAGCGCAAGGCACTGTTGTGAACGATGTTCCACGTCGGTGACAATGAATTATTCAACCTTTTTTTGCTGTTTTATGCATTTACCGGATGAACCTTTGACCTCTGGGTTGACCTCAACTTTGGGTCTTTCATTGACCAATGGGCGGTTTATGAGCTGACCTATTGCCCCAAAAAGTCAGCCCATTAAATAAAGTAGGCCCGGCCCAGTGCCCTTTCTCTCTCTCTCTCTCTCTCTCTCCTTCTCTCTCTCTCTCTCACTCTCTCTGAATCGTTATTTCCACACACAGACATGCAGACACGCAGAGACACACAGAAGTAGATAGATAGTATCTAGCTAGACTGACGGCATTCGTTATTCAAAGCATCCGTTAACGGAGTCTACCAGCAGGTCCTCGTACCCGGAAAGCAGGCATATTTCAGAGGGCCTTGAGGATCTCTTCGGCTCCGGAGACGGTGAACTGGCCGCCCTCTTCCACGTTGGCAACTTTGACCTTGAGGTCGTCCACCAGGAGGGCGAACCTCCTGGACCGGGTCCCGAGCCCCTTGTCCGATAGGTCCAGCTCCAGGCCGAGGGCGTGGGTGTAGGTGCCCGAGCCGTCAGCTAGGAACTTCACCACCTTGTTCTCTGGGTAGCTCTTAGCCCAAGCCTTCATCACGAAGGGGTCGTTGACTTCAATCAAAATAAAATGATCGTAAGAAGATTGATGGAGATCAGTATGCATCTTAATTTACACGAACAACCCACTTTATTTGCAAATGTTATTAAACAGGCATATTTTGTAAATTATTATAAAAAAATAATCCGACATAGCAAGCGTTGACAAGGCTTTGGTGGGGTCTCTGTGCTGGAAGCTAGGAGCCCAGTTGAGAGCACCTCATGGTAGAAACAGAAGGGTTGCAGGTTAGCTGTGTTGATGTCTTAAAATGGAGGGGAGTAGGATTGAAAAATATTAACCTGGGGAAGAACAGGCGCAAATAGCAATCTGGGCAAAAATACGTGGGGAAATGTTCGATGAGTACAGTGTCTGTGGATGAGGCAATACTAGACGATAGCAAGTTTGGTTGAATGAATGTTCTTCGGCAACTAACCAGAGAGTGTTTCATCGAATTGGTACACAACAACGGATGCAAGAGCTACTTATTGCTGTAAGTTGACAAGGGTAATGGGGTTCTCACCCTCTCTAGACTGGGAGGAAGGTCAACGTCTCAGGTGCCCGCTTTCATCTTTACAGCGGATTCCAATGATGCGTTCCAGAAAAGATTCAAGCCATGGGATGCCACATCTTGAGATTGAATAATGCCTAAAAACCTTAGGATAATAACGGACGATGCTAGGTGGGCTGCTCACCATTGAGATCAGATTAAAGGACCAACGTAGAAGACTTCTTTGATCATAATCCCGAATTATGAAAGGATTAAGTAAGATAACAAGACAATGATGTGGAAGAGAGTAGAACAAATAAAAAACTCAGGATCTAGGTATATTCTTTTAACCATTGTTTCAGCTTTTCTAGGCTGTTTTGACATATGGATACAGTCTTTTCTTCCTATGTGGATCAACTGTGATCACGAATCACCGTTTTTCTTCCCAACTATCTCCAACTATAGAAACCTTTTGGTTTCTTTCGTCTACCCGACTGCACTGCCGGGGCAACACCATGTTCTTAAGGATTTACCAAACAAAAGCGATGGATGGAATCTTGAGAACCAGAGAACGTACCTAACTTGGTTCCGGTTCTTCCATATGACGTCCAAAAACCATTTCCCAGAACAGGAAGAAAAGGAAATTCCCAGAGCACGGAAAGACTCGAGGTGGTTCTCAGGTAGAGTGTCTGATGAAGTCGACTCCTCACTAGCCTACTACCCGATCCCTAAAACGCTTTAATATTTCTTTTCTCCCTGAATTCCTTTCAAGTACTACAGCGTAATAACTACTAACACGCAAAGGAATGTCTGATCAGACCTACTGAGCCATGTTACGCATGAAGGAGGGAGTAACAGGTTGATTCACATGGAACTAGCTCGACCGATCCATAACCTATCATAAAATTGGGACAACTTGGATCTAATGAGACAGGCACAAACTAAATTAAAAAAAAAAACATGAGAAAAACTACAAAAGTGTACCGCTAATGCACAGGATCTCATCCACTCCCTTGGACTTCAGCTCATCAGCACTCTCGATGAACCCAGGCACATGCTTCATGCTGCCCATGGAGATCCACAGGTTAGTTTCCTCACAGAGAAGTTACATTTGGTCCCTCCGCACCGACGATATGCGGGATCAATAACTTAGCAGCAGAGTCGAGATCAGGGAAACCAAATCCCGCCGCTGCTGGAGGGGGTTTGGGGGGAGGTCGATTACCTGCAGGTTGGGGTGAACGCGCCGGGGACACCAAAGAGCACGATCTTCTTGCCGGCGGCAAGGGAGTGGATGGCGAGCTGCTTGAGCTCGTCCTCCTCATCAAACCACGCAAGAGTGCCCTCCGGGATCGTATCGCCGACTGCAATCGGTGCCATCTTCTCTCCCTCTCTCTCTCTCTCTCTCTCTAGGTTCCACGTTTTTAGAGGATTGCTGCCCAAAGAAGAGATGTCGACATCTGCCCAAGCCACGTGTCCTCTTAATGGGACTGAACTCTTCCCACGGACTCGGCCCGAATTTTCCGGTCCAAGTTTCAAAATAGGCCGTATATAATATAGGCCCGGGCCGGGCCCAATTACTGGCGGGCCCGATAATAATTATTCGAGATCCAGCCTAGAGCTCGCGTCAAGAATCCGGGCTGGGCCCGTCGTATAAAAACCAGGCCCGGACCGGGATGGGCCACGGCCGGGCCGACCCGTTCGTTGGTTCTCGACCGGCGTCGCAGCCCTATTGACTCCAATGCCAGCTGTCGTCTATATAATTTGAACAGGGACAATAAAATATCTCACACTGTAAGGTCAAACCCGAAGACCCGGACATCCTTAAGCAAGCTAAGTCCGGCCCACCACTGAACTCCGGCCAAGAGCCAGCTCACACGTGGGCTCCGCACCAGTCCTCCAGGGTCAACGCCGCCACTCCCACGTTCTTCATGTCCACAATGTTCGCTGGGTCAAGAATCAATCATGACGTCAGCATCATCCATCCCATTCAGCTCCACACAACCGTTGATCCAGTCAACGTTTCGTGAAATGAACTGCAGAGTGGACCTACCAGAGTGGACCTCAGGGGTTGCAGCAGCCGTTGCATCGGAAATCACAGTCACCTGCTGGTAATCCAGAGCAACTGCATCGAAGACCGTCTGCCTGATGCAGTTTGGCGTTTGGACACCTAAATAATCGAACCATTAAATAACCCAAAACGGCAAATAAAAAGTCAACCATTTCCTGATATAAAAATTCTTCACTCAGACAAGCCCAGCACGATTTCTCACCAACAACGACCAATCTTGAGATCCCAGAGCCCCGAAGAAGGGAATGCAGGTGGGTCGCGAAGAACGCGCTGAAGCGGGTCTTGGTCAACTTGTAGTCTCCTTCTTTGATCACCAGCCCGTCAACAAGTTCTGCACCCTCGGAGCCCTTGGCGGTGGGCCCGGTACCGTTGACATACAGGTGCCTGCGAAAGAGCTCCACGTCTCTTCCACGAGGATCGTGCTCCCGCACAACCTGCAGTATCCCATGGCCGTTTCCCCTCGCATCATATGACAGCAATAAAGAGAAGAAATGGCGGAAGCAACTATCATTCAAAAGTACAAAGATAATTCGCTCATAAAAAAAACGGATCATTTTTCTGATAAATCGATCATTAAAAAATCACTTAGATCGAGCATGATCATTAGCTGGGGATTATTTGCCATCGATGGCTAATTTTTGGGCCTTTTTTTTTTTTTGGTGGCGTCACCTATCCATCATTAAAATCAGAAATTATTTTTATTAATCTGGGGAAGAAAGCATTTATTATAATCCACCAGATGGAAATTCATGGGAATATATCAGACAAACGAAGCGTAATGCAGCAGTCCCTTCGTCAGATGGAATGATGATTTAGAGGGAAAAATATGGGAAGTGTTTCAGAGTTCAGTAAACCCTCAAGAGAGAACTAAAGAGCGTTGACTTCTGTTGATTCTGGGACGAACCATCGGCAAGACAAATGCAGATCAAATCCAAACAGAGGCAGTTCAGGAACTCACTGGTGAGAAGGATTTACACGGAAGAATGTCATAGTCAACAAACTGTATTAGAAAAAAACAGATTCGGAAAGGAAATATAAATTAAAATATCTGCATCCTGCGGAAGGAATCGTGTATTCATCGAAGTATGAACATGAATGACACTCGCGAAACTTGGAACAGACGCAGATCGAAGGCTTGGATCGGACAGCAAAAAAGATAATCAATCTTTTCGCATCGAAAGCGGAGAAACAGAACTAGCAGAAACTCACCCAGACAAGGAGGATTCCGCGCTCCCTGGCGACTGAGACGGCTCTGATTACTGAAGGAACAATGGCCTCCCCACCGAGGACGTGCATCGGACTCCCGGGGCGAATGAAGTCCTTCTGCAACAAAACTCGAGTGAGGAACTGGATCTCATATAATTACCCCAGATAACATCCAAGATGAACAGAAAACAGGGAGCGCGGTCCAGGTCAAGCCGTCAGTCCAAGGCCAAAACGACGAGGAGAGAAAAGAGAAGCACGCGCTCTTAAGGTTCTCTCACCTGCATGTCGATAACGAGCATGGCCGTCTCCTTCCAAATCGCCGAAGCAGCCATGGCGATGGAAGCTCTGGGCGGAAAGGGCATCCACGACCTCTTCTGCGGGAGACCGTGGAGAAAAAGATGAGGGAGCTTATGTGCTGATTTTTATTTTTTTTAAAGAGAGAGGGTAATTTGGTAATAATAAAAAATGAGATAATTATTGAAAGGGTAAAATGTTACTCCGTGACCAGTGCGTGGCCCCCGGTACGAATCTTCGATCGTATTCCTCTCCGCCGATCACCGGAGGTGGCGTCTGGTCAGCGAGAATCGTTGCCGAATGCTCTGCTGTTCTCGATTTCTCAGGGGGGAAGGGAGTGAGAGGGGTGAGGAAGATCTCAAGAAGAGGAGGCGGGAAAGGGCGAAGGGGGATGCAGAGGGTGAGTATTTCGCAGCTTCTAAGGAAGCCGACTTGGGGGAGGCATGTCTGCCCCCCATCTTCGTCTCGCTCTCTCCACGTCTGCGTCGTTGGAAGCGGCCCCGCGGGCTTCTACACCACCGAGAAGGTGACGGGTGGAGCGTACTCGGTCTTCGTGTTTTATGTTCTATTCTCTACTTTGGTTCCCAAGATCTGAATGGTTGTCCTGATGCTGCTTATTCACTTTTGTGGCTCTTAGTATCTTCCCTCGGTTGATTGTTTGGCTTTCTCGCTATTGAAATTCTCTCATTGCTCTGTTATGTTTATAGAGCCGAAAGAGTATGTATTTAGTTTTCTTCCAGATGTTTTAGCTGCCATAAGAAGGAATCAAGAAGCAAGTATCGATGCTTTGCCAAATTTCCCTATTCGCATGGTATAAAGCATCCACATTATCTTTCTTTGGTACATTGATCCTAATGAATAAAAAAAGTAATGTAACTAAGTCAACGCTTTAGCAATTATCCATATCAGGGAAAGGCTAAATGAAATGTATTAATTGGCGAAAAATATTGAGAAATATTCTATTCTTGCCATCTACGGTGTTTCAGAGAGTGGAATGACCAATATAGCCTTACAGAGTGCAGATTGACAACTCATGGTTAAAATGAACTATTTAGTAGCAGTCAACAGCATTGGTATGCTCACTTACTTGCTGTGCCATGAATTGCCCCTGCGGGCTACTAGAAGGACATGAAATTCGCAATCTGTGGACTGGTGTCCTCAATCTGATGAACGAAGAATATCAGTGTTCATGGCATTTTTTGAAATGACGTCTGATGCCATTGTATGGAAAGCCAACATCAGAATATAAAGAGAAAGTTGACGATATGATATTGGTCGTTTCTTCTTGTTATTTAGAGAAAAGCCTTCAGAGGGTTGGTACAATTTCCTGTGGATGGTTCTTTGCCTTCTGAGATGTTTCTGGTTTGGTGTATGCATGGATGTCCTTATGGCTCTTTTTAATCTCTAGTGTCTTACCTTATCCAGCCATTTTTTCATATATAAGACCACCAAAAAGCTGACAAAAGTCTCTTATGTTTTGAATTTCATTTTATTGAAAATTTATTACCTTAACTTTTAGTGAAATTAACTTCAGGGTGCATTCTCTTTCCTCTTTTCATCTGAATTTTTTGAAAAAGATATATTTTGTGCATTTTCCCTTTAGCCCTTCAAATGGGTCCGATTTTTCTTTTGATTTATCCGTCAGTTACTTCGGACGTGTCTACCCTACTGATGTTCTTTCTGAGATTTTAAACTGTAAATCTAGTTTAATTTTTTTTTTGAATGCAATTGATTGTGATGGCTTCTTCTCAGTTGGCCTTAATGCACTGTTCCCTACATTTGATATTGCTTAGTAAGTGGTTGTGCATTCAGAACCTATTGCATAAAGAGTGTATTTTTTGTTCGTCATATGCTGGGGATTCGTATTAATGCTTCCTATATGCTGCCGAGAGTAAAACTTAGCAACTATACTCCGCCAATGAATATTTCAATCTAGTGGGGTTCCCGGCTTTTGATTCATCATGTTATTATTCATGTTGTCAACTTTTATCAGATATTGAAGTATCATAATGGAGCTAAAATCGACATTGTTGATCGATTGCCCACACCATTTGGATTAGTTCGTTCAGGTGTGGCACCAGATCACCCAGAAACAAAGGTGATGATTTATTTTTTTCCCCGCTTATGATAATTGTTGAAACTTTGTGACCTTCTCGTCATCTTTAAGCAAGTTATAAGTTCTCTCATTAGATTTTTTTTAGTCGAATCCTCATTTTTGATATGCTAGACCTTACTTAAATCTTACTATTTTTTCTGGCTTTTGAGCTGTCCTATCCTCCAACACGTCCTCCACCCCCCTCCCGGGGAAAATCTTAGTGAAAAAGAAAAACCGACTATGGTTGTCATTTCTTCTGCCTGTTATGTAGGAAGGACTAGATAATGGTGCATTGGGGGGTTGATACTGTACAGAAAATTGTACGATAAATTCATAAAAGTTCTCAATGATGGTGAGAATACTGTACGTTTTTTGCAAGTTATTAAAATGGGCATGGAACAATATCATGGGATAGCGAATATCTATAGGAATACATTCAGTCACTTATTCAGCACCGCTTTGTGACAGAGCATGCTGGGATTTTGTTAGTTTTTAGGCATTTATATGTACCTGACACTCATCTTTTACTTATTGTTTACTTAAACTTCTTGTATACCTGAAAAGATTTCCCTGTAAATTAAGTATTTTTGGTAAATGATTTGGAGCTTATTGCCACCAGAAACTTGGCAACAGATTGTGACCAACCAATTTTCTCGCGTTGCTTCAAATGAGAGGTGTTCATTCTTTGGAAATGTATCACTCGGAAGGGACATATCTCTCTCCGAGATACGTGAGATCTATGATATAGTGAGTCACAACGTCTTCTTTTGGTTTTAAATCTCTTTATTGCTATCATTTGGACTGACTTATGCTTTGTATGAATAGGTTGTGCTTGCTTATGGTGCCGAAAGTGACCGAATCCTAAATGTTCCTGGGGAAGTATGTTTGAAATCTCTCTGCCTCGCAATTGGTTGTTGTAAATTCACAGATTGCTGAGTATTAGAATATATGAACGGTCCAATAAGCTACCTGTAGACAGGTGGGCCCTGTTTGCAAGTTGAAATTGTTTTCATTAGAGCTTCTGCATGTGTCATTAAACCCTTTGACAACTTTCCCCTTCTACATCAAGTTGTTTGCTGGTATCTTATTGTTTTTACTCGAAAATTTTGTTTTTTCCCTTTTGATATGGAAAGCCTCTGTTATGGTGTTTAGTTGATAATGTATCTTACCTTTTATATAGAACTTGCTTGGGATTCACTCTGCTAGAGAATTCGTCTGGTGGTACAATGGACATCCTGACTGCAACAACATGTCTCCCGACTTAGAGAACACAGATACGGCTGTCATTCTTGGTCAAGTAAGGCCTTTTATTTAAAAATTTTATGCATGCTCTTCGATGCCGAACTAGGGATAGATTATGCATGTACAGCTACTTGTTCTCTTCCTACATTAATTCAAATTCTACATGCTATTATTCTTGATCATTTGATTACAACAAGAGCAGCTTGGGAGGGCCAAATCTCATAGTTTTAATGGGTCATAACCTAGACAAATTTCATGGCGTGCTAGCACATCTTTAGCCCTTTATGTCACCTTAAGTTTCCTTAGTTCTCGCTAATGGTTAGTATAGTTAGTCGATCCGTGCACTTCGTGTTTCGTCTCCTTTCTTTCAATAAGATTGAGACTTGATCCTTGCAACATTGGGAATATTTTGTGTTTTGGGGCATGTTGAAAACGTCATCTATACTTTTCTGGAGAGATTGCGATCTTATCTCTCAAAAGATTCCTCCATATAAGGTTCATGGTCTTCTGCAGTATACTGCAAATCGCTCATAATGGAAGTAACATTGCATAACGAAATTTTTTCATCTTTTTTGTACTTGACATTGTTATATTGGGTTGAGCATTTTGGACTGGAAAGAAGGCATGCCAAGAATATTCATCGACAGTTGAACTCACGGATAGGAACAAAGATATTGCATTTTATTATTCATGAAGTTAAGTCTGTATTGATGAGAAGCTGCACTAGATTTCAGGGTAATGTAGCTCTTGATGTCGCACGTATACTTCTACGGCCAACGAGTGAATTAGAGACAACAGATATAGCTGATCATGCATTAGAGGCTCTTTATAAGAGCTCTATAAGGTTCGACTTAATCTGAAGATTCCACAGAGCTTATTTATATAACTTGATCCCGAGACTTTGGTAGTATATTAATTCGACACCCACTCAGATCTGAGTTCAGATTTAATAAATGGCAACAGGAAGGTGTGCTTGGTTGGAAGACGTGGACCAGTGCAAGCAGCATGCACTGCAAAAGAGCTGCGAGAAATTCTCGGTAAATTTCTTGCTATCATCGATCTTTCTCAAAAATGAGACGCAAACAACCCACAGTTTGCAATTTTTTCTTTTCCTTACATATCAGATATGAGTGAATTGGAATATGAGGAAAAGAAACCGATGGGCCTTCTTTTTGCAGGTACTAAAGACTTGAGCATTCACATTAAGGAATGTGATCTATCTAGTTCCTCTGCTGACGAGGTATTTCCTCTCCGAGTTCCTATATCTGGAACCATCCACTGCATCCTAGAATAATAAAAGATGAAACATATGTTTATCCTAATATCTATTGTAAGTATGAAATCATTCTGTCAAGCTGTTTTTTTTTTTTAGATATTCAGTACAGAAATATTGAAATAGCTTTCTCACGAAACCATTGTAAGCAACTGTTAGCATGTGCTGCCCTCAGTCTTTTGTGGGGAAGTTACTCTGTCAAAATCTGGCATTTCTATTCGTTACCCTCTTTTAGCCATATGTCTGTTGAAGTAGAATTCCCTGTCTTCGAGCTTTTGAGCCCACATATGTACATTGTGTTCCATCTTTTGCAGGAAGAGTTAAAAAATAGTAGAATACAGAGGCGGGTTTATGAATTGTTCTCCAAGGCATCTGCATCCCGCCATCCTCATTCCATTTCTGGCCAGAAAGAACTTCATTTTGTTTTCTTCAGGAGGCCTGACAGATTCTTGCCTTCCTTGTACAACAGCAAAGTCAGAGGCGTCTCCATCGAGAAAACCAGCTTGGCAGGTACACTGTAGAAGAAAATACGGTTTCATTGCATAATCTTTTCTTATGGACGCTTTACGGTTTCAGAAGAAACAAGAGAAATATCACTCTAAAGTGGGCAATGCATTTCCTTTATAATCTGCTGTTCTGAAGTTTTTTTCTCTTAAGAGTTTCCATTCTTGTTTCATTCTTCTCTTAAGACTATTCCGGCTCCAACTCATCATCAACATTCTGTTCTGTAGAGGATGTTGGTAGTGGGAAACGGTATGCAGTAGGTACTGGTCAATTCGAAGATCTTGATGCCGGGTATTTTCCTTCATTCATTTTGAGGAACCTACAATACATATATACATATATATATATATATATATATATATATTTGTTGCTGAAATGTGTCTGCTTGTGGTTAGGCTGGTACTGAAAAGCATTGGCTACAAATCAGTGTCGGTGCCGGGGTTGACTTTTGATGAACAAAGAGGTTCGTGATGAAGTTCTTGGTTTGCTTTCAGATGTCCATCTTTGGAGAACTTTCCTACAGTCACGAATGAATCATTTCCAGGATGATTTCCATAGAAACCATTCCTGAAACCAATCATATCATTCTTCTCTCACACTAATCATCAGATATTCCCTCTGGCTTCTGCAGGTGTGGTTCCTAATCTCAAGGGGAGGGTTCTGAAGAACAATTCGAGCCACCCCATTTTGGAGGATGGCCTGTATGTTGCAGGATGGCTGAAAAGGGGGCCCACAGGGATCATCGCCACCAATCTCTACTGTGCAGAAGAAACTGTGAGTCAGCATATTCCTCAACCATCTCCGTCTACCTTATCTCCGCCCAGTTTTAGTTATATCATCAGTGATTGATAGCCATATTGATTATGGGTGATCACCATTGGAGGAATTTATGTCAAAAATTGCGTCTTTTCACTAGGGATCATCATCATTTTCACATGGGTCGCATGGATTTTTCACTGCCTTAAAACCCTTTTGGTCAGGTTGGGAGTATTCTAGAAGACCTGGAGAAGGGCGCAGTGAGACCAAACAGGCATGGAAGACCAGGCCTCGTCCAAGCACTGGAGGGCAGAGGCATCCAGTATGTGACCTTGAGCGGCTGGGAGAGGATAGACCTCAGGGAGAAGGCTGAGGGCAACCTCAGGAACCGACCCAGAACGAAGATCACAGACTGGGCCGAGCTGTTGAGGGTTGCCAACGGATGATGGGACTTAGAAAGGTCTAATATTCTCCTCGTTCTTAGGTAATATTTTATATTGATAATATGTTCAGTCAATAAATATTTTTGAATAACTTTCTATTGCATTTTTTATTCTTAATTTCGTCTCATGGGAGATTTAGAAAATTTCTCCATCGAGAAATCTTGAGAAAGGCTGTCCTAGGTAAAGGTCTTAATGGGCCTTCAAGCCCAGAGTCTATCCTCATTTATCCTGGCCTTGGGCCTCAAAGCACCCCGAAAGAAAACAAGGTTAAGGCCCATCCGGGTCCGAGGTTCAGTAGCCTCCGGCCCGGATTCTCTCTCTCTCTCTCTCTCTCCATTCCTTGGAATCTACGTACTTCCCAATACGCCCAAGAGATCCTCATGACGGCAAAAAGGTCAATTCCAAAAAGGAGACTTGAAGACGACCGGCTTATCTGGTGGGCCCACAAGCGGGAGGTGGACGACCTGATCAATTTCAATGAGCTGGAAAGAACCAAGAAGCGTGGCACGCACGGTCTATGGTCCTAAACTCCTCTTTTTTCCTTTTTGGTGCATGAGATCATATAATTTCAACGTTCTTTTTGTGAAGATATAATGTTTTTCATTTATAAATATAAAATGTTTACTAATATTGTTTTATAGCCAATTTACAAGCTTTATTCGTAGTAATTTTTTTCCCAAGTGATTTTTGCCCAACGAGGAGAGGTAGTGATTAGTTCCAACAATAATACTCATGTATTATTTTCTAATCACTAATGGGTATGTCTTATCTTTGACCAAGAACAATAATGCGACCAACAACTTTACCTTATTTTTTAAATGCATGATGATAAAACTATATTAATAAAGAATATATATATATTCACTAGAGCATCACAGCCCCATGAGCTTTTGCGAATGCTCAATCTAGGATATGCATGTAGGCTGAAGAGCTAGGGAAGGCTGAAAATATAGTTGACTTTACACTATCCATTGACTAAATGCATGGAGAAAGACTATGTTATGAGAGTCATGCACAAAGGGTAGTAATAGGCTGAGTTGGCAGTCTTATCTAGAGCATGATAAACTTGTCTAAAAACCCCATTACCTATCTAAAAATACTTTTAAAAAAAAGAAGGCCCCACTACTAAAAATAGATATGAAAATTGCATATCTATATTAAATTGCATATACTAAAAATAGATATGAAAATTACATATACTAAAAATCATAGAGCACTCTAGGAAGTGGCACAAGGGCCATATAACATGAAAATTGCCTACTTTGGGATCACATTTATTCTCCCTATCTTAACAAGGGATGCTCTATGATTTCTTGGTCTATCTATTTTCATGTGAACTCCTTCTAATCTTCTATAAGTTCCACTTTGAGAGCCCTATTATTATTTTTCTTGTCATGACATCATCTTCTGGTCATTTACATGGTGCTAGGGTTTTCTCTCTCCTCTCATCTCTCTATCCTCTCTTACTTATCATGTGGGTCTTAGTGTAAAGCCATTTTGCTTCAGCTCCAAGCTCAAGCTTCTACATACAAGAAATTTATTTCTCATCAGTGATATGGAATTTGGTGAAAGATATATTATTGTGTCCGTGCCCATAACTTCCATAAATGCAAAGTATGTTCTCATAAGTGAATAGTATTGAATAGAACCATGTTTTGTGAATGATAACTGGGTGCTATTGACGTCATTGACTAATAGGAAATAAAAATTAAATTATTAAGGTTAGTGTGGATTAAGTTCATTGGTTAATATAATTGGAGGAGGTCTTTGCTCTCGTATTACACAAGACAACCTCATCTAATTTTGGATTACAATTTATATCCACGTCAAAAATAGTAATAAAATATATTATAAATTTCATATATATATATATATATATGTATTTAGAATTAGCATCCATCACAATGGGTACTTTTTAATTTCTATTCTTGGAGTTATTTTTCAAGAGAATCATAAAAGTGGAACAAATTTATTCCTTTTTAAAATTGAATAGCTTATAATTGCATTTTATCAATAATTTAGTTAATTAAATTGTGATTTTCTTTTTCTAGGCCATGTCTATATTTGGATTCTCGCGGGTTTTAATTGCACAAGTCTGCGCCTCTGTCAACAGTTGCCGGCTGTTAAAAATGGGCCTCATTCGGTCGCCGGCTGCCATTTCCGGCGCACTTATTAGATAGAGAGAGAGAGAGAGGGGGATGGAAGGATGGGAAATAATGGAGTGAGAGAGAGAGAGAGAGGGAGAGGACATTATCTGAAACCTTGCCCGGAAGACTGCAGTCATCCTGTCGGCGGTGGGTCGCTGATCAGCAGGGAGAGGGGAGAGAGAGAGAGAGATGGCAATGGAGGATGAGAAATTCCCCACTCCTCTCTCTCTCTCTCTCTCTCTCTCTCTCTCTCTCTGCCTCTCTCTGCGCCTCTCTGTGTCTCTCTCTGTCTCTGGGTGTGGAGTTTACCCGGTTTCCTGTGATCCTGTCCTCGGATTCTTGATGGTTGTGCATTTTTTTTCTTACCCGGGTCGCAGAGTTGCAGAGACTGCCGGCCTGTTAATAGCGATTAAAGAACACCTCCTCGCCCCTTTCTCTCCCTCCTTTTCCCCCCCTCCCGCGTCTCCCTCTGCTTTTTATTTTCATTCTTTCCGCTGCTGCAGAGCCTGTCCATTTGTGAAGAGATTAAAGAAAACCTCTCTCTTCTTCTCCCTCTCTCCCTCTCTCTCTCTCTCTCACACACACACACATTCTCTCTCTCTCTCTCTCTCTCTCTCTCACGCACTGGGCAGCGGCACTGTGTAGTGTACAAAAGCACAAGGAAGCTTCTGTATCAAAAACCTTACGAATCAATCTCCCTCTCTCTCTCTCTCTCTCTCTCTCTCGCTCTGTTCATCTGTTCATCCTCTTCTTACTTCTTCTGCTACATGTTTGCTGGTGGTATTTCCACAGACGCCGGCTGCCCTAATGGCGCGGGGCCTGGAGCATGATTACATAGGGTTGACGGAGGTCCCGGCCGTGGAATTCTCCCAGAAGCTCTCTTCGCCGGCGGCGGAGGAAGACGACCTGCTCGCCGACCTCAAGGAGACCGAGCTCACTCTGGGCCTTCCGGGATCCGATTCCCCATGCCGGAGGAGGATCAAGGGCTTCGCCTCCTCCGGCGGGAAGAGGGGCTTCTCCGGCGATCTCGACGGAGAAGACAAGTGGACCTTCTCCGCCCTGAATTTACCAGAAGCGGAGCTGCGGAAGAACGCCTCGCCGACGGGGAAGGGCGGCGGCGCCCCTGCTGCAAAGTAAGTCTCCTCGGATGCCTCCGATCGGTCGTCTTCCTCGAAGGCGCCATCGTCGGAGATGGGTTTTCCATTTCCCATGCTTCCCCGCCTGAATCTATCCTCCTCCATCTCCATGGTTACCCATTCTCCGGAGCTCCGGTCTTCCTCATTCCCTCCGTTGAATCCAATTAAATCGGTGAAACTCTAAAATCTCTTTTCAGGGCGCAGGTCGTTGGCTGGCCGCCGATCCAAAGCTACCGCAAGACCACGATGGCCGCAAACCCTCCGAAAACCCTAAACGACGAACTCGAGGCGAGGCCCGGCACCGGCTGCCAGTATGTGAAGGTCAGCATGGACGGCGCTCCATATCTGAGGAAGGTCGCTTTGCAGGTCTACGGCAATTACAGGGAGCTCTCCTCCGCTCTGGAGGCCATGTTCAGCTGCTCCACCATCGGTGAGCTCTGCTTCTTCCCTTTCCTTCCCTTCCTCCCCCGATAACCCTAAACCAGAAGGAGACGCTTCTTCCCCAAACTCGGACATTCATGATCGTTCTTCTTCCCCATGGGGTCCACCAAACTGGCCCTCGTTTCGTAAATACTTAATACGGTTACAAAATTGCATTATTATCCTATTTTTCAGCTCAGTGCGGGAAATACGAGATGGATGGATCGAACGAGAACCGTCCGATGGATTTGGTCCATGGACCCCAGTACGTGCTCTCTTACGAGGACAAGGACGGAGACTGGATGCTCGTGGGGGACGTTCCTTGGGAGTAAGCCAAATGATTATCCTATTATATTATTTATTTTTAAAAAATAAGAACCCTTTTGTGATGCCATATTAAGAATCTTCCCATACTCCTATATGCCATAAAATATAATATATTATTATTATTTATGTAAATATTATAAGCCAATAGTCATCTATTTTGCAATTTATGTCAAATAAATCCCAGTTTTTATCTTGGGTCCTATGCAAAATAGCTATCTTTCACGAGATACTTTAATAATTTTATTATTTATGTAAAATAAATTATAAGCCAATAGTCATCTATTTGACAATTTATATAAAATAAATCCCAATTTAGATGCCATGGCCCCTTCATTTTGTGAACTTTCTCTTGGGTCCTATGCAAAAATAGCTTTTTTTTTTTCAGGCCATGTAAAGATAAATATCAATGTGGGCGGCATATTTCCTAGCTTTATGAGAATTTTCCATAGTTATTATTGATTAATGATCCCAATTCCCAGCATGTTCGTTGATCTGTGCAAGAGGCTCAGGATAATGAAGGGCTCTGAAGCCGTGGGACTGGGCAACGGCGCAACCACCGACAAGAACATCGGTCGGAACTGAAGGGGGCCCACCTCCCCAGCTTCGGGCCGGGCCGGTCGGGAATGTGGTGAGCCCGGGCCCGATATGGCATGCTGGTTGGTTGTAGTGCGGCTTTTGGGCAGGTTAATGGAAAAAGAACCCTTAGAAGACAAGAAGGTAGTTCTCTTAACTACCAGCTACTACGACTACGAGGTGTCCCTGCGTTTGTGTAAATGCTCGAGGCTCCTATGTTGGAGCCATATGTAATCTATTTATGGAAATATCCTCCTAATCTTGAGTGGGCCCATGACGGGCCTCATGACGGGCCCAGCCCTCCTCAATTGAATCCGTCATACGGAGAGAGAGAGAGAGAGAGAGAGAGAGAGAGAGAGAGAGAGAGAGAGAGAGAGAGTAAAAATATTGCGCTGGTTGGGTTGGCTTACGGCTGAATGGGGCAACGGCTGAATGGTTTCCATATTTGATGCTTGGTCCTCAGTGGGCTACCAAGGTGGGCATCGAGGAGCCACTAGAGTACGGAATTCCCATTTTTAAAAACCTGATGGTACGTAACCCTCGGTGGGTTTCTGGTGGACGTTCAACTTAAATAATCATTCCAAGGAGAATATAATCACGGAAACGTGTTCCATGGATTGTCTATTGAGAGATTCCGACCCCTCTTTGTTCTCCCTCTCTCTCCTCTCTCTCTCTCCTGTTCAATCACTCACTCTTATCTAGTTCTCTCTACCTCTATCCATGTTGTGTGCGCCCAATCCCCTCACGTCTTGTTCTTCTTTCTCTCTCTATCTCCCAGTTCCGATTCTCCCTCATAGCATTTGCATTGAAGTACGCAACCCAGTTCCCAACATATTCCTAATCAAGTTAGCCCCACCAGGTAAATCTTAGAAAAATATGTTGATCAAGACCATGGATCATCACCATGATGTATTATTATGATCTCTGGCTCCATCGTACACACGTTTCTACAAATATAGTTTGCCTCATAGTTTCATAATTCCTGGGCATCATCTTAGATAAAATCTTTAAATTCTAAGTATTTAAATCTTCCACATAATATTGGAAGAGTTTTGGAGATCATAGCATATATAGTATGCATCTTTGCCTATTGTAATGAGGAACCACATCAACTCTTGCTTGATTCCTTGAGATAGTGTAGGAACAAACCCTAACCATGATCTATTATTTGCCTGATAAATATTAGCTTAGCGATGATTTGCCTTTAAAACATGATATATCACATGAAGATATTCAAATCTTATGATTGTCTCATTTTTCAAGGCCTAGACGAATTTGTAGGAAAATGTAGAATGTGCTGCTCATTTGTGCCATATTTGGTTTCCCCATTTGGTGATAATGATTGATGAGCCATTTTATATTTCAAAGAAAATTTCCTCATTAGAAAATTACCATTAAAATAGTTGAGATTTGTGCTCATTAGGGACATTGACCTAGCTAATTTGGTTGGTTATGAGGGAGGAATGAAAATTCTTTCATGGGAAATCATACCACATTGACTTTGCTTGCTTTGAGACTTAAAAAAATAGACATAATTTTAAATTTTCCATCTTGTTTCATTATAATATTTATGCCATATTCCATGAAAAGGATGATATATAACTCCCTATTTCTTTAGTGAAATTTTATGAAAACGTGAGAGATGGAATGTTTGTAATTTTTCTGCTCTAGGGGTTTTAAGAAAATGAGTTGACTAAAGGTAATGACCCACGCTGTATTTTAGAAAAAAAATTCTAAATCAAACAAAAAAAAAGGAAAATCCTATAGATCACTACCCATAATGCGCTTATAAGAAGTTGTTGCAAACTCCGACAAGTGGTCAATTTTTTACTATTTAGAGATATGAAAAACAAGAAACTAAGTTTTTATAAGTATAGAGATTACATTTCTCTTCATTCATTCCACATTTCACATTTAAATTTTATGCCATTCAAGAATGAAAAACCTTTTTAAATTCTAAGTTCACCATTTAACTCATTAAAAAAAACTCATACAATCTACTACTTACTTTTATAATAATCTTTAGATTACAAAAGTGAATAATTCAACTATGCTGTTGGTTCCTATGGTAGCCCATTTGAGATGTATATTACTATATTTTTCTCATTTATGTAAGTTTAATTGTGTTAATGAATTTAATATAGACCCAAGCAAGTTGAGTATGATTGTTTAGAACCACCTAACGAATTACTTATTGCAATCATTAACATCAGTTAAAGCAGCTCTTCACACATCGTCATATAATTATAAACATTTTGAATCTTGTTTGATGAGCCACTCAATGTTGTCTGATTGATAACTATATATAGTCATAAAATGTTACCATTACAAATTTAGAGATATACCTTAACATTTGAGGTAGGTAGGTAAAAAAAGAAACTAAATAAATATTATGTTATTGGGAAGAGGGGTTTACTTAAGGTATGTGTATTTTATTTCTTTATTTTTCTCAACCTGATTACATGTGTGCACAAGTAAATATATAGTTTCACATCTTGCTCATTAAGTGATTAGAAGATGTTTTTTTAAAAAACTTTTTGAGTTCAGCACCGAATATGTTTTGAAGCTAACAAAAGCCTAAAATGATATAAAAGTCATTTCTCATTGTTTTAATCGTTACAATGTTTAAAAACATTGTAAACTATGGTACATATGAAATCAACTATAATGCATAGGTCATTTTAGATTGCAAACTATGGTACATCAAAAGTCATATTTTAATTTATAAAAATCACACTGTTGTTATCGAGTTTCGTATGCTATTACATAGGAAATCAAGAGAAAGCAATAAACATCCAATATTTCAACACAACAATTACATTTTCGAATAACGTAATGTATGAAGTATAACATCTCAACACATGGAATTTGCATTGTAATAAATCAATAGATAAAGTTACAAACCTCGATATATAAATATTTTCCTACATAACATATGTATTTGATGTAGATCTTGTATGTCAATAAGTAAATATGTTGCATATATCACTATATGAAATTTTCTTGATGGAATATATGTATCAACTTGAAGAGAAACACTTCAATCAATTAGTATATGAAGTCACATATCTCAGTTTTGACATTTCTATCATATACTGTCTAAATGCATGATACCACATGCTATTAAATAACACATATATTGAAAAATGTCTTAAACATGTAGCATTATAAAAAAAATAAATTGTTGAGACTATTGTAATGGCCTAATCACATTTAGCACTGCATAAAACTATCATAATAGTATATACACTTGCAATGTCAAATCGTGTAACAATTTGGGGTTGGAACCATATCATATCAACATAACATTCTTGTTGATCCAAAGTTCACAAAGGAACAACTATCACTACCATGTAGTAACAAAATGGAAGTTGTGCATTTGATGCTCACATATTACTATGAGAACAACACAAACTATAGCCATCATAACTACTAAATATCCTATGAATCATAATAAGCTTTCTTAAATATCAAAGGGTAGTAGTAATTACGAGAAAAGGCTACAAAGAAGCAACTACTAAAAGTTGAAGGGAATATATCTTTCCAAATAATTTTGTGACTTTTCAATAACAAGTTAACACATCTAAGTTACATTTCCGTCAGCAATTTATTAAGGAATTGAAGATGTGAAAATAAGTTGTAATTCTAGGGTCACACATCATGTTTTATAAAGTTTTAGAAACAAAGATCACAAGGTTCAACTTAGCTCTATTGATATTATTTGTTTTATCATACTAAAAGGATATCACTAGCAATAAGTGCTGCTTATGACCACTTGGTTATTTCTAGAGCCATAAACTAATAACAATGAGCTAGCATCATATCTCTAATGTTTGGCAACATAAAGTCATAAGTCTAAAAGAAAGTATTACGAGAGCGTGAACACTGAAATTCAAAGTAGGGTAGGAGGACCAAACCAATATAAATGATTTATTTCTCTTGATTGTTCCTTGTAATCATTTATAGGGATTAAAATCATCTAAACTTATAGCACCTATTTATTGATTGTGTATTACTTGAGTCACAAAGGGTTGAGCATTATGATCAGCTATTCTAGTGATGATACGCAGATTAGTGAAAGCATTCATAACTTTCCCGGATATCTGTGTAGATGTGGCCCCGAGAGGAAAACATAGGCCTCATTCCAGCCGATTCAATCTTCTTCTGGGCTTTAGTTCCTGGAGGTCTGTCTGTATACTAGATCCGGATTGTACGTATACAGATATATATAAACATATTTATCTAGAGAGAGAGAGAGAGAGAGAGTAATATCACCACTGTCATTCATCTATTCCAGGAGGGAGGGAAGCGGGGGGGACTCGGTAAAATGGGCAGCGGGTTGCACCTGCAAAGAGGGCATCCGTCGGCAGCGCAGGTCACCGCTGAGACGCCGCCGCCCAAGCACCGCCGCCCCTCCGCCGCCTGCCGCCTCCGCTGTAGCCATCGGGCGAGGCCGAAGAGGAGGATCCGCAGTCCCAGCGCGACGCCCGCCACCGCCAGCACCACGAGGGCGTAGCCGCCGGCCGTGCGGTGGCCGCCGTGGCTGCCAATCAGCCCTGCACAGACCATGTTCTGCGGAATTCTCCCTCAATGGGCAAAAAAAAAGGCTAGAGGGATAAAGAGGGCCAGCCCACGGCTTCCGCCACCTTTTCTCTTCTCTCCTCGCCTGGCGGTATTCTCTTCTCTCCTCACACGCCAGGCTGAAACTCGACCCAGATAGAGAGAGAGAGAGAGAGAGAGAGAGAGAGAGAGGAATACGTGGACAAAATTGTTTCAGTATCATCCCACACAGGCCCGCTGGAAAGGTGGAAAGAGAAAGAAGGCACTGAGTGGACTGACTACTGGTAACCACACTCATACCATTTACTTGCGGAGGACAAAGATCGGCCTGTTGAATCCAGTAACAGTGCCGGCAAGAGAGCCGGAGATGTCCTCCATTGATCGAAACCCAATCTGCAAGCAAAATCAATAAACCCATCAATCGCTTCACCCATGAAACATTCTATGCACTCTGAAGAAGACCGCACCTTGTCGAGGAGTATCTCCTGGAAGACGTCTGGAGTGAACGCAATCCTGCTGTAGTTCAGCGTTGCAACCTGAAAAATTTGGCGAGAATAAATGGGAAGAAGAAGAACAATGAGGAGATTTGGACATCTCTCTGAACGCATAGGTGGCCAGCTATATACCTCAGATACTCGCTTATTGCTCTTGTACGAACTCCATGGCTGAGGCTCCAACAAAAGAATCCCACCCTGATGAGACAGGAAGATTGACAGTTCAAAGCCGACAATATAACAAGTGCTGTTGATAAACAACTTTTTACAGCTTTTCTTGGGGCCAAAAATCTGATGGAGGAATTATACCGGACGCAGAAGTCTCCAAATCTTCACAAACAATGAAATCAATCCCTCGTCACCCCAATTGAGATGAATCCATTTTGTCACACTCAAGCTGCAAGGGAAGAATCATAAATAACAATAGAAGAATGCCGCTACAATAATAACTGCAGTTCATATTAAGTTGCCATTTTTGGGTTTATTTCATCTCTACTAAGATTACTAGGAAATTTATGAAAAAAACATAATAATAAAAGGCATCATAGATAACAATAGGAGAATGCTACATGAGGTAATCTAGAGAGTAAATACCACCTACCACAGTATAGTGTCGTACATCTCTCTGGATGCTTGCGTTGTCTCTATAATGTTTTCTGCTCGGAAAGAAACTCGTTCAAGTAGTGTCCCCTCTATGGGATGAAGAGCCTCCTGTGATGACCTGACCTCGTCTTCACCAGTAGATTGAGAGATATGATGGTCCAAAGCACGATCACCATTCGAGATCAGTGGTTTGGAAGTCTCCATCAACCTGCCACCGGGACTTTTTGCTCTTGCTATTCTTCGAAGGTTCCATCGGGCAGCTTCAATTAGACCTGGGCAAGTAAGAAGCGTACCAATAAAGCTAAATATCCAGAAAAAAGACCATGCTATTTATTAATATTTAACTGACTTCAGTTTGGATTTCTACATTGCCAAAGACAACTTAGTAACCTAATCAGATTACTGGCATCAAATCATTCACCCCAGTGGAATATAATTTTAACAAAAAAAAGTTATGTATGATATAAACTATACAGCAGCTTTCAAGTCGAATTAATGAGCAATGTTAGAACAGTTTCCCATTGCGTGTATAGTTACATTCACTCACAGCCGATGGATTTTGAGTTGGATGTTTCAAGAATTAACTCTGGTTATATTCTTGGACAGTGCAACAGATCACTGTGGTCCACGTGAGAGGTCCAAGAAAAGTCAATCTCAATGTGAAAGAATGCATCAGAGTAGTCCCACAATGTGTGAGACAATTAAAGGTGCGGCTAAAATATATGGGCCCACACTCACCGCTGATTAATGTCAAAGTTGGACTCTTTCACATCTACAAGGGATGATCAGCAAGTACATATGAGGTCACAACTATTAAATTTTGTGGAAAACTTTCAATGAACCGTGACTATAATCTATAAGTGTGGAAAAAACGTTTCACTAACCCCGTGTTGCTGAACAAATACTGTGGACCTAAACATAAATAATTGAAGTGGATTCGTATTTTTGCTCCCCTCTGATAAAACTCCCCAGTTGTGGGCCTTTCTACTGCACAGCCCAATGAAGAGACGCGGCACTGCCAAAGTTAAGAGATATATAAATGTCAATGTCTAGGAATTAGTATGAAGCCTAAGAATAGGGCTCAGGAAATGAGTAACATGCTGGGAGATATGGAAAATAGATGGAGAATAGTCACTTATGGGCCCTCCTGTCACTTGGCAGAAATTGAAGTCATAGCGAACATTACCACACCACAGGTCCAGATTAAATCGTACAGAACCGTTTAGAAGACTACGTTGTAGAGAGGAGAAAATCCACGACAGCCAAAATCTCAGGAATGATATTAAAAAGGTGAAGACAAAAAACTCGTTCTATCATAAAAGCGCAAAGGAACCAGACCATAGAAAATTCTACTGTTCAATATCAAGGGGCCAATCATCTTCTGAACTAGGCAGAAGAAAAATAGCCATAGGAAGGAAGCAGCGAATGAACCCTGAACCCAATATATGTAAAACTCTGATAAATGCAAAAAGGGCTTATAAGGATCCTATCCCATGTATCAAATTGTGAAAAAGAGGAATACTCCCGTCCATTCCGTTCCATTATGTCATATGTACCATATATATGTAGACCTTTATATTGATAGCACATATACTCATGTATTTGTCTGACAACCATACATTTACATCTAAATTTGCATGCAGTGAATCAAATATGCACGACATAACCACATAACCATAAAACATGGAAGAAGTCTGATAGAACCAACATAATGACAGTCAAATAAAATGGAATTTTGCAAACAAAATAAAATGAACCAACATAGACGTAAATTAGCAAATAAAAATTTAAAGAAGCTAACACGAAAAATTCAGATAACAACAGTATCATAACGAGAATTAAGGATATTTCAGAAACATACCTGGATCGATGTCTATCCCAAGTATTTTACGACAACAAAATTTATTTGCTGCACGTCAAATGAAGTTTTAAAGAATATATTAGCATTGCCTTGGGAGAAATAGTATATTATGGCACGATGAATAATGCAAATGGCAAAAATCATAGGGAAACAAAGAATCAATAATTGATACAATGCTGATGTCAAACGTCTCAAAGGTAATAGCTCCTCAGTAAGCTAATCAAAAAAAGGCCGCCATAAAAATACCATGAATAAACTTCATAAGATCTCTTGTCCTCATGGTTTCTCTTGTTATCAGAAAAAATAAGTAGATTCACGCAAAAAATAGCCAACCCTAAACCATTCAAACGTGTATATTATGGTGCACAGGCAATTTACCTATATTGATAGTAATTAACCCTTGATTGCAGCCAATATCCAAGCAATCCTTGCCTTCAAACCATTCCTTTTTCATCAATGTCAGACGAGGATCTTCTGACAACTTACGATCTATCTGTAATTCAGCAAGCATAAATCAAAAATAAACATGTAGCCTGATAAATATCTGACAGAAGTATCTACCTTTTCGGTGACTTCTTCTAGTCTATTGCATGTTCTCAACTTTCAGAAACGTTGAATACGCAATGATGAAAGAGATGCGATAATAAGAACAATTATTGGATCCCAGAGCCACCATAAAATATTAACATCAACATTCATTCATGTACCATAGACCTCACAAAACTTACTTTCTATGAGAATCTGTCCAGAGCATACACCTAACTCAATAGACCAGAAATAAGGACTACAGGACTCATTAACTGACTATCCTTTCATGTGAACATGGCAGAATGTCATGGCATAACTTACAAAACTCGTCCTTGAGAGGAAATTTCGGCCACATACATGCCCTAACCTAAAACTACCATGCACGATCAAAGAAAAAGCATCCTTCTAGTGTCACATGTGAACGTACATCACTTCTCAGAAATCAAATTGACGGTAACTCAACAGTCGCATGACCACCAAAACCTCTCTATCAGAGTTTTCCTGTAAAATAAAGCAAGAATATAGCTAATTCAGATCATTTTATTGACTACAGTAACCTCAACGATATTTTCCATCAGAGACAAGAATCTTGTTAATTTTTGTAAAGGGCGCCCTACAAAGCCCAACATATCCCATAACCGATCAGTTCACGAAGGGTATTTCAGTTGCCGAAACTAAAGCAGAAATCCTTTCAACGTCGAAACATTCCGAAAAATTGTGACGGAAAGAGAGAAAACAAAGGAATAGGAAAATAAAGAAGAAACGAGAACACACGCCCCCTGCATCATCAAAAAGCTGTCGATTATCACAGAAGCATACTTCAAATGGAGAAAAAAAAAATGGGGTTACTATTAGACAAAAGAAGAGTATCCAGTTGTCCGAGAAGAAGTACCCGGTAGCTGTAATAGCATCTGTAGTTGCCGTAGATGAACGATTCTTTTCGCTTCTTCCGCTTCTCACTGTTCTTCTCCCCTTTCTCCGTCATCTTGCCAGCCCCTGCCACAGTCCCTGATCAACCCGCGATCCTCGGAGGGCAGAGGCGAAGGCGGCGAAGGCGGCGAAGGCGGCGAAGAGGGAAGATGTCGTTCGTCGGAGGGAAAATACCTACACGTATTTTCTTGTAGAAGCAATCCGAGTAAATAGAGATTTGCAGCGTCCAGATAAGATAAATTATAATTGGTCCACGTGGTCACAAATTCCACGTCATCACCTCAGGAAATGAAGAACGGCGAAGACTCGTAGCCAGGGTATTCCTGTCTTTTGTCCCACTGGGCGGGAGGTACGGGCACCTCCCCTGAGCAACTTCAATTCAAGATCCAAACACGTCCAGGGGGGACTGACTCATCCAACGACGCGTGCCCCAACGGGGAGGGCCGCCGGCGAATAAGATGTGTTGACGGTGACCGTAACTTCTACGCCCTTCTGTTACGAATCGAACGCCCTCGAAGCCGGGAGGCCCCAAGAGGATAGAAGGCAAAGTGAGGTGGTAACAGAGCCGGCGAGAAGATCGCGAAGATAGACTACAGAGAGGGCAGCCAGCGGGGGAGACCGCGATGGTGAGGGTTCTGCCGATGGCGATGGCTTCTTCCTCGCTGCAGTTCGCCTCGGCGCGCCACATCTCCCTACCACACTCATCCGCTGCGTCCGTCAGAGCGCTCCCTTCCATCAGGCGGCTTGGCGTCTCCCCTTCCGCCTCTGCCTCTGCCTCCAATCCGACCCGTAGGATCACTCTGTTCCACTTAGGCAGCGGTGAGCCTCGCCTTTTCTTCGTTTTATTTCTTCTTTTTAAGGGCGGAATTCTCACGGCGGCTATGTCATCGGCTGACTTTCGTCGTTGCATATGGTCTCGGAATTTATCGTTTATTTTAATGCTCGTTCTCTCAGTCTTCCAATGCAAGTGCTTCTTCTGAATTCGCGTCTCTTCATCTTCAAGATGAAGACAGGGAAATGAGTTTTCCTTTCTTCTTTTTTTTCTTTTTTGAGCAAATGGCATTTCTGGATTGAAGGCCATTTATGATTCCATATTTTGTATGTCCGATCATGGGATCGGTCTGCTGTTTCATTACCCTGTTGACATGGTTACTTTTTCATCCAGTCATACCCCAGGCTCATATGTTTCGTACAAAAGCCCCTATCTTATCGAGGGCCGAAGTGAACAACGGCCTAGAGACCAACACATCTGGGATTATCGCGCAGGCAAACACTGCTGTGGATCAAGAAAGCACGTTGGATTGGGCGAAAAGGGACAAACGAAGGCTGCTTCATGTTGTCTACCGCGTAGGGGACTTGGATAGAACCATCAAGTGGGCCATTTGTTTTCTTCAACATTTCATTTTTGCTAGGTTCTGTGACTCGGATGTTTTTTCTTCTTTAAACGAAAGGATGTGACTTATTCTGTTTATTCGTTTCTCTTATGTTACCAGGTTCTACACAGAATGCTTGGGGATGAAGTTGCTGCGAAAACGTGACATACCTGAGGAAAGATACACAAATGCTTTCCTGGGGTATGGCCCTGAGGACTCACATTTTGTAATTGAGCTCACTTACAGTAAGTCATACCTTCGTTTTCTATGCGACACTTTCTCCGAATTCTCCAAGTTTGGCTTCAGTTGGGCATTTTATCTGGCAACTTGGCTTGAGCCTGTCTCGCAGGAAACCAAATTTTAGGTAGCCTGTTTTTTGTATCAGGCTGGGAATCCATATACTCGAATGATTAACTTCTTACTTTATTTACTGGCAGACTATGGTGTTGAGAAGTATGACATTGGAACTGCCTTTGGTCACTTTGGAATTGCAGTTGAGGATGTAAGGTTCTGTTACCTCTCTATTGTCCTTTCTGTTCTAGTTCGATGAACTCATGCCTGCACCAACGCTTGTGATTGCAAATACGAACTTTATCTGAATTAAATTTTTACACCAAGTCATATACTAATTTAGAACTTCTTATATCAAAGAATGGTTCATAAGTCTTCACCTTGTTCTTGAAAAAGATTAGCTTTCCTCCCCCTGCTATGGTAACTGTAACCAGTGAAGTTTGGAGGTGCAACTGTCTTAAATGTGTAACCAAATAGTACTGGATGCCTCGTTAGGTTGTCACCAGTGAGCTCCTGTGGTTTGTTGATTCAATATCATGACTTATTTGAACTGAGTAGATCCATATTTTGAAGTTGATTGAATAATTTAATTATCACCCATAAGCAAACCAAAAAGTGTCTACTTTTCTTGCAGTTTTTTTTTCATCAGAAGGAATAGTTATTTACTTGATTTTTAAACAGTAGGTTTCCAAGACAGTGGACCTTATAAAAGCCAAGGGAGGAAAGGTCACCAGGGAACCTGGCCCTGTCAAAGGTGGCAGCTCCGTGATTGCTTTTATTGAGGACCCTGATGGTTACAAATTTGAGCTTCTAGAAAGAGGACCTACACCTGAACCTTTATGCCAAGTAATGCTTCGGATCGGAGATCTTGATCGTTCCATAAATTTCTATGAAAAGGTAAGTCTATTTTTCTCTTAGTAACCATGAAGATGATAGAACATCTTTCAACTGTTGATTACGAGCTTGCGCTTGATTTCAGGCCTTTGGTATGGAGCTTCTTCGGAAGAGAGACAATCCCGAGTACAAGGTAACTCTCGATGTGCCATATCCAACGAAAATTCCCCTGCATAATGTCTTCTACGTTGCAAATTATGCTACAAGATTTTACCTGAATGAGTCTTACATGGTTCCTTTCTTTCTTTCTTTCTTTTATTGACAATTATGTGAAACATTTTCCAGTATACCATAGCCATGATGGGTTATGGTCCGGAAGATAAAAGTGCCGTTTTGGAGTTGACATACAACTATGGGGTCTCAGAATATGACAAAGGAAACGGCTATGCACAGGTGATTCTATATTACACTCCTTAGTTGCGATGAAAATGCTAGTGAAAACCTTCCAGTGACTTATCCTTGTTCTATTTTCGCAGAGGTTTTTTATTTTATTTTTTAAATGTTTTCGCCATCTCATGTTGCTGTTTCTGGTCCGGATCATGTCATTGCTCAACCTAAATTTTCTCTCTGAAAATATTTTATTCCCAGATCGCTATAGGCACAGATGATGTTTATAAAACCGCAGAAGCAATAAGGACAAATGGCGGGACGATCACCCGCGAACCTGGGCCATTACCTGGCATCAACACCAAGATCACCGCCTGCTTGGACCCTGATGGGTGGAAATCGGTAGGTCCCTTCGGCCTTTATAATCTTGCTCTTCAGGAAGACATGCTATAAATAAGTAAATAGCCTTACATTGGATAGACAGAAAATAAAATCTTATAGACATGGGCCCCACTCCACTCAAAGTCAACCATTATTAGAAAACGGGCTGGAATAGTCTCATATTAGAAATATAAATTAAAATAAAATCCCTTGATCATGTACATGCCCACTACTCTATACCTAGCCAATGAATTAGCTTCCAGTTTGACCAATATCTAAGCAAGTCCTAACATTAGGGAAGAAGCCTCTGAACACGACTTAGGCCGAGACCATGAACAAAACCGTGCGATTCACGACCTGCAGGTGTTTGTCGACAATATCGACTTCGCCAAGGAGCTGGAGTGAGATGCCGGCGGCTGTGGAAGCTTCTGACCCCACCCTCCATCTTCACGAGGTACGGATGAATCACTCAGCCCTTGGTGCCGTGGAATTAGATGTTTTCGGAACCTTCGCTCTGCTGTTCCTAGTTGATCGGGTATTATTTTTATTGTTGAATAGATTTAATAATCCTGTAATTAAACTGCGACGATTGCTTGATGCAACCTGCTTTTCTCGTCCAAGCTCCCAGTTTTCTAAGCGTCACTGACGATGAGGTGGGCCCGACAGCGGGCTGCATTTATATCACATTTATCTGAATATTTATTTAGAAGAAAAAAATGTTAAGATATATGTTCGTGAAAGTAATTATGTTATTTTTATAATCATGGGTATGATATCATAAAATTTTAAAAAATAGTTTTAAATTAATAAAAAAAGTTGCATCTAGCCAACAATTTAGGGTCGCCCTAGTCCGTTGGACCTGCGGTTTCAAGTGAGGCCCAAGATTGGTCATGCATCTGAGCCCGCACAATTCTATCAGGCCCAATTCACTGTTCTAGTCTTCGTGGATTACTGTTGGGCCAACTTTCTTCACTCTGTTTTGGGCTTCTACTGCCTAGAAATCCTCCTCGTGTCGCCGTCCCTGCCTTCTGGAATTCAAATTCGGAAGGTTCCGTTGGGGAAGTCCAGAAGGTAAATGGCAAAAGAAGCTACCAGAGGAGCCTGATCGTGTGGTCGTTGTTGTCCATCCCCTTGCAATCGACACTAGAAATTCTTGGCCCTCATCATCACTGTGCCACGAGATGCGAGGATCAGAGGGTTTCTAGTTTCAATTAGTGTGGAATGAGATCCTCCTCCTTTCAGTTTTGTTTCACCAAGGAGGTTAGTGGTGACCTAGAATTACACCTTGTGTGTGAGCACCTTTCTCTTTCAATCTCTTGATAAATACTGATGGGTTCCCCTTGACCCAAGGCGGCCATTGATTGTCTAGTAGGAGCAGTTGCTGGAAGATGGACAAAAAGGGTTCTACTAAGGTAGCTGAAGGCTGATAGAATACGGGGGGACCTGATAGGAGGATAATATGATACGGAGAAAGAAAGAAAGAAAGAAAGAAAAAACGAAGAAAATAATGGTAATGGGGATGGGAAGAGAGAGAGAGAGAGAGAGAGAGAGAGAGAGAGAGAGGCACACTTTGATACCCTCTTTGCTGGCGCACACCCCCTCTTTTTTAAGCCAAAGCATCTAAGATTCAACATCCTTCTTCAATATCCACAGGCCGCCTTTACATCCATGCAGTGTTCCTCCCTCAATAGCTATGAGGCTACATCTCCTTTATATAGTTACCCTATAGCTTTCCCCAAGTCAAAGGGCATTTGTCGTACAAGTAGATGACGTCGTTCTAGAGGGGATTGTTCTCTATCCATTAAGTCATTTTTCAGCAATGATGTGATGGTTGGTGAGTTTCCCATCAACACTCCTCCCTAATACTTTCGCCTTGTCCCCAAGGTGAAATTTCTGGGATTGCTAATGGAGATGCTTTGGCTGCTTTCCGAGTATTCTCTTGAGTCCAACAGGTCTTTCCATTGAACTAGGATGTCTAGACCGTGAGGACCTTGTCGGTTCCATGGCCCAAGTTCCATTGACCAATGGGGCACTTTGCTAAGGACACAGAAGATTGGGTGGATGCATGTGGTGAGTGAAAGGACAAGTGATAGGCCACCAGTCTGATGTATTATTGGACTTAAATGGGTCAAAAAATCAAAGCCCCAGCTTTTCATAGTCACCATGAGAATGACTTCATGCATTATAGCCAAAGTTGGAGGTAGACACAGCACCTACCATGAACTTGAGCTCCCATCGATGCAGTTCACATAAGTTTTCATCCTTGGGCCTAATAGATCTTAATCGTTGTGTTGTAAAATAATTATAATTTAATAATTTATAATTCGAATTTTAAAATATATTTTAAGTAATAAATTATGGATCCAAGTCATCTCTAGAGGGATGAAAGATAAAAATATATTTTTCATTCATTCTTAATACTTATTGAAAGTTAACAATTGAAAACTAAAAATAAAAACTAGATGAAATTCTCTTATTGCCAAGTTATTGCGAATGGGTTCCTTTATCTCACTGAGTTTTTAAATGAAAGAGAGGTTCTTGTTCATCTTCTTATCACCTCCAGATCACACTTCTAATTCATGCTAATCCATGAACTCAAGAATAATTTGGAGAAATCAACAAAACAAAGAGATGAAGAGGAAGAAAAGGATTGTTTTTCAGCTGGTTACCTTGTCATCCGAGAATTTCTAGAACTGATGAAATATAAAAAATAAAATCTAAATATTAACGTAGATGATTATATGAGAACTAGATTTAATCATATTGTGAGTGTCACCTCACATGACATAAATAAACAATAAATGAAATTCAAACTTGAGAAATCGTAACAAAATAAGAGAAGAAACGTAAAGAAATCCAACACATTTTTTGTTGTCACACACATAAGCATAGGAACTGAAATGAAAAAATAAATAAATATGAAGAATGATTAAAATAAAAAGGAAAATAATTTTAAAATTTAATAAATCAAGAGCAAGAGTAGGACGTCCCTCCTGAAATGAGATGATTTCGACCAGCAAGGAAAAGATTTATTTCTCCTCTGATCTCTCTCCTTTTATTCATGTCAAGAAGGCATGGATCTATTACCTCAAATCTCTCTAAAAAACACATTAAAAAATCGGATCAAATAACGGAAGGATTCAAACATAACAACTGATTGTTCTTCTCTTTCCATTTTTTGTGAATTTACTATTTTTAGTTGACCCAACTAATGTGACTTGAATGGTTAACACGTGAGTTTTTTGACCTATCCAAATCATTGCTCCAATTATATTTATGTGCAGATCTGATTGAAAGAGTTAAAAGCTTAATTACTAGGTCGTAATTTCAATCAACACATGCTTTAACCTAATTTCGAGAAACTCACTAAAAATTCTATATTTTCATTTCAATTTTTAACTCCATGAACATACTCTTTGGCAAATACATGTCAAGGGTATAAACCTTGGATGATTATATTAGCACAATGATTAAAAAGATCATAATAAATCTATAAATATAAATTATTCACTAGAAATCATGTTTTTTTTTAATTATTCTAACATGTGTAGATATATTATGATTCAAATATACCCATTAAATATAAATTCATGTTATTATTACATAAATTTTATCTTGTTTCTCATATAAGATAAGAGTTTTCTCATGTCCCTAGTCAAGTGTTCTTTGATTTGATAAAACATTTCTCTTCTCTTAAATAGGTGGTCAATGTTGCCCAACCATGCCACATTTGTCTCATAATGAAGAAGAACTAAATAGATTTGACATAGATGATGGAGAACAACATTGTTGTCGCAAAGACATGACAATTAGTATTGTATCAGCACTATGTCTAAGCAAGCCACATATTTCATTATTAAGGTCAATTACTAGAGAAATAATGAAGGTAGATCTCAAGTCTTCATTGACCACTTCTGTCTAGTTGTATATTTGCATATGATATGCATTAGTCTTGCAAAGTGTAGAACCTTATAACTTGAATAATTTTTTATCAAAAATTAGTCATGAAGATTCGATCTTGATCATTGAGAATCAAAGTTAGGATACCATCTAATCATATGATATTTGACTATTTCTTTTTCTGAAAATAAATTTGATGAAGAGAAGTGGCCATATTTACTTAATTGATCGATGACCACTAAAATGGTACTAAAGTAGTCATTCAATGAAATCTATCATTATGTCTTCTCATACTTTAGTGAGAGTAGACAATAATCAAAGGAGACCCATGTGCTTGAGAGATTCAGATGTATTCTTTTGATCAATGGACTTGAGAGATTCAAACTTATTCTTTTGACCCATTGGCTTGAGTGATAAGATTTCACATATGTCTGAACATTATTCTTCATTAGTACTCATAAAACATTCTTGCTTAGCCTCTTATAAATTTGTAAAAAATTATAATAACATTCAATAACTAAATCATAAAACTCTTTAAATATTATTGATGTTACTATATAGTTTCTTGCTAGCACAATACAAATGTAGACAAAGAGTCACCACTTAATGATAGTAATATTTGGGTCATTTTTTATAATATAATTTTAATCCTTTTATAGCCAATAGTTGTAGATCAGCCTAGTATTCATGTGTAATCAATGTCACATCTATTAATTTTGATTAGTAAAAATATTACATGTATTGATTATGGTTTTTGAGATAAGTCATTAGCAGCTTTATTCTTGATTATTGCTTTATATTTAATTTTGAAATAAAGTTAATGATCTTGGAGAGTCACTCTCTAAGATTAGTTTAAGCTTGCATTGATTGGTGAAGATAATCATTTTTTACCCTGTAAGTAATATATTTGCTTCAATGTGGTTAGTACTATTAACTTCCACTTACAAACTATTTGAGTGTGTCAAGAGAGAGCTTAGCTGAAATATGTGATCAATTTTCATTGTAGTATGAGTGTCATTGGCTCCCCTACTTGAAGCATCAACTTTTAATTTAAAATAAATAAAAAAATTAAGAAGAGCAAGTACCAAAGCAAATGTTATGGCTATTTTGAGTTTTTTTAAATTTACTTTTGTCTCATCTCCTCTGTAGAAAGCATCCTTAATTTTCCTATGAGAGGCAACTTGATTGTTCCATAATTTTGGATGATTTATAGTACTAACTAATTAATCTTAAGAAGCCTATGGGCTCTCAAAGGGTGGTGGGGTAGGATTTTGTACAATGTTTTCAATTTTTTCTTTGATAGATCATAGCATATTCAGTCGAAATCTAATGTTTGAGATAGTTCATTTTTATATATATGATAGAACATTTTTTTTTGGGTTTTAAAGTAGAATCATATATGATAGCATGTTTGAGCACTTTGGTCAAATGTTCATCATGTGATTCATGGTCTGATTTGTAAATATAAAGATATTATAAATTAACATCAATATGAAACTCCAAAG